GGGGGGGGGGGATGAAATCGTATTGTTATCACAAAAGTTGAAATATTCAGTGATAATTCAATTACCATGATCCATCCCGAAATGCAATGCGAAACGGCTCGCCAAATGAAGCGTTGTAATCTCCAGTACCACCGTTCGTAGACTGTATATAATAGTTGCAACTAGAGATATACCTAAAATTCACTTTTATTCAGTCAATTAAATCCGTGACGACCCGCGATTCATTGAAAGTTCATACCACATCCTGCGAAGAATGGCAAGAGCATTTTGCCTTCCCATGTTTGTGGAGTCAGGTCACCGAAACCAATGGTGTTTAGAGTCACCACGCACCTAGACCAAGGTATCGTGTGAGAAGATATTATCAAATCAGTGCCTGGCGTTGCTGCAACGAAATTGTAGGATTCAAAACATTATGTTACCAGTAAACGCTGTCGTCAAACATCCAGCCTTCCAACGATCCATATAAAAGAGCACCAAATATAACATAGGAATACGTTGATATAGCAGCTAAAACCAATTGGCGTTGCGGTATCGAAAGTTCGTACATGATATGTTCGTAAATTTGATTGCGGTGTAAATGTCGTTGATACTGCAAACAGCGTGGGGAGGTGATACCGTGTCAGTGACCTGCCAATCAATCAGTCAAATATATGCAATATCATGGCTTACTATAAACAGGAGACCATTAAAGGAGGACAAGAGACAAGCAGCCAAAGCGTAATATAAGCCCTCAGTGTAATGATATTGAGGAGGCATGCTTGCAGTCTGTGCGATGAATAAGACGACGACAAGAGCACCAAAGAATCCTAACAGGCAGAGTCAGAGTAGTCTTGGGCAATACATCAAGCGTTGAGAATGGGGCAAATATCCAACCTTGTGATAGAGATCCCAAGCCGGCCAGTCTTGTAGTCCATTTGATTTTCTATACGTTGATATAAGATATGGTGAGGATTTGAGACATAATTGTCTATCCAAGGTGCAGTGATTCGAGCAACATGTTATCAAGATTGATGCTGCTACCTTTTCCAGCATTCGGTAAAAGAGAGAGACATTGGCAAGCACGCCGCACGCCATAGATATGAACTCGAGGGTAAGGACAGCCGGGCTGCGTGTTTTCAAGTAATTTCGACCGTAGTGTGTGGTAGCCCATTCCAATGTTGCTAAAAGCTCGACATCATCGTCAACATACAGCCAACTGGGCATTCCTAGGGATTGGAAATTGAGCAGCAGCGTGGTAGGCGTGAGCAGGCCTTCGATCAACGGGATAAACTGGGCAATCGAGAAGACCATCGTGCTATTTGACCAGGTTGTGTTTGACAGCCCTCCAATGCTGCATCCAATAAAGCTGGATCAGGACAAGAACAACTTATTTTATTGGAAAAATATTGCGAACTATCATGCGGCAGCTTGGTACGCTCAACACGTTACAGAGTTTTTGGCCTTTAGAACACCTCGTCCAATTTGGGTGCATTTGCCAATCAAACGACACGCAACAAGTTTTGCTTGCTCCAACCACCCTGTTCAGAGCTACGATAGACCACTCATCTGTTCAGACCTGCCAGATCTCCGCTCTCTGGGAAGAGCAATCACCATCATGCTCCTTGCTCTGCCCGAGGAGCTTATTCTCGACATCTTGGACTGCCTTGTGGTTGATGGTAGTTACAGTACACTTTGCAATCTGGCCCTTACATCTCGATATACTGCTGAACTCGTGCGAGAGAGTCTATTCATATCTCCATATCTTCCCAACGAACAAGCTTCCAAGCAATTTGTACAATCCGTCCACTACAACCTCTACGACGCCAACCTCATCCGTAATCTAGATCTATTGCAGTGTGGAGTTGATTATATGATCGATATACTACCTCTCTGTATACGTCTTAGAGCTATTCGTATTGACGGAAGGCGTAAGACTATCAACGGAATAGTTAGTACCCTCGCATCCAATTCCAAGGCCTTGGAGTTTATCTCTCTAAAAAACTCTTGGACTCTCTCCGATAACACTATAAAAGACTTGTCTCTCCACTGCTTGAGTCTCAAAGACTTGGATTTGCAGAACTCAAACACTCTCACCGATGACGCCTTGAGCTTCTTGCCATATCTTAAACATCTAAAACGAGTTAATCTAAACAATTGTCCAAACTTGAGTGGCTCAAAGACTCTTCAATACTTGAAACACCTCGAGGTAAGAAGACACTTTCTACGAGCTATACCAACGAGTTGTGTACAGATCCTAACACTCTCGCCGAGACTAGGTATTGCTGATCGGTGGCACTGAGCACGATTTCGAAGAGAATAGCCTCGAGACACTGAAACTGGACAATCCGTCGTTGATGGTGCTGGATATATCGTATTCACGGATCAACGAGTTTGCATTTGCAATATTGCAAAGGCATCCTTCAATATCTCTTTTAAATGTTGCCGAATGTCGTCTTCTCTCATCGCACGTATTGTTGCAATTCGAGAAGACTTGTCCAAGAATATGCTTGATCTGGTAAAAGAATGCGGTGGCATACGAAAAAAAATAGCACGATGAACATAATAGTTATGAAGTCAAAGTATTTAGACAAGGTTTTTCGCTTTATCATATATATATAAGTAATTATAGCAATCAAACCAGTTGCTGTGCGTTTAACATTTCAATCGAGATCTCGGCAAACAGAGCCGACCAATCTAGATGCATATCGCTGCGATACGTCACTGTCGGTCCTTCACCATGTCTCTGTCAGAAATGACGCCTTCTTTTGAGAGCGCTTTCTACCTTGAGCTCTGCATAATACCAATAATAATGCCAATCAACGTTGGGAGTCACATCGGTTCGGAAAATCAAGGTTATAATTGAAACATGATATCTGCAATTGGAATATTACCCATTATTCTATCTAAGGTGCCATCGGCTCCAATTCTTTGGAGCCCTCCACAGTATTGTTCATGAAAAGGACTGGCCTCATCGAGAACAGTCTCCAACGCGCAGGAGAGGCCTTTGGCAGAAGAGACCTTTGGCCTCAAAGGTTGGAATTTTCAAGGTAACTTCTTATTTTTGAAAGATAACATCGTGACCGTCGCCATGCAAGCAGCGCATGCACTGTGGCACACGACGAAGAAGGAGTCCTGAGGACGTATCCCATCGAATCTTAATATCCAAGAGGGACAGGGAATCAGAAAAGAGGTCTTGGGCATACCACAAAGTTGTGCTGTGATGATGAATGACAACTCAGTGTAATGGACAGAAGTACTTATTTTATTTCTACTGAGTACTCCTCCTCGTCAGTGGATCAAAGGGCTGTTGCAAAGGCGGTCTTGGTCAGTCATCCTTTATCTTGAGGGCCGAGCGTCGGTTCCTGAAGGTGCTTTTTCTACGTTGCTGTCTAACAGTTGTATATTGGCTGACATGTATGGGACGTCAGATACATTCCAGTGCCCTGTCGTAACAGTTTCCCACAACAAGTAAAGTGGAGAAAGGGAAGGTTGTCGAGCATTAGAGGTTTAGAGGTTCTGTGCAATGGTAACCTTTTGGTCGGTGTAACATCAAGGATAAATAAGGTTTTGGATTGTTTAGAAGGTTCCAAGACGAGACAAGACGGCAACGCCAGCGAATGGATGATGAGGAATGATGTTGTATACTTTGCACATACTTTATACAACACGGCCATGTACAGCAATGCGAGAGTAATGTAGATATATGGAATCAATTTTCACGCCATTGATGTTTACAGCCCACACACTAAGTGTTTGAGAAGAGTGTGAATATGACGATTGTGTACGGACTGCAAGACTAGAGAGCGCGTGATACCTTGTAGAACTGAGTCATTGGTTCGTCTGCTGATCTGATTTGGAATTCTATGAATGCAGCTTCTTGATGACCACATTTTTGGCAAGTAGCTGTGCGTTTGAGTGGAAGTGTTGAGATTCTCAGTCACTGAATCAATGAGTAGTGCAATTGATGGATTGTATACATGCCTTTTGTAGTGTTTGCACCGGCCCATTGATTGTCAAAGACATCCTCTACTTTTTTGCGATCTTTGACGTTTGTTTTCGTAAAGACCTGTAGTGAGTTGGGAGATGAGAAGATAGGAGTCAGTAATCAGTGATAATCAACAAGAGTAGAGATCAATAATGTCACATGCATTGTCGTGTTCTGGGTCGATTCGATGAATGTATGGACAGGTGCGACAATATAGATTGATTCCTTCTCCTTCAAACTTGTTGGACATGAGCACATTGCCACAGTTTGGACAGAAGAGCATCTCACTCTTTGGATTTGTTGTTACAGCTTGTGTCTAGTCTGAGCTTGTTTTTATCGCGTGTCAAATTCAAAACTAGTAGCGACAAAGACGCAACACGACCGCAAATGCTCAAGTTTGTAGAGAAGATATCTGTGAGCCTCGCTCCATTAAGGTCATCGTCACGTTCGGCAAGGTAAGAAACAGCTCGAGCTGCTGCTTTAGCACAGAAAAGTACTTTGACGAGGGTTGAGCAGAACAGAAGATACCTTCCATCGCAGAGTATGCAATCGAGAGCTCGGCCTTTATTGACTGGGTTTCCTCTTCCAAGGACCTTCCTGGACTCGCTCTATGCTTGCAAGGAAAACCCAAAGTGCATCATCAACGTAAACCTAGACGACAAGGTCAAGGTCCCCACCATTCAACTCGTATACAGTAAGTCACCCACATACGGGCTGCTCAAGTCATTCACAAGTTGTATACATTTCATTTCGCCACATTCTTTGGTCTCAATCACTTACGCTGTTCAATACAGGGGACAAGAAACAAATCTCGATAGATTCGTCAACCCTGAGTGCTGCAGAAATCGTAAAGGATATTAGGACTCACTCCAGGAAATTGCAAATGGCTGAGGATATAAGTGCCTCATAGACGCTCTTAGGAATATCTGTAGCCAGCATTTGTACAAAAACAAAATCACACATATACAAATACAAAACACTTCAACGCAATTCGCAGCCATGACAGGATCCGTACTTCTGCTCGGAGACGGCAATGTAAGTCTCACACCCGTTCATAATGAGATAGGATAGCCATTGGATGGACAGATCGCTGACTTTTTTCTTCCGACAAATCGACAGTTTTCGTTCTCGCTAGCATTAGTCAAATTTTTGAGGTCGCTTGATCCAGAACTACTAAAAAGAGCCCATTCGTATCTGCACCACGAAGATCACGCCAATGGTTTGGCTGTGTTGGCCACATCATTTGATTCTTACGACACCCTGATTGCCAAATACCCCGAATCGAAAGATATTCTAAGGAAATTGGTTGCTTTGGAAAATACTCAAGTCATGCATAATATTAATGCGTGGGAGCTGTCCACTACTTTTGCCCGAACGTTTGACGCTAGTGAGTTCCCCTGTCTGAAACGCTTGGTCGCTCTAGTCTTGCTCGATTAGATCCACGCCGCATGAGCCAATAGCATTTGAACATGGACTCAATTCTTCTCTCACTCGAATAGTTGTGTGGAATCACCCACACCTTGGAACTGAAGATTTTAGACTGCACGGGTTTTTGATGGCGCATTTCTTCCACTCGTGCTCAGAAGTCTTGTCGCCAAGAGGACACGTTTGCGTTTCTGTTGGTAAGCGCGATCTAAACCTATTTGCCTGCTTGTCACCAATTGTCGGATAGATTTCAGTGATTTCAGAGGTTTGGACTTTGAGCACAAAACGATACCTCTTAAAATTTAGTATCGGGTCAAGACGAAAGATGGGATCTCGTTGGACAAGCTCAGAAAGCTGGGCTAGGCCTTGTTGGGACAGAAGAATTTGTTGAAGGCGATTGGCCTGGTTACATCGTAAAGAGAAATACATCAGGCAAGTCAAGCTCATAAATCCAACTAGTTCATCCGATTCATAATACAGACAAGGGTTGCTGACTTGACCCTCGAATGCAGGCCATAGTTTCAAAAACACAAAAACCAAAAAATGGCATGGCACCATGAGCTCTAGAGTATTTTGGTTTAGTCGCCAGCCAAGTGATACAACACAGCATAGTAGTACCTCTGGATCCCCACAAACGTTTGACACTCCATATGTCTGGCGTCCCTCGAAGAGGCCGGTGCCTTTGACTACTGTTTCATTCAAGTGTCCTGAATGTGAAAAGCTTTTACCCTCTGAAAGGAGTCTAGCTACGCATAAACACGCTGTACATGTATTAAAGCGATATGGCGAGGAGTGGGCACCTGACGGTGCTCGCTTACTCGGCTGTAATGACTGTAGTAGGACATTTGCTAGAGAGGCAGATCTCCGTCAGCATCGAATCAACCGCCATACTACTGTAGATGTAAAAGAGTTGGGTGGTGCAGCAGTGGCTACTGTGAAATCGTCTGCTCCTGAGAATGTAGACTTTGAAGCTGATACTAATAATGGGTACGAACCTTGTGAGATATGTGGTCAAGCTATTTTAAAAGTTTACGGTCGCCAGATGCATTTAGAGACGTTGAAGCCATTGGTAGGCATGGAAATGTCCTGCCCTCTATGTCAACATAGTTTTGCTGAAAGCAGAGCGCTTCTTCAACACTATAAATTCTGTCGGCTGAAGCAGACCCCCGTTTCAATATCTGTAGTGTAGCTCTTAACATAATATAGATTAGGTACTCGTTGTAAGCCGAAAATAATTTTTTTCTTGTGTAGTCAATAATAGTTTGCTGGTTTCTAAATCACGCGTTTATTATTTTCATGTTTTGAAAGTACTTGTGCAACACAACGATTGCCGCAACAACGAAGAAAGCAGCGACTATCAAGCATAATGGCCCTTCAACGTTCTGTACGATTAAGCTCTGGCTATCATATGCCTGCATTAGGGCTGGGAAGTACGTATTGAGTTGCGTTACTGGAGCGTTGATTTCAAACAAAGCAACCCCACGCTACAGCTAATCTGAACATCATTTAGGTGGTAGTATAGATGAAGCACCATCAGATGAATTCAGAACTTCCGCTGAAGAGGCTCTACGTGTCGGTTATAGGTATGCAACGAACGGAGTTTGATGTAACACGATTGCTGACAATTGCAATCTTTAGACATATTGATACTGCATGGTCCTATCGAACTGAGGGAAAGATCGGGAAAGCCATCAAATCGAGCAACGTCAACCGCTCTGAAATTTTCATCACTTCAAAAGTACGATTGTCAGACGTTTCCACGGGTTTCCATATGCTGACCTATTGCTATATTCAAGATCTGGCCTACGATGGCTGGGAGAGTCAAGGAATCTGTTTTGAAATCTCTCTCTGATTTGGGTACTGATTACTTGGATTTGTTGTTGATTCATTGGGTAAAACGAAACACAAAGACATGCCCTAGTGCCTTTTCAACTCGTTGCATTCTCACACCATCTTTTATAACAGCCTTTTGCTCAAAAAACACCTGCTGGAGCCTCTCCGTACGACCAGAAGCATATGAGTGCAGAAAATTTGGACCGAAACATCAGCAGAATTGATACTTGGAGAGGTGTGATATGTGATGTCGTGTGTTTTCTTGCTGCATGTTACAATGTTATCCACATATCTTCCCCAATTAACATTTATGGTTTCTCACAGCCATGGAAGCACTAGTCGATGAAGGTCTGGTTCGAAGCATTGGAGTGAGCAACTTCAACATCCGAATGTTGAACGAATTGATGCCAAAAGCTCGCATTCAGCCTGCCGTCAATCAAATTGAGGTATCATATTCAATTTTGTCAAGTTTCAGCTCTGTTAAGGCTCACAATGTGCTTTCTTCAAGCTTCACCCGTACTTGCCCCAACATGAGCTGGTTGCCTTCTGCCAAAAGAATCACATTATCGTGGTATCTTATGGGCCGCTAGGCGGCGCATTCAAGCGTCCCGTACTGCGTGACGACCCCAAGGTACGGATTTCTTTGCACAGATCACAAAGATTGAGTTGTGTACTGATTCTGCTTTTACCTTCTTAGATCCAGGAGATTGCCAAAAGGTTGGGTAAAACTGCCAGTCAAGTGTTGATTAGCTGGTCGATTCAAAGAGGAGTAGTGGTACGTAAAGACCAGGTTTTATATCTGTTGATGCCATTCGTAACAATGCATTTCTAAATTACCTTTTCTAGACCATTCCCAAGTCACTCAACCCCAAACGCATTGCTGAGAATTTTCAAGACTTTGTCCTTCCAGAGGAAGACATGAAAACTTTGAATAACCTTACAAACCGTAAACGCTACTATGCTGCAAACCTGCTTTGGAAGATAGACATCTTCGAGGACGAACAACTCAAAGCTCCACTCGCCAAGATTTAACCCGGAAAATCGTTTGGTGTTTAGACCATAGCTTTCAAAACAATATATGTTGGCCAAATGCTCAATCAAGCAATCTTTACTCAATCAGATAGACAGATAGCACAGATGAAAGTACGGTAAAAAGTTGCTATATATTTATCATGTTTGTTTTGTGATGATCTGGAACGTCTCCGCGAATACGCTATCGAATTGAACATATTAGACCAATAGTTGCAGACCAACAATCAAAACTGATATAAGTGCTTACATTTGGCTCCTCTGGCAAAAGCAAAGTGGAGAGGGATGTTGAAGCATGATAATCTTCCAACAATGAAAGAATTGGTGTGTCGTTGCCGAGATTTTCCAGATATTCTTTTAATTGTGAATAAGGTACCTCCAGGAAGAAGCGTCCATCTTGACGACTATCTTCGTGGGGACCATGATCAAGCTTGAGGGGTGGTTTGAAGCTTGCCATATGTTTTCTGAGGGCTTCTCCAATGTCCCATCCTCCTCTCATGAATCTTCCATTTGGCAAAGTCCAACGTCTAGCGACAGTGATGCGGAAATTCTTTGGCTCATAATTAGACCAGTGTGTTATAGCAACCTTCAAAGCCTCCAAGTATCGAAGAAGCAAGAGTTTGGCTTCGAGCAAGGTCCAACAGTCTTCCAAGTGAAATTCACCTGCTTTCAAGTCACGAGTTATGGGGCCTCTGTAAGACTCAGATGAGCAGCCTAACATTAGTAATTCTGAGGCCGGATTAAGACTTTCATCTTGACCTCGACTTTGGATCATTGCCTCAAATGTAGCTTTGCATTCATCCCTTGGCACTGGCAGTTTGATTTGTCTCATGTCTCGAATAAAGTTGGTGACTGCCATAGCATCTGGAGCATTCATACCATGACGTACAAACGCCACAAATTGCTATCAGTGCATATGATAGGGAAGTGAGTACTGTGGCAAATAACTGAAGTAGTCAAAAATGGCCCTTCATCGAACTCGAGAGCGTACTTACAGCTGATGTAATACGAGAAGGTTTTTCGGTTCTCAAACATGAGCTCTCGTAATGCTTTTGAATACGATCAAATCTTCCTATTACCAACAAGAGATCAAGCACGAGAAAGGCATCTAACTCGGCATACGAGCTGATCCCTTCCGCGTTGACAACCAACTCAAGAATCTCTCCAGCCAACGGGGTAACACGATGGTACATAAGACATAAGAGCAAGGCTCGGGCTTCACGACCTCGAAGTTTCACTCTGTCGGCTATAAGGTCTTGGGTAAATGCCTTTACACTATCTATGAGGGGCATCAACTCGTCCCTATGACTCGTACTCATGACAGCAAGAATATCTCGGACGACAGAGTCTGGCCGGTTGAGGTTGTTGGCTTTCATATATGTATAATACCAAAAGGCGTGTGGTGCCATATTCGCCTTGGAGGCTTCATGGATTATGGATGCGGCAAAGTCAGGCTTCAACAGAAGAGCAACCGTCATATCATCTGCTATACACAATCTACTCATTACGATGACATATCGATTGACCAGACCATTGGCGCCTTTTGACGTTTTGCTTAGTAGCGTCTCGACCAAGTCTAGATTTTTTGGGCGGACTCCTAGTTCAGCCATTTGTTCTAGCATATTTACACCTTTTTCAGGCAAGTCTTCGTTTATATACATGGAGATCATTGTTTCAAAGACTTGGGGGCTGAGTTTATTCTTGTTTCGAGATTCCATAATGGCAAAGAGCTAAATGAGGACAAGATGAGCATGCTTGCGTGACAAAAGGACGAATCTCTAATTACCTCTTCAGCTAGCTTGACACTGGTTTTAGCCACTGCTGACAACAGATTAGATACCGTCACGTCCGACAAGAGTACACCTCGTTGCATAGCATAGCGGTATACATCCATGGCATCATGAAGATGTTTTGAGTGGGGTAATAGCGAGGAGACAAGCCTTTCTACGATGGACGAATCCAAAAGTCGACGAGACGGACCTTTAGCATCTCGTTCACGAGCCCAAGCAAAGGCTTTAACCACCAGCTCAAAAGCATCAACATCGAGCATATCATTGAATACTACAGTTGCCAAACCAGAGTCGAGTATGTCGTCCTTCAATACAAAATCAAGTAATTCTTTCATGACTGCTGGATTCCTTGGTTGAGATCTCCAGAGTCTTCCAACCTGGATTGATGTAAACTTGAATCGGCTTGCATCAAGAATCAAAGCTGGAAGTTTTTCTGCACTGCCTAATTTACAAAAGAAGTGCATGGCAAACACTGCATCATCTACAGTAGATTTTCCATGAAGCAAGATGCGTTTTGCCAGGTCTTCCGCAGCTGACATTGCCTCTTGTCGACAGGCCTCTTCTAATACAGATCTCAGTACGTCAATGGCTGCATCACCTATGAGCTGAAGCTCTTGAAGAATCTTCTCCAGGGGAGCTGCGTTCTGACATAGCCAATTTACTTGACCAATATGGTCATTGGGTAGTGGGCGACTTGGATTAGGCGGTTTTAGTCTGAGGTCCTTTGTAATAGCAGGACTGTAAGCTACAACGACGGAAATGCTTTTAGGCAACATAGCAAGAAATGTCCAGCGTTGTGTATAGAGACTCTGACTTTAAAAGACAAGAGAGAGTCTAGCAAACATACCTTCAGATGCGGGACGATCAGCAGAACGAGAATAAGGTGGTGAAGGGCTTAATCGACGTCGTTCAATAGATGAGCGTCGTGGTGAACGACCTCTAAAAGACGGCGACGATGGACGGCGACGGTCTCCTTGATGGCGTCGTAGCGGTGAGCGTTCTCTGTCGCTAGAGTGCCTACGAGACCTGTCATCAAGTCGAGAGTCTGGCAGGGGACGGTAACTACGACTATCATCTACCGATGGACGATAACTGTCATATTGTGGTCGGCTATCTGTACGGTAATTTCCTCGTTCAATTACTTGGGATCGCTCAGATATCTGAGTTCGCTCTATTATCGAGGGTGGAGGATGGAATTCATTGGCTGAATCGTAGTCAGAGACGGGTAAAGAGCCAGCTCTGCTCGGTGTATCTGTGTCACTCGCAGGTTTTCGTGCACCGACAGGTGCTGAATTTGCTCCACTTAATTCTAATAATTTGGTTGTGACTTTCAAGTTAGTTCCAGTGTTGGTGGGCCGAAGCGGCAACAAAAGTAAAAAGTTTATTTTATTAACAATGCGCTTACTCGGAGGGAGCTTTGTTCGTGAGCCTCGGTCCTATCATTTGCAAAGAAAAGGTTGTAGGGTGAGTTATAGGTTTTATGGCAGTCTACAATTTACTTGAACTATAGGAGCAATGACTTAGTACATCACGGCCTCTCGAATGACGTGAAGATTCCATTCCTCGTTCCGACTATGTTGTTGTTATGAGTATTAATCAATCGGCCGTTCCGATATTTATTATTAGCGCTACAAGCCTCAAGGTACTTGCAGTTTCCATTGATGGTATATAAGTATCAGGACTTGCGACTCGAGCAGGAAACGAAAGCCGTTTGCTGATGTCAGCTACCAGTTGAGGTTTGGGAGGCATTGTGTCTAGAGCATAATAAATATATGAGGGTTGAATATGTGAGAAGCTGAACCTCGTGAACACACTGTGACTCTAAAGGACCAATCGAAACATACCGATGGGGTTGGATGGAGGACGAAATTGACGGTATCGATGATCTTCGCCTTGTAAGACGTCACCAGGAGGTAGATGATCTTCGCCTTGTAAGACGTCACCAGGAGGTAGAGTTGCCGATTCACTCCAAGGACTAGTGACACTTGACGGTACACTAGATGTACGACCAACTACCAATGAAGGGAGGAGGTGATTTTCATATGAGCTTGCATCATTTGACACTTTTCTGTTACAATTTATAATCCCAAGTTCTCCGATCGAAGGGGGGGCATGTAGCTTTGAGGGGCACAATTATGCGATTTTTCGACTCATAAATATCAGTAGCAAAGTCAAGGGCTCTGTCATCCATCGAAAGCCAACTACACCTTCCCTGACAGCAATATGCACCGACATGCGAAGATATCTAACTCCGCATACACCCTCGAACGTCCCAAAAAAACCAAACTGTAGAGCCCACGACTTTGCCCTTCATTCTGGCAGCGCATCCAAAATTTGTGCCCCTGATTGCTGCCGCCCGACGACAGTACAGAAGTATTTACGATATGTATGTCCTTTTCTGGAACGAACAATTTCACGCTTTTTGCTAACTATGTGGTTTCTTGAAGTACCTCGATGTTGCGGAAGAGACGATCCATTACGATTGTAGAGAAGTGGTTGGGAAGAAGAAGACGAGTTTTCAGGTCCTGTATCCATTCTGTTCGAAGGTTGGTCATCATCAGAATCGTAAATCACTTTTTCGTCTAATGATGGATGAACGAATGAGGACAAAGGACGTATAAGAAGATGGATGATTTCGATAATACCTTCGTCTTGAAAGATGTTTGGTTGCGAGAAGACCTGTTTGTGTGTTTGTGTGAATGTTTTAGCTTGTCGTGTCTCTCGAGTGCTTCCAACATGCCATACAGTACAACATTTTACCGACTGAATTGAATCATTGAATATAGCAGAGTTAACTAGATAGTGAAGAGTTTATGTATAAGAATCAAAAACGAGAAGAAACTCCTGGATTAAATCCTAGTTATTACCATCAAGGGCGCTTGGAGAGTACGGTTCAGATTCGGAAGTCCTTATGCGTTTTCTTCTGTCATCGTCGACGTCCACAGGGTCATCATGAGATTCTACTCTCTTTGACGTCGAGAGTTGGTCCATCTGATGCTGCATTGCAGGAATTTGTGAGATTTAAGTGACAGGAGCAGCAATATGGGCAATAATGCAGCAATATCGACAATAATAATATGTGTAATTAATTACCATTGGAGAGGCAGTAGCAACTGGAGAAAGCACTTGTTTTTCAGGAAGGACGGGCGAAGTGAAGGAGAGGCGATTCGCCAGATGGGCACCGCCAGTTCTATCTATTTTCTTGCGCTTTTGGGTCTCTGACGAAGTCATCCTCATAGGGCGCTCTGCTGCGGATACTACGAGTGACTAGTTACGAACGAGCTTTTGAAAAACATAAGGCGAGGCAGTGGTCTAATGTGACCCTACAACATGAATCCCGCACGAATGGTTGATATATTTTGTTGAAATATGAAATATTGTTTTGATATTACATACGAGCGATTGCTGCATTAATAAATTTCGAGAAACAAAAAGTCGAGATTGTAGGTCATTTTTGATGAGGAGAGCATTAAATTGAATGAATGCACAATGAAACGCGTGTAGGATCACATTGTTAGCCGAAAGTAATATGTCCTTCCTCACTGTCCCTTGCAGAGGGATGACGTGATGGGCTTGTTTTTGACTTGCTTGAAGCTGATTCGCTGGTTGCATCCGTTATATTTTCTCATCTTTACAAACTCGACGTATCAGCGATAGTATCGATTCAAGCAACCGAAATACTATTTCTACGCTCTACTAGGATGATCAGAACAGTCCTCCGCACCCAGAACAGAGTGCTTCTCTCTCAACGACGAGCCTACCATCAAAAGGTATGTAGGTGAAACAATATCGACAACACAGAGTCTATATAAACCTTCCCATTACATACATAAGAACTCACATTTATCATGTCTACCTCATATCCCAGGTCATTGATCACTATGAAAACCCTCGGAATGTCGGTTCTTTGCCAAAATCAAGCATTGATGTCGGCACTGGTCTAGTAGGAGCTCCTGCTTGCGGCGATGTCATGAAACTACAAATCCTCGTCAACGAAGACACGGGCGAAATCACAGATGTCAAATTCAAGACCTTTGGATGTGGTAGTGCCATTGCTAGCTCCTCGCTCGCCACCGAAAAGATAAAGGGAATGAAAGTGTGGGATGCTGCAAAGATAAGGAACACCGAAATCGCTCAGGAACTATCTCTACCTCCTGTCAAACTACACTGCTCCAGTAAGCACTCTCATGCTGAATCTAGTCACACGGATGGTTTTATGCTTTGTTGCGACAATCTGTTTATCAATCTACTCATATCCCACTCACACTATATCCCATCATTAGTGCTCGCCGAAGATGCCATCAAATCGGCTGTCAGAGATTGGGAAAGTAAGAGGAGCTCCAGATCAAAGCTCCCTCCACAAACTGCTGGTACCGCTGCTGCACAAGCTTCAGTCTAATCGAATCGTAGTCTTTTTGAAAGCTTATTCTCACACTTGCTACATAAATGTTTTTGCTAATGTACAAAGTATTAAATATAACTCATACCAAAGAAGTTGAATTGTGGAGAATGCTCCAAGTCTGCAAATGAACTGTCACGCGATCCACGCGGCGGACCCGCCTCGCGAATCGTAGGAGCTAGGACTGAGTATCATACGCCCGCTCTTTCGCACTTTGACGGCCCTTCCACAAGTCTCAAAATCACTTACATGCTGGCGTCACGAGCAAGTGCAAGTTCAATCATGGAGGACCAAGGCAAGGCATTAGAAGAGGCTCTGAACGTCGTCAAAGTTCAGGCCTTTCATATGAAACGATGTCTGGTATGCCTAAAGTCGTCTTCTTTAGCCAAACAGGAACTACCAAAAACTCAATCTATTATATAACGTGAATTAGGACAATAACAAGCTCATGGATGCATTGAAACACACTTCCACAATGCTATCGGAATTACGAACGTCCTCCTTGACCCCAAAAAATTACTACGAACTCTGTACGTTCACCGACATTTCACTTGAGAGAAATCATATGCAAATCCTCGCTCGTGCCTCGTTTTTGAGAAATTAATTACAGCCCTGAGAATCTATGCACTGTTTCATCAGTTTTACTCACAACCATCTTAGATATGGCCATTTTCGATGAATTGAGGCACTTGACAACCTATTTATACGATGCCCACATGTCGAAAAGGCATCACTTGTCGGACTTGTATGAGCTAGTTCAATATGCTGGAAACATTGTTCCTCGTCTTTATCTTATGATCACTGTCGGATCTGTATATATGCGTGTATCAAAAGAAATCATACCCTCTACTCCTGGAACTCCAAATCCAAACATGCCTCTTCCAAAAGTCAATGGCTTCAAGGGTGAAGATGGCACTGACACCACTCTTCCGGAGGGCGCTGGTCCAAACTCAAAGACTATGGACGATGACGATACCCCTCCTATAAAAGAATTGATGAAGGACATGTTGGAAATGGCTCGTGGTGTCCAACATCCTACCCGCGGCTTGTTTTTGAGATACTATCTAAGTGGAATGACTAGGGACTACTTGCCTGATTATACTTTTGATGGGTAACCATTCACAGATTCCAAACCTGTACACATTCAATGTTCTGAACATCTGCTCTCTCCCATTAATCAGACCTCACGGCACTATACGAGATTCCATTCACTTCATTTTACAAAACTTTATTGAAATGAACAAGCTATGGGTTCGATTACAGCACCAAGGTCATTCACGAGAAAGAGATAGAAGAGAACAGGAACGAAAAGAATTACGATTACTAGTCGGATCCAATTTGGTTCGACTCAGTCAGCTCGATGGATTAGATTTAGAAATGTACAAGACGGTATGGGCGTCTTTTTCGATTTTTTGAAACAACGACATCTGAGCCAAGACTTGCTCATTCTAGTCGGTACTACCCAATATACTGGAGGAGATTGTCAGCTGTAAAGATACTATTGCTCAAGAGTACCTTATGGAGGTTATCATCCAAGTATGTTGTCTTTTCTAGCGTTTCCCGCATATCATCAGAGTCTCACAGCCAGGTATAATTGTCATAGGTGTTTCATGACGACTTTCATCTACGAACGTTGGAAAACTTTTTATCTGCTACAGCTTCACTGGTTCGGACAGTTAATGTCAAGCAGATTGTAATTAGCTTGATTGATCGATTCTCCAACTATGCTGCTCGAGCCCGTGACGACGCTGAATCTGATGCCAAAGAAGGTATGCAATTTCTCTTGGATTGATGAATCACTGGTTCGAATTTATTCTGACCATCATAACTGAAAACGCCAGCTGGAGTCAATGGGGAGGTGAAGGCATCAAGTGGTATACCTGATGATGTCCAGCTGTTTGAGGTCTTTTGGGGTCAAATTACTGGATTAGTTACGGTAAGCTTTCATCTCTTGCTAAAAGGAGTGACTTAATCTTTCCTTTTTTTAACTCCTCTGGAGCTCATATTGAGATGATAATCACACTTTTTACGTATTCATAGACTCGACCCGAGTTTACTGTGCAGGATATTGTTGCTCTGCTTGTATCCTTATGCAATTTGTCTCTCAATTGCTACCCTGAACGGTTGGACAATGTGGACAAGGTTTTAGGTTTTGCAAAAGAACGACTTCTTGAAGCCCAAAAGAACAATGCGTACGTATTTATTTCACTCGTGATTTACACGGACGTAGATGTTCTCAATCAAAGCATTCTTGCTTTGCTAATAATGGCTTCCTTAGACCCGAGTTAAATAACGTGCAAACAATATCATCTCTTCTCCAGCTACTCCTGGCACCATTGTCTGCCTATCACAACAATATCCTCACGATGTTGTCATTCCCATCGTCTTCAACGCAATGCATAGATTTAGATGAACGGGCTCAACGTTCTCTCGGTGGTGATTACATTGACCTACTGAATATGCAACCGTTTTCTTCCAGACGGCAGATCGCACATACAGCTGCTCAGGCTCTATTACGAGCACACTCTTTATCAGCTTATCGAGTAGAATCGATAGATGGTGTCAATCTGGTGTTGGGTGAACTATGCTCGGTTATGATTCGAGACCAAATAGATGGTGGTTTGTTTGGGCCATCGAAAACACCTATACCAGGCAGAATTCAAGGTGAAGAATTGCCGCTCGATTGGGAGGATGTTGCGGAAGAGCAAAATCTAGTCGTACGATTGTGTCATATGCTGAAAAGCAAAGACGGAAATCCCGACAGTGACTTTCAAGTAAGTTTTGAACTCGCTAGTTGAAGTGATTCCTTCTATTGTTGCACGCAGCCGTTTAACTCTTGTTTCAATCAAGCTGCTCGCTACAGCTCGAAACCACTTTGGAGAAGGAGGTGATGTTCGACTTCGATTTACTGTACCTGGCCTGCTTGTCGAGTTGATTAAATTGGCACGCAAATTCAAAACGATGTCTTCACTTGTAAGTATTGATCAGGTTTGCATTTTTTTTTCGAAAACGCCCTTTCAAACTTTCAACTTTCTTCCTGTGTCGTTCTAAATAGGATGATCCCAGCCAACCTGTAATGAAACTTGAATCGCATTTCAGGTTTATCGCTGCAACCATAACAGGTCTATTCACGGCAAAAGATTACTATGGAGAGGATGCAGAAGTATCCATCTTCCGTGATGAAGTTGCATCAGCGTCGACACAAAGAAGTACTATTGGTGCAGGTCTCTTGAGCGTATCTGAAGTTGCGCTCAGATTGAATCTCCAGGCCGCTCAAGCTAGTGATGAGTGTGGATTGGAGGATGCCGCTCAAGGATTCTTGACTGAGGTGAACAACTGTCGTTATCAAGTCAATTTTATTTTCTTGATTCTCATAAATCCCGTGACTCGCGTTGAAAACCAGGCCTTTGGAATTTATGAGCAATATGTTTCCGACTCAAAATCTCAATTGGTTGCCATCAGGCTACTTGCTGGTACTATGCAAAAGATAACTCATCTTGCTGACGATGCAAGAGAAACCTTGTCCGTCAAAATGATGGTGTCTGCTGCTCGTCTGATCCGACGATCCGAGCAATGTCGTGCCATGCTTGCTGTCTCTCATATATTTTACACCGACGCTGTGGCAGAAGGTACAAGTAAAAAGAGTGACGCCGAACGAATACTAGAATGTATTACTAGAGCTCTGAAAATCGCGGAAGCTCTGTCAGATGGAGGTGTCAAGGCAGAACTCCTGGTTGAGGTGTTGGAGAAGATGCTCTGGTTTTTCGAAAAAAAAGTCTCGACTGTAAGTTGAATGAAATTTTGGCAATTGCGATTATATTAGCTACTTATGAAATTTGATGACAATCGAGAGTGGACCACAGCAATGACGCAATCGATTCGTGTTGAATTTCAAACTGACTCAACCCTCCTCGTTTGTCATTACAGATCACACCGAAGGCCATAACAGACTTGGTTGAATCAGCTCAAACGGCCATTACATTACTATCTCGATCTCATTCTACAAATAAGCCCGTGTTTGCGGTTGCATATGCACCACCCAATACTCCAGGAAAGCCATCTTCACATGTCTTTGAAGGCCCGGACGCTGCTACTCTTCTCGCGTCGCAGCAAGTGGTCAACAAGCACTACCAGAATGTTTTATCGTATGTAAGATTGAAGAAGGGCTTGGGAGCTCAAGGAGGTTGGGGCGAAATTCACATTGTACAACAACATAGTAGTGAAGATGACGAATAGATATTTGGTTTTTGCAAGTGCTACTTATGATACAAAGCTCTATATGATTTTTCTCTCTAAATGACTAAAACTAGGTTCGACATCTGTCGACAGGGACATCAGGATCCCTATCAAAGAATGAAGCGACTGTGATTGAGGTATTGTATACACATATAACGATTCCAAATATGAGAATGCCAGCATCCTTGATTTGTTCGGCAGTCAACTTTCCACCATGTTGACGCTTTAGCACCAAGTGAAAGAGCGTTGGATAGATAAAGGATAATGGAATACAAGCTAGCGATCCCACCAAGGCCACCTAAACCAAAAGAATTGAGTATAAACCCCGTTCAGTGGACCAAATGCCGCCCGACTCACAATCTTATCTAACTGGTTGGATCCTACAAAGCTCAAGAAGGCCAAGAAAGCTACTAGCACGGTTCGATATAGATTTTTCAAGTACTTGATACGAGGTTGAGTTTTCCCACTGTAGATCGGTAAGAAGAGCATGGCTATGATAATGCAGGGAAGATTCAGTTAGTATGTTGTATTGCTAGTGTTTATATAGACAAAAAATTCCCCAGCCTACATTCTGTGATTCGAATGGAAGGGTATACAGTGAGGGGAAAGCTGAGAAGTATTGCAAGGGCGTATAAGAATTGCAATCCCAACACAGTGGGATCTGATTTTGGCATGTTCACTGTAATACGTAAGAAGTCATCAGCATGACTGCGTCTTCGCAAGTAAAATAAAGAAACGTATTACACTCACACCAAACCACCGTCTCTAGCTTGTTTCCAAATGCTGCATAGCCAAGAATGCCAGAGGCAAGGAAGATGGAGCCCACACTTACAATGCAGACTGTCAGTGTAGATGAAAACTGATTTGGTCTCTTCATAGCCTATGAAAGTTGACTGTGAATACGCCGTACAACCAAAGTTACAAGGACAAATAACAGTACCTCAGCAACAGGTACGATCAAGGCAATCCCTTCAAATGCGAAAAGGGATGTTCCAATCATTACATTAAACCCTTCTACATTCACGCCCAGTACAACTCCCTTGGCAAGTCCACGCATGGCTATCACAGAAATGTCATATGTAAAGATATAGGCGAGACCCAATAAAATGAAGACATCTGCGATCAAGGAAGTGATGGCAAATCCCTTGATGCGTCTGACAAAGGACAATGGAATATAAATTACAAGTTGCAGAATAATGAAAAATATGTCTGGCAGAATAACTAGAACGCATTTAAAGAGATTGGTTGTCTGTTTTAAATATGGCAGCAAAAAACCAGAAAGAAAGCAAGAAACACCAACCTTTACAAGCTGTAGCCAACATTGCCAAATCTCGCAAGCTTTTGGCTACGAATATGAAATAAGCTGTACAGAATCCCATCTATTTCAAATTACGGTATGAGTTTTTTTTGTGTTTGTAAGCAAATTAACGGTTGTTTGCAACGTACTTGCGACAGCGCGATAGACCATAGGACGACGTCTCTCATCCATGGCCCAACTAACTTGTAGCCCAAATCACCAAATGAACCACCGACTTGACGACTTGTATCCACGAGCAATATCATACAATGAAGCGTCAATGCTCCAATGAATATCATGACGAGGGAGGAGAACAACATTCCACCTTCAGCAAAGGCCTTTGGCTGAGGACAGGATGCTTTCGGTTAGCGCAACATTACAAAACGTCAATCAAATTACTATTTCATACCAAAAACAAGACACCGGTTCCAATAAAGGCCTTCATTAGCAAAAAGAAGGTCTTTTTCGCAGAAGTACCACCTAAATTGCTGACAGCTGTGGCAAAACTATTGGTTCTACGTAGTGGTGACTGTCCAGAGAGCAGTGGAGCGGTTTCACCTGTTGGTGGTATGTCGTCATCGTCACTGTCGTCTTCTGGTTCCACATCGCCACCATAATAGCCAAAAAGTGCGAGGAAATCTACAGAAGCAATTGGTCAGCAGAGTATAATGGCAGAAGACGAAGAGACGCGAAGCAAACGGAGTTTAGTCATAGGAAATAAATATGCAACGGGTTTAAAGGAAATAAACATGCAACAGGACGAATTTTGTTCTCTCCGTACCAACGAAATTCCTAGTCAATATTGATGGTTCTGGCCTCCCATGCTTTCTAGCTTGGTTTCGAAGATAAAACCTTCGAAACATGCCAGGTTCTCGTAATGCAGAAGCAGTGAGAATGGGATGATCCGTTTCTGGCGAAGGAGATCTAAATCGCACGTCACGTATTGGATCTGAATTACGACGCTGGCGAGTAGCTTCATTTGGCACCAATCGTCGTTCTACCCATTTGTAGATCTCACTGGTTGTATCGCCACCGTGCAGAGTGTGCGAGTTGAATGTGGCATCCAGTAATCCAGGAGAGGAAGACAGAGCCTGTTCATCGATTCCTACCAGATGTTCAGCTACAACCTTCGCTACATCTCCTTCAGTTAAGGTGTCGTCGATTGGTCTACTACCAAAGACGGCGCGTCCAGAGTAGGAGCCGACATAAGGGACTTCAGCAAGAGTTGGATTTGCAAATGAGGAAGGTATTGCGGATTTTTTGGAGAATTCGGCCTTGAATGAGGCTTCTTTGCGTATACGATCCGAGAAGGAAGAAGCCTGATGAGCGGACGCTTTGCTGGGAAGCAGAGCAGTGTTTTCGTCGAAATCATCCGAGTCGATAGGTTGACGACGCGATGCAGCCGAGGGAATAGCTCTTGGTAGAGATCTAGCCATAGTGTCTGTTATTTCATCAAAGGACAGAAGGATGTCAGATTTGATGAAGGACGATGATGACAGATAGATTGGTAAGAGAAGAAGCGATGTAAAGTAATAAAAAGACAAGTCAGAATACATGAGAGTGGATACGCACCAGTAGGAAGAGCCGAGGATTGTGGAATTGGCAGACCATTTGAATTTGAGACGACTCGACGGTTGTGGGGCGAGGCAACAGGAGGGTATGCAGCTGGTTTATCAGGCCATCGAGGATCCATTGCCGTGACTGCCTACGGTGGATGGACTAGACGCAGGTGTGCGAATGAATTGTGGAGTTTGGTGTTTGGAGTTTGGAGCGAGTTCATCACCACATGGTCGACGACTGACAAACAGGCAAGGGGGACTCTTACGTATCATATGCCTCATAGTCGCGTATTCGGTCTACTACTGGCGACCTGCAGCGTATCTTTTGCTACTCTGACGTGTCACTCCCTATTTGCATTGGTTGACTACGGGCCTACTAGGAATACGTGATGCACACCTATCTGATCAACTGGAGGCAGCGACACACTAATTTCAGACTAGCAGGCAAGCCACGCGCTTCTTACCTTTCAATCTATCCAGCCTTGCATCCAACTAATCCAACACTTTTCTTCATTGTAGAACTCGAAGCTTTGTCGACTCTGGAAGGCGTAATTGTCGAATACAAAGCTACCACTGATCATGAAAATGTATAACATTCATTCGCCTCTTCCTGATCCCAATACTAATCCAAAGTACCATCGTAGTCGCCCTTCTTGCACATTCAATGTCAAACCGACAAGGATGCTGCAAAATTGGCAAAACGTATGTCTATTTCTTCATATCGTACATCCTCAGACATCTTACAAACTCTTGAATATCTAGGTTCCATTCTCATTCGGTAAGCCTACTCACCACTACCAGTCAAGATTCAGCCATTTCTCGTTGGGCAAGGAGAAGACTAAAGTGAACCTGATCCACCACTTTCCCTTCTTATGCGGATGTGGTCACGATGCTGTTCTCAATTCGTAGATAATTGAGCTCAACGAACCTATGCCCCCCATTCTCGTCTGTCCGTGTAAACCACAGCACTCACCTTCATCCTTTTGCCAGCGAGATCATTGACGTCTGGGAAGATGGTGAAACCTTGGAGCAAGTGCATGAAAAACTAAGAAACAAACCTGAATTACATGTACGTACACCTCACAATATCTACAGACAATCCTTCAACTAAAACAACTTTTAGCAACCTTATGCTTTGGAACGGTTTCGCTTCAGAATACGAACCTTTGGACGTTCAATGCCTTTTGACCGAAATAAATCCATTGTCGAATCTTTCTTATACATGAATTGGAAGGGTCCAGTCGATTTGAACAACCCAAACGTCGAAGTCGTAGTCCTGGAGCACTGGCATCCAATAACTGCAAAGCTTATACATGTATACGTCGGAAGGCTGGTATGGTACTCGTTCTTTATTCTTCATCCTTACTAGTGCGTGACAAACATTCAACCCCAACTAGATTTCAGAAGGCAACTCAACACTAGTGAATGCTTACGACAATAGCAAGAGGACATATCTAGGTATCACTACCATGGATGCAGAACTATCTCTCATATCTGCTAATATAGCGCTCGTAAGCATTTGACTTGTTCGCCGCTTTGCTCGATTCCTCACTCCATCGCTTCAACGACAGGCTAGACCTGGAACTCTTATATGCGATCCATTCGTCGGAACAGGAGCCTTCCTGTTTTCGGCTTCGAACTTTGGTGCCTACAGTTTTGGATGTGATATCGATGGGCGCCAGATGAGAGGCAAAGGTACTATATGATGCCATTCCCCTTTATCTCTTATCTCATTTTTTCTGACTCACGTACTTTATCTAGATGGAAAGGGAATAGAAGCGAACGTTGCGCAGTACAATTTGGAGTCAACTGTGCTAGGATGCTTTGTGACAGACATGGGTACCAACAGCTCGCTCTAATAGTTCCAAGTCCGTAAAATGCTCACTGCTACCTCTACAATAGCTCATCATCCATGGGCAAAAAGGAGGTTTCTCGATGCCATCATTTGTGATGTAAATTTTTGCACGTTTTGAAACCAATCACCTTCAACCTTCTTTTAATATTGAACTCATTTCATTTTATACGCAAACTTGTAGCCACCATACGGAGTGCGCGCTGGCGCTAAGAAAATTGGTAAAACTGAAGCCACAACCAGAAAGCAACAGAAAAAGGTCGCCAGAAGGTATTTCTCGCCCTATGGAGAACTGCGTCCTACGCAAGCTCTTATCCTCGTAATTCCTACGTGAGACTGACTTTTTTACCTGGTGCTGACCTAGTACTACTCACAATTATCCACTGACACAACCTTATGAAATCGACCAAGTGTTGCACGATCTAGTCACATTTGCAGCACAACATCTCATTCCAAAAGGAAGACTTGTATACTGGCTACCTGTCGCAAACGAAATATTGGAATCAATTACAGATCCTCTTGCTGTCGAAAATCCTGAAATCCGTTTGCAACGGGTCATCCCACAACACGAAAACATGAGATTAGTCTCTGTGTCGACTCAATTGTTTGGTAAATGGCAACGACTGCTTGTCTGTCAAGAGTATGTGGAGGAAATGGTTGATTCAAATCATCATCAGGCTGGGATATCGCTTAATACATTTAGAGATTTGTATTTTGCTCCTAGTGAGTAACACGCATTGCAAAATAGATCCACTTGCTGCATATGGAGATGTTGCTTTAGTGGTTGGCATTCCGTGTTTTGTGATATTTTGTGAACTTGTGGGCCTAAACAATCTTGTTCTCCAAGTTCATATCAAAGTGTCTTTTCAACATTCAGAGCGCCTCACTGATGAGTCTGATGAGACTGTTCATTTCTTCTGTTGGTACGTATCCGGAATGTTTCGATTGACAATTTTTGGCAGCTACAACCCCCACTCACCAGAAGAGGCTAGACTCACTTCATCTCTTTTCTCACTCTGCTACAGTGTTGGACCTTACTTGCCGACATTTTGAATAACTTTGAACTTTCGATCACCATTGCTGACGCAGATGCCTTGGTACTGCTCAACTGAGCCTGTACCAGGCGCGTAAGGACGCAATGTGTCAGGATTGAATAGCTCGATTATTCCTCTGCAACACATGAATGAAATTGAAACTTATTCCTTCGATCCTTTAAGCCTTGTTGTATCCCCTTTGTTAATGTCAAAAGTGAGTTAATTTCGAAAGAATGCGAGTTTTTGATCCAAAGATGGAAGCATCACCAGCAATCGTCCAGATAAGAATGCTTGCACTTGTTTTTACGGCTCTTGTTTCCACCAAACGATAGCACTGAGCAGGTTTTTTACGGTTGGTGTATGTCCTACAAGGGTTTAGGGGCCGCGTTGGCCAGAACGATTCTGAAATTGACTTTGATAGTAGTGTGACGAGGTTATCGTATAGTGAGATTCCGGTCTTGTAGATTGCCTTGTGGTTACTCTGTAGTATCTGAGCACTATCAATTTACAAGCGACTGCAGCGATGTTCATAAAGCTGAAGAAATGATTGTTCAAGCATTTCATCAAAGCCAGATCCACATCATTTGAATGGAGTAAAGAAAGATTGGATGTTTCTCTACAGTCACTGATACATTGTGTCATGCACCACCCGAAACTCTTTGCTTTGACAAATCTCAGAATTTAGCTGTTCTTTCTGAGAATCCTTCGACAGATTGAGATTACGCAAGCTTAAAATGTCACCTTGAAAGCATCTATCACTCTGATTGCTTGGTGGTCATCCTGAGAAACGCCTTTGCGTCCAAAATTGTGTCTGGGTTGAGTAAACTCCGACTGCATGTACTTTTGCAGACGAGATGCCAGTTCTTGTCAATGAGACATTGCATTTGAATCTTTATTCATACTTGGAATTTTCACAGTTTCGCCTTCCATAAGTCCGTTTCTCGCAGCATGGGCCAACGTTGCAACGACATCAAGCGGATGCAGAAGCATCTTAAAGAGAATAGCAAATGTTGGCCGTAGCGGCTTCTTTAGTTCTTCGCTAGCTTCGCCATGGCATCAATCAATCGGCCAACAGCAACACGCGGAAAAGTTGGACAGTACCTAGAATGGTACAATTCTACTTTAGGAATTTGTCCTGTACCCGGAGTAGTGGACACATTGTACACAGGTAGGATTTGCTGGGTTAAAGAATCGCGGGCCTCCGTTTTTTTTTTTTGGCTCATGTATTCTATTGGGATTATAGTCCCGCAAATTTACGATTATTACAACACTTAAAACCCACTAAAGTTGCTAATTACTCCCCATACGTCCACGCAGCTTCGTTGGACCAAAGTGAGCCTTCCACAGTAATTTTTTGTTGGATGATACGGATCTTTAGTTTCAGGCTCACCAGATTTAAGTCCCGTTTAGCTCAGTGGATTAGAGTGTTGCTCTCCGGAAAAAGAGTGAAGCAAAGGCCGCCTGTTCGAACCAGGCAACGGGCAACTCTTTTTGCTGAGTTTCCCTGACTTGCCGCCCTGCCTGCAAAACATTTGTTCTATTCGTTGCAAAAGTCAGCTCTTTACTTTGCAAGTCAGCAAGTCACAACTAACAAATTTCAAACAAAACCGTGTGTATCATGATATGATGATCACGCTCTTTTCGGGATGGTGACGGCACCATATTCATTCTCTTGCAGATTGAGTTCTAGCTTCAATCGCAACTAATCGCGATAGGACGGAGACGTTTGACTTGTGTTTGTGAGTCACCAATCGTGTCCATCATTTTGACCAACTGGTTGCAAAAACAAAGACTTTGAACTCTTCGCCTCGAACATGCATCCCTTCGCGAGATCATTTTATGTATATTCTGTTTTTACAACTACAAACACCGCGTTTATTTTGTACACCATTTCCTCTTTGCAAACACACCTTGAGGCCCTTTATGGGATAGTGACGACACCATATTCATTCTCTTGCAGATTGAGCTCTAGCTTCAATCGAGATGGGATGGAGAAGTTCGACATGCGTTTGAGATCACCAACATGTCCACCATTTTCACGAGTGATTTTGAGCCATGACTGCAATCCGAGACGAATGCCTTCTTCCAAGGTCGCACTATAGATATTTCCACGGCCCCCTTCACCAGTGATCAGGGAGCTTACTTGCTTTGTCAAAGTGTGAATTGATGGTTCGAGTATATCTGGACGATCTATGACAGATTGTTAGCGCGGTGGATTTGCTTACATATCGACACACTGTTTTGGTTTGGTTGTAAAGTGTCTTAAATTTGTACATACCTTGAATGAGTGCCTTGAGAGACTCGGCAGGCAATTGAGACAAGGCTCTGGTGATACTGCGATGGCAGTTCTGTACGTTGTGAGAAGGAGGCAGGTAGCGACCATGTGAATCGTGGACAATTTGGACAGGTAATCCCGATGGAGTCGATGCGGCATATCTAATTTCATTCAAGAGAATTGAGCACTCGATTTCTTGTGGGTACATTCTCCAGAAATGCTGGCTTTAAAATCAACCAACTACTTACACTTCCTCGAAATGTAGACGACGGTTCACTATTGAATCATTGAAAAGAAACTTAATTTTAAATTCCATTTGTAACTATAGAACTTGCTAATTTGAACTCACCTCGGATGACATCAGCCAATTGGAGAAGTGTTCCGCTGCTACCAGAGGGCAGGAATTTGTGGTTGCAATAGCCACATGCGACCACTACAAAGTTTACTGCTTTAGCGAGACTTAAATTGACCAGTTTCAGACGTGAAACCAACCTGAAGGGCCAAATTGTGTAGCGAACGGAGGCAATGTACCGCTGCGAACAGAGTGGTCGTCATGTACTTTGGAAGGGTCGACAAACATCTCATTGAGTGTCTTCATAGCATCTTCCATAGTAATGGCAGCAGGATTTCTAGAGAGAACATCATAATTCAAAGAAAAACTTTTAAAAGCAAATTCTGCCAACTTACTCGAAAGCAACAGCCACCATCGGATCGCGTGTCCTCATAGCAGTAACAGCATTGACGAGTGAATCGTGATTCGTAATTTCAAGCATTCGTCGAGCAATGACGGTAGTTGCGGCTGGAAAGAGGATCTTGTTGTGTAGAGTGTGTGAGTTAAACAGCGTTGTACAGAGTCGCAAATCGTACCTTCTTCGTGTCAAATCCCAACGCCCCGAGAATGTCCTTCAGATGCTCCAGATCGTATTTGACAAGATGTAGCAAAGAGTTCAATTCAACTATCTTGCTACTTCCTTCAATAGGTACATTTTCTCGTAGTGTATACAATGACTTCCACCAGCTAAAGGGTGAAAGTAGTTGAGCTACGTTGAGTCATGCATGGCCATTAATATGAGCAGTAAAACCATTCATAAGAGCGGCAACCAACCTGTGTACAACTTTTGTCTCTTTCTTGAACAAGGCCCTCAGGTGATTTTCAACGATCAAGAGATTGAGTCGACGATGTACAACAAGTTGTCCTAAAATGAAGCCAAAGGAATGAACCAAACTGAAACTGGAAAAATCAACTATCAACCCCGTACCATCATCAGCAGAACGGACAACATTGAACTTGCGAGCGTTTCTGATGAGAAATGAAAATCCAGCAAAGGGTACTCGAAACAAGTATGATGCAAAGCTGAGATCCTAAGGGGAAATTCGTTAACTTCATTTCAATGGCGACAAGAATTTGGCGCAACTCACAAGTGCTTCATTGAAGATAAACTCGACTGCTGCATTGAAACGACCCATCTGGCCAGTCTCTTGGAAGTTGTTTTTACACATGATTCCGTCCCATAAAGAGCTGATAGCCCATTCAACAGCAGCTCGTTTTCGTTGCTTCTCTTCGTCATTCTCCTCTTTTGCGAGCCAACCTTTTGTGAGCAGTGTATGGTCGAGCATAGACCTACACAACCACGATGTAAGTGAGACTGCTTTCGCGGAACACAAAATAAGGGTTTTCAACAACTAAAGAATGTACAAGACTCACATGAACAGCTGAGCAAGATTTCCAGTTTTGATACCATTCGTCAAGCCCAAACTGAGCCTTGAGTGATACACGTTTCGGTTTCTGGCATATTGGACGAGTGGTAATGTGATGGATGCTGCTTCGCCAACTATTTGATGTCAAGCATGAGTTAGTAAAGCCCCAACAACGCGACAACAAGCATTCGTACCTGTGGTTCGTTGTCTGGTGTTCAAAGTGAACTCAGCACATCGCAAGCAGATGATTTGACTGGAGAGGAGGTCGTTGTGATCGTGACATCCAACAGCCAATGGAAAGTCGAGAGCATAGTCTTTGGTGTTTGCTTCAACCAATTGGGGAGATAATTTCTACATAAGTCATTGTCAGAAAGATACCACAACACCAGAAACCGCGATCGCAAATCCACAAATATATTTACCTTGAGTGTCAATGCCATGACTTGATTATCATCTAAACAGATATCACAAGTCGACGTGAAAGCATCTTCCAAGTTCAACTTCTCGAGAGTCGCAGCAGCATCTTCTTCTGTGATGACGACAGCTCTCATAGCACGATTAGATTGTCGCGACAAAACAGTCGTGGAGAAACCTAAATTTACAAAAGAGTGTCAATCATTGCAATAGAAAACCAAGTCGTAAAGTACTGTGCAAATAATACCACTCCTTTCTATAGCTCCAAGAGCAGCGAGAGTACCTTAATTTACAGAAGTGTGTCAATAATTGCAATAGAAAACCAAGTCGCAAGATAGTGTGAAAAAATACCTTGTATGCTGGCATTCACTTTTCGAATCTGCTCAACTCTGTCGCTCAAGGTAGCCTTTTGCATCAAGTTGAAGTGTGCATCATTTGCGGCATGAGCTAAATTCAATAATGATCAGACTTCGATTGCTTCGAAAAAATATCCGAATTAGCCTTACCAGCACGGAGCTGTCCTTGAAGTTCAAGCAGAATGTGAATTGGCTGATTTTGGTCACGAGCGGTTTGAAGATGTTGCATGATTCGTCCAGCACCTATTTGGAAATGTTGTGATGTGATGAATGACACATACAATATTCCGGTTTTAGACCTACCACTGACGTCGTCTCGTCTGAAAACGGCTTGCGAGTCAATCATATGACTAGACAACAAGTTTCGAAGCTGATTGCGTAATCCACGCGAACTGGCGGCGATAATGATGGACTGGCGAATGGTCTCATTACCAAACAACTCGACAATTTCGTCTTCAGTGAGTCGAGATCCAAGCAACACTTCCAGGCGTACTGATAATGTCTCCGTGATACGAGTGATTCCGGCTTCACGCTGTTGAGCAACGATGATTTCAAAATCCAAGAGCTGTTCGACATTGACTCGTGGTAGAGACTCCCAAGTTGTTTCTTCATCAATGGTGTCAAGACCTCCCAAGTTTTCAAAGCAACCTTTGGCTTGTAAGAGATACATTTGGCTCAATTCATCCTTTTCCTCCTATGAAAATTGAAGAGTTGGGATGAATGATTAATAGGGTCTTTGAGTGTTGAGAGAAGTGAGAAAAAGATCCAAACTTGCCATATCAAAGAAGCAAAATGCGACATGATCACAATTTGCAAAGAGTGAGAAGCTACAGAAAAAAGTAGGGTTTAGCACTTGAATCTCCTAATTTCGATGAGCAGGACTGTTCTCCCAAACTTGCCCAACCGAGACATTAGCATCGTTGACTTTGGGAGCACTTGGGCAATATCCAACGATCACGACAATCACGGGAATATGAACTTGGTTGGTTTGGGTGATTGCGGAAGCCAAAGCTTGGACCTAATTTGGGGATGTTACATTAAGCGTAAGCGGTACGAAATATACAAACGGGGCATTACAAGGGATCATAGATTCATCAAATTCAATCTGATTCTCTTTTACTTACATCGCGTTCACCAATTTGTCCGTCGGTGAAAATCAACCAAGCGTTGGAAGTGCTGATTGCTTGCAAGTGTTCAGCAGACTGAAGAATACATTGGGGTGTAGTTCCTAGTGCGGGAAGTTTGTGGTAAGTAAAAAGTCGGTTCAACAGACGATCGTGAGTGCCACGTCAAGAGTAAAGGAGCAGCTGGCTGATGATTTGAGCAGCTGACTGATGATGTTTACCTCCGTATGCAGCGAGACTCATGATTTGATCCATATTGATGATCTGATACGCTGTACTATCCCAAGGAAGTACAAGAGCTGGATCACGAGGAGGAACTTCGTTTTGCTCCATAGGTTGCTCCATAGCATGCTCCATAGCCTCTTGAGTTTCTGGGACATTGGGAACTGGAGCTGGGAAAGCTGCAAGCCTCTGAGCAAGCAGACATTCCGTTCTGAGAATTGAGCCAGCGGTAGAGCCTGAAACATCAATGGCAAAGCACCTCTTGGAATCTGTAAAGATAGGATGTTCAGTGAGTAAAACGTTGATCATAATGTTCAAATGTTGACAACAAACTTTCGGGCCATTGCAATGTAAAAGGCTGTTACATACCATTGAAGCGAATCTTTTCTTCCATAGGAATGTCCTCATCGGTACTTATGACAACTCTCCAAGCTGGGATAGCGGGTTCTGCAGGAGGACTGACTGGCTGTTGCTGTTCGTTGACAATGGTCGTAGTTGCACTGCGTGACGCTGATGCCATATTGAGCATCGACATCGTGAATGGCAAGTGCTTGAAGCTTGCTTTTTAGTTTGCGTTCTCTCTCTGCGCTTGTTTCTTTTGGTTCAGTCGCGTTCTTAGTCTGACACTGGCGCAATGCACGAAAGGTCGCTGGCTAAGCTCTAAAACCAAGATCACCTTCGTATCGTGTATGGTTACTAATATTTATACTCTAATTACATAACTGTAGCTGTAACTTTTTATACATTCTACTTCGCGTCACATCGAATAACCACAAGTCCAAAAGCGAAATTACTTCACGTCGAACGTGTAAATCTCGTCCATTAGGCCGTTGATCTTATCTATAAAAAACAGTTTCAGAATGGATTTCATTACAGATTCAGAGTTTTAGCGAAGATATAAAATGAAATACCATATCGAAGGCCTCTCGTGTCATCAGGGCGTTTGGTCCTTTGAGGATTTGTTATGACCGTCTTGATGCCACAGTCTCGAATGATGGGAGAACACTCATCACAGGGCATTTTTGTCGTCACTATAACAGACTTCTCGAGCGACAAACCCCGAGCGCGATTGTTCAGTAAGCAGTTTTGCTCGGCATGCAAACTGTATGAGTACCTAGAAGCGAAACAATAAAAGTCAACTAGTTGGAAATGATAACAATTGCGGGACTGAGGGATTTTAATACTTACTTTAAATCATCCGTTTCAAGAAGATCATCGGATCCCCCGGTTGGATAGTCAAGGATTGCGGACTTGACGGATGGTGTGAAATCAGCAAAGAAGAGAAAGCTTTTGAATTGACTAGTTCTACCTTTCTTGGAAATCCATTCCATCCCACCGCCACGTATTTTCCACTGGGACTGATGATTACAGCTCCAACACCGACCTGGAAGAAGCCATTGTAGAAATTAGACTACTAGACTACTAAGAAACGCTCAAGTCGGCAAGATTGCAAATTTTGCGAGCTCGCCCATATAAGTGTGCTTGTCGATCATTAATTCACAAACGCTCATACCTTTGGATCATCTGTTCGTTTAGAGGCGATATGTGCCAATACCATTGCATGTTTCCACAACTCAGATGCGTCAACCACTCCAGCATCAACACCGCCAACTACTTTTCGACACGGTACCTGATATCGATCTTGTAGAGCTTGTAGGACTGTAGCAGTATAATTGAATCGTGTCTTGATTGGTCCATAATTGGGGTAGATGGCGGGACTAGAGGCAATTGAATCATCCAGAGCCCACGCAAGGGTTTGTCCTTCATCGAGTTCCATACCGCCAGAATCACTCTCTGTTGCATGATCTCCTACCCAATACGGGACATACATTGACTAAAATGTATAGAAATGTGTAACTAGACTGTTGGTGGATGGACTATGCTTTCGTTTGGTGTAGTGAGAAACAACCGAATGTCCGAATAGCTTACGAGTCCAATCGGATTGTTTGATATAAGTCTTTGTACGGCCTTTATATTTTTTTCACGTTTTGTTTCCGGCCTTGGAGGAGTTGATGTGAGGTTTTCGTTTCCCTTTGGCGGTGAATGAAACGCTGGTGGTGATGAAGACAAGTGCTGCCATGGAATGGCTGAAGATGGTAAAAGAGATAATCGAAGAGGGGATGCCGTCATATCCGCGTCGTTTTCAAGGTTTCCCAATTCCCAATCCTCCGATGGAAAGTAGTGGATTTTGCGAACACCAGCTAAACACGAATAGAGACATTAGTGGGTGTATCGTGGGGAGTAAATAACAGGTGCATGTATTATTCTCCACTGCTCCTACCTTGGACAGCCATTTTCACGCAAAGCGAGCAGGGAAACCGCGACACGTATAAGTCGCATCCCCTAGCAGATTCAGCATTAAGCAGAGCTCTCACAATACTGTGAGCATTGCCAGAGACTTCCATTGAAAATATCCGTTCTAAGAGTGATGTGGTATTATGGAAGACTAGCCCACTTGATTGTCGCGTCGTAAGAAAATTTCACACCTGCAGCAGGATCAACCAAGATTGAGCCAGTAGGCAAGGAAGCAGGATACACCACGTCTGTGGAAGTTGGATATCGTTCCATCTGAAGAGCAAGCATCATGAACTGTGGAAGGGGAGTAAACACTTGAATACTCGCGTGAATACACGTTTGCGCATAAAACCGCCCATGACGAGATCAAGGTACCATGTCACGGGCTTTGATGCGTTTAGTAGCATTGGCAGTCCAAAAATCGGAAGGGAGAATCATGTCAAGAAATGTCTACAAGAAATTGATAAGATATGATCGATGTTGGGTAATGCGGCATAGCGGTCGTTTCACGAAGACAAGATTAATGCTAGTACTAATTCACAAGGCACGATATTCAATGTATACCTTAGTCAGCTGGAGCCTTCGTGTATCGAGAAACCGCTCTTGCCCCCTGATACATTCAAAATCACCTCAACTCCACCAATTGACCTGTTGAGGTAAAGAGGCGAGTGCTAAGAGCTTGGTCTACTTTCTAACCAAAGGTATCAGTATCGCCTTCCTTCCTTTGACCGTTCAAAGTTCTCAAACCCCATTCACAGATCCACACAAGAAACGGAGCTTTCCTTCATGGCTACTTCATTTTACAAGCAGAGCAACAAGAGCTCCACCGTCTTCGAAGACACATCTGCAAGCGATGGGGCTCTCACTCCGCCAATGCCAACTCTCTCCACGGAACGAAAGACATCAAAGAGTAACGTTTTGGAGTCTGCTCACAAGATCAGACCATCTGAACATGCAAAGAACTTCATCGCGGTCGGCTACGACTTACCTGGAAGAGGAAATCTTAGAAAGCTTGAGGAGAAGAAGCACAAGGAACGCTTAAAGGAGGCATTTCAAAACGAGATAGTCGTCCTAGCCGGTAAACTAGACTTGTTTGTCGAGCTCCGGAACGTCTAGAGGATTACTAACCACTTTCTTTCTACTCTCTTGCTTGGGTGTATTTGTAGGTGAGATCTTAGAAGACGACGAAAAAGGTTTAGAAGAGGTCGCTTCCATTGGTACTTTCCTCTTGCTCAAATCTGATACATATGAGGATGCTCTGAACTTTATGAAGGCCGACATATACTCTGGCGGATTGGTATGTACAGTCTCTATCAACTGCAAGCTTCGGGCTCGTCTTCATCTCCTTTATGCACAAAAGGTTCTCGGGCACGTCGGAATTCAACAGGCGCTAGTACAGAGGATGTCACCTATGCTAGACAGTACAGACAAGATAACCAAGAAGCCTTACTATCTTGTTTTGGGTTACGATGCTCCAGACACCGCCATCCCGTCAAAACGTGACATAGCAAGGCCGGCGCATGTAGAACGTGCTCAAGCTGGTTTTGAAACGGGCATCAATGTATTTGGCGCCGCGTACTGCATCGAAAACGAGGAAGGTGGACGGAGACTCGTTGGATCATGCCAAATTCTGAGTTGTGAATCCCTGGCTGTTGGTAAGCATTGTTTATATTGTACGCATTCGGTGACTGATCTGTGTTTCATCTCAATAGCTCGTGAAACAGTGGAGAATGACCCTTATGTCAAAGAAGGTGTTTGGAATTCCTACGATGTGAGACCAGTTCAGTTCCTGGCATTAAAACAGTAGTTTGAATATACGACGAGAAAGCAATAAGTGACATTTACTAGAGAATTAAACAATCATAGTCCAAACAAGTCAATTTGAAATAAAAACTCTACGTATATGTATTTTCCTGACTTTGAGATCGTTTTTTACATGAAAGCTACAATTGTATGTTTCAAATTTTAATACGTTCAGGCCTTTGTCAATCGACGAAGCAACAGCAGCAATCCGGCAGAAACGACGACGAAAGCTGCTGTATTTATGATTTTGCTATTAAACTCCTTGTGCTTCACGACCTTGTCCTGCCTCATTTTCTGCAAAGTTGGTTTCTTCGTTGTGTCCTTGGTGGCAGAACCGAAATCCTCCATGTCCGTAGTAGCACATTGCTCAACGACAAGCTGTCCACAGGCGGCAGCTGCGTCGTTACCTAGAGACTGTCTCAAAATAGTCCATACACCATGAGACCGAGTGATGGCCACGAATTGATTGGCGACTTCTCGTGATGGTCGTTTATAGTTATGAGGTACGTTGGTTTCATTATATGGCAAGACATTCAGCAATACATTCCGGCCAGCAAGTAATCTGCCCAAATCGTTGGCAACTGGCTCCGAGTCATTCACATTGGCAATCAAGACATACTCGACCAAGACAACTCTTCGCCGAGAGTTACCTGGCAGAGACAAGTTTTGATGATTGACGAATGCATCTGCTGCATCTAGTATTCTGTCTATATTATAGGCTTTTGCTGTTGGGACGATTTGCATCCGAAGTTTCTGTGTTGGAGCATGAAGTGACAAGGCGAGTCCCACTTTTGGAGCATCGTTTATCTATCAAAATGAAAAATTTTAATGACACTTTAAGACCTCAAGGTAAAATACGGTCTTTGGGAAGCATCGTCAACCAAACGACGATTCAAGACGACATTACCAGAGATTTCATTTTCGGAAGTATGCCAACTGTTGATATTGAAATCTTGGAAGGAGATAAACAGAATTGTCCTTGATCGACCATTGCTTTTATAGACGCAATCACTGCATCGTAGTTATCTAAGGATTTCAATATCAACTGCATGTAGAAAAGCGAACGAAAAATGGGATCGATCAAGATTGATGATGGGATCGAATTTTTTACCTAATGGCTCGCCCATCCCCATAAATACTACATTCTATGATCGGAATTCTTGTTATCGTCCGGATGGAAGCATATGAATTTGAATCCCAATCACTCAGCAGCTTACCCTGATCTTTTCAATCTTGTTTGCCAGGTACAGTTGCTCGAGAATCTCTCCAGCAGTCAAATTGGACACTAGTCCCATCGTTCCCGTACTAGTTTATAGTTGTTTGATAAAGAGTTGGGTTCCCAGACTATAGAGCAAAGTAGACCAGGATACTCACGCGCAAAATGTACATCCCATCGCACAACCAACTTGTGAGGAAACACATAGAGTGGCTCGCGCATTGCTTCTAAACTCTCGTCCCGACTCTTTTATGGCAGCTTGACGACTTTTATCCCTTTCATCCTCGGGGAAGTTCTCCATTTCTGAAGCTCCATATCTAAACGTTTGTTTCAGTTTGTTAGGGATGTTGTCCACTACAAGACTAAAAGGTAAATATAACCTCATAATGACCGATTCAACATGCAATCCATCTTGAAGTCGAATTAGGAGCTTGCTAGTTGTCCCGTCTGAGGAATCAGTTCTCTTCACTATCTGTGAAGTACATATAGAAAATCGACTGTCTAGGACCTTCTTGGCGGCTTTTGATAGATCCGAGTCGGGCAGTTCGTGGTAGTTTGCGCATCCTTGTTGTATAATCAATCTCCATAGTCGTCGGGCGTTTGAATGAGGAATTTTATGATCTGTGAAGGCATTGAGGACAGCTTCCTCATCAAATATAGATTGAGGTGCATCGGCATCACGAATTCTCTTCTTCATTTTGAAGCGATCGCCTATTGTTTCGATCCAAGATTGTTTAGTTGACTTGACTTGAACGCACACAGAAAAAAAGAACAGAGCTATACAAACAAGGAGGAAAGCTTACGAGTTACGATATGGAAGCGTCAGTAGCGAATTTGCCAGACTTGGCTAGTGCTGCTCTTGGAGGTCAAGTACTCTTTTGTACAGATGGTAAGTCAGCTTGTGCTCCAAAAAAAAATGATTTTTCAAACAGAGCGTGTGCATTAACAGCTACCTATATTTTCAGATTTCTTTGCTGTTGGAGAGAATATGATATTGTCTTCTGAGCCTAAATGGGACCAGAACTTGTATACTGCTCATGGTACATTTCTAGCATTCCAGCCAAAAACATGTCGCGTCATTCGACATTCAAAACATTTTTATCTAACCTTCAACATGGCAGGTAAATGGATGGATGGATGGGAAACTCGAAGAAAACGTATGGCTGGTCATGACTGGTGCATCATTCAACTCGGAATATCCGGAATCATCAAGGGTGTTGAAGCAGACACTGCCTTCTTCACTGGAAACCAAGCTCCCAAAATATCCATTCAAGCTGCCTGTCTTGAAACAGGTGGACGTCATATTCGTATTCATTTTATCATCTTCAAAAAGGCCAACCTGTTCCCCTTTCACCTGTTAGATGCCGTGAAACTGCCACGACGACGATCGGAAATGGGGACTGCAGCTACTCCTTCAGAAATCGCTGCTGCGGAAGCTCTACACTCTGAAAAGTGGGAAGAGATTCTTTCGATCGTGGACTTGAAGCCTGGGTACCCTGAAACTCGAAAAAACACCTTTGCCATCGATAGCAACAAACGATGGACTCACATTCGGTATAGTGTCGTTATGCATTAAATCTTCTTGCCTCTGTATCTGAATTCTCTGTTTTAGATTGAATTTATATCCTGATGGTGGTGTTGCTCGTTTGCGTGTACATGGACAAGTCGCTCGAGACTGGTCCAAAGTATCAAAGACCGAAACCATCGATTTGATTGCTGTAGCGAATGGGTACCAAGTTTCTCTTCAGTGCATTCTCATTTCCGTCATTCTCACGACCCTATCTCAATTACTCAGGGGTGAAGGTGTTGCATGCAGTAACCAACATTACGGCAAACCATCAAATCTCAACCTACCATCACGATCAGCAGGCATGTTCGACGGATGGGAAACTGCTCGTGATCCAAGTAGACCTGGAGTCTTCAAAGTCGGACCTGACGGCTATCTCATCTCTCCCAACTATGAATGGGCAGTCATGAAACTGGGTCATGTAGGAAACGTGCATCAAGTTCAGGTTGACACTGAGCACTTCAAAGGCAACTTTCCTGAATCCTGTCATGTCCAGGTATGCTCTACGTTCTTGTGAAAGTGATGGTTAATAGGATTTCATACTCAAGACATTGCATTTGTTTAGGGAACTGACTTTACAGGAGACGTCGCAGCCTTCCAAGAATCAACTGCAAAGACATCATCTCGAAAACGTAAACATGATGAACCTGTATGGTTTGACTTGGTACCAAGATCACGATTGTCTGCAAACCTTTTACATATCTTTGATGCGCAAAACATGAATAAGAAGGTCACATATGTTAGAATTACCATATTCCCTGATGGTGGAGTGAGTAGACTGCGAGTCATGGGAAACATAGCATAGGATGTATACAGGCCATCAATAGAAGAACAATTTGCACATGAAAGTTTTGATAAGTTTTTTGGGTTTTGATTGGATTTATATTGGGGGGTTGTAAGGCTCATTTCTACAGACCACTTCATTTCTTATTTATTTTGTTTGATTGTGTTCCTTTGGTCTTTTGGTTTCAATTCTACACTTTGACCGTTTGATTATCACTTCCTTTTATATGCTTTTGATATATTTTGAGTCTTGTACTCGTTCCTCCGTTCCTCCCCTCATTCCCTTCTTTATTGTTTATGAAGTTTTGACATTTTGTGTCTGCTCCTTTTATAATATGAGGATGGACGCCACCAATACAGTGACAGTTCCAGCCAATACCATACCAATACGATTCGTGGATGTAGCACCTCCGCTTACAGGTTCAGATGGAGTGGAAGGCAATGGACGAGGAGCAGCTGTGGCAGTCATAGTAGATCCAGGTGGGAATGGCAACGTCATAGTAGGAGCAATTTCCATAGTAGTACTTGTAGCGCTAGCAGTAGCAGTAGCAATAGGAGGCAATTCAGCAGTAGCAGTAGCATTCAGAGTGCCAGTCGTACCGTTGCCCAATACAGAGCCGATCTCAGGACCAACTCTGGATTCGACGTCAAATGTTGAAGACATTGCAGCACCTGTTGCCACAGGAGGACGTCCATTAGGGCGTTTCTGCCATTCGTTGTTCCATTCAGGATTTTGCCAACCCGGGTATGGCCCTGGACACAAGACCAGCAAAATCGTGCAAGTATCAACAATCACGATGTCGGACGCAACATTAAAATACTGTCAAATTTCTTGAGCAAGACATACCAGATTTCCAAGCAGGGGCTTGACTAGCAACTGAATATGGAGTGATGGTTCCGCTGCCGACTTGTTTCCCTGGTTTCTGGTTTACATATCGCGCACCATCTTCATCAAGAATAATTTCAAAGTAATCCTGGTCCACATCAAAACCAGGCAAATAGATCAGCTCAGGCTTTTGATATGCTAGTCCGATAGTAGCCAAAGCCAATACGACCAAGAAGCTCTTTATCATCATCTTTAAAAGTGCTACAGAAATCTTGAGGTGTAAGTTGTGAAGGTGCAAAGTTTTTTGTGAAAATGAGATACCACACGTGTTTGAAGGTGAGTCTAAAACAAGAAGAAACTGTCCAGAACACGTATATTCTATTGTGTTTGTACCGTTACAATACAAGTCGATCGTGTACAAGCTATTTGAAAATGGTGTCAAAATTCTGTATGAATCCGGAGACATGGACAAATCTAGCCAAAAACATACCAAAGCGACTCCATCTCCAACACTATCTCTAAATCCACCTGCGAGACTCTTTCTATTGTATTCCACCTTCACCCTCAAAATTCGCTGAAGGTGCGTAAACAAGTCCATTTGGTGCTGATGTTCTTGAAAGGAACCCTATCACAAGTTAAAAACCTGAGCATAGTCATTTAGCAAAAAATTCTTGATACATGTTGGTACCTTAACTTCCTTTTGTTGATCTTTAGCAGTCTTGAGTGCGTGCTCAAAGTCATTGAGCTGCTTCGTAAACAAGTCACGGTATGTTTTAAACCCACGTCGGCCTTGCTCTGCTTCCAGACTGGGATCCCCTCTGTACGCCCTCAGTTCTTCTTGAGCTGATGGAGGAAATGTCAGCCGACTGATGGTTGAGATTTCATGCAGTGACTTTTCCAGTCTTTGAAGCAACAATTACCTCGTTCATAATCTGCCTTGGCCTGCTCAATCTGTGACTTCAAGCTCGCTATATGAGCTTCGCCATCTTTCAGATCCTGATCTAATCTCAACACTTCAGCATCTTGAGTGTTTTCGCTATCATAGCCAGCCATGGCAGCATCGTACACCCTCTTCTTTTGAGTGTGCTCAACTTCTACTGTTTGTACTTCTTGACGTGTTGAGCGTAGTTCTTGCATCATGGGTGTCAACGCATTCTTCTTTGCCTAGAAGTTATAACGGGCAAAAATGAGACTCCGAATCAAAGTGACATTTCTGGTTTGAGGCGACAATATTAAGTACCTGGATGGATGACTTGAGGCTAGCAATGGCCATTTGCAACTCATCTAGACTATCCGCGTGCCGATGGTGATTGCCGGGTTCGTCTAAATCAACATCATCAAAGTCAAGATTCAGACTACCGGTCGAGCCCGAAGACTTTCTAAGAGTCTTGTAAGAGTCTCGCATAGATCTCTCTCGGCCTTTGAGGATCTAGAAGAATGTCTACAGCTTAAATGTGTAGTACAGCAATCCGAAATACACATATGAAGTGTACCTCTTCGGTTCTCTGAAGGACTCCATACTCGGTAGTCAGAGCAGCCAATTCTCCTTTCTTCTGCTTAAATACCAAAGATTTGGCTCTGATGTCATTGACGTATCTCTTCAAGTCTTCTCCTTTTAATGCCTTGTTGGCATTCACAGTCGACGCTCTACGATGTTCAAACTCTTCTTCCAACGATCGAATTTCATTGGTGATCTCTTGAAGCTGACCGGCCGTAGAATCCTTCTTTCTCGCCACAATAGCAGCTTGTTGGCGGAATAGCCCCAGCTTATCATCCGTAACGCTACATTTGCCCATGCAAGTGTTAAAGACCACAGCTATTGAAGAGAGAACTATTTAACCCACCTTGTTTGTTTTAAATTGCTCTCTACTAGTCTGGCAACGGCATCATTCACTTCTCGCACTTCAGTTTCCAATGCGTCTAGTTCTCTTTCGGATGACGGTTCAGCCAAGGCACGAGTCATGGTTCGAATGTATAGCTTCTTCTCTTCAATAGACTATATTCATCGATCAGCATAGCAAAGCACACCATCAATCATGTTTGGATATGAGATACTCACTTTGGCAATCTTTTCATTGGCCAGGTATAAATCCGTTTTGATCTCATCTTGCATTTTAGATAAAAGTAGCTGTGGATTTGTGCCAACGTTCATCGCCTAGATTTTGTAATGCGTCGTATGAGTTGATTGCCAATACAGAAGAGGGCTCTACGGTGACTTGCTTTTGATTCTTTGAGCTTTTGTTGCGCGGATGCCAGCTTCTGAGCTGCATTTTGAAGCTGATTCTTTTGTATCTTGATTCTACGTATCTGTCTAGATTAGCATTTTTCGTATAAAAGTCATGGAAATCGAGTCCCACAATTTCACCTCTCTGAGACGTCCAATTCTCTAGCTTGCTCAACACGTAATGACTTTGCAGCTTGTAACCAGAGATCGTGTTTGGGCTATATTTGTGTAGTAGACTCATTCAGATAAAAGCGTCAAAAGACTGCGATAGCGAGGGGTACCAAGGACTAACCACTTGCTCGGTCTTTTGCTTCAATCGAGAAATCTTGACCGAGACTTGTTGTTTTTCTTCTTCCATTTGTTGGATTTCGCGTTTCAGAGTGGAAGCAGTGTTGCCTGCATCGATGATATGTCAGTAATCTGCAGAATTTCGTAGGAGCGACAATCACATGATTAAAGTAGATTTTGAATTTACCATTCAATCGAAGAGTTTCGACTTGTTTATGAACATTCTTGAATTCGTCTTGTAGTGCTGCCAGCTCATCCGACAATTCCGCGACAGCTAAAATCGGTGTTACGAATCAGTATTATAACAAGGTTTAAAGAAAGGAAAATCAAATTAGAGAAGGAATTGTGGTATAACTGACTTTCATCTTGGAGATATTCCTGTGCAATGTCGACAGGCATCAAGAAAGTGGATAGGTATGCTCGCTTTTTGTGAGCTTCTTCGTTCTTGAGTAGATACCACATTGCAGCCAATATTGTTGGAGGATGACCTTGGGATATGTAATGATGTATCGTCTCGCTAAGACCAAAGAGATTGGTTTTGGTCGTGTACTTTAATGTATTTTGAAGAAGCAGTTAGGAACTTTGAACATGACAACTTACGGATCGTCGATGGCAGGTTGATATTTGAGTAGAGTCAAGTAGTCGGTGAGTTTCCAAGCGACATCATTGATGTCTTGATGATCGACAGCATCCCATTTGGAGGATGCCGTAGATGTTGATGATGTGGCATTGTCAATGTATGCACAGGTGTCGGAGAGCAGCTGAAGGAGGGCCAGTGGAGGCAATTCATCAGCGAGGTGGACGGCAGTTATGTTGTGTTTGTTGAAGGGAGAGTGTCTTAGTCGTTCTGCCAATTGTCGATAATCTAGTGCTGCCGCTGCTGCCATCGGTGTTGACTATATGGATAGATCTAGTTAGTTACAATTTGACATGCACAAAAATACATAGATTGACCCCTTTTCTCGCCTGATCTCGCAAGTTTGCGTATGTTTTGATATCGTCTGTTTGGATGTTTTAGCGCATTACTGCATGTTGGTACATTATAAAAGCCAAACACTCTGGCCAACACTGGTAACAAAAGAAAGCGCATGAAAATTCGATGGATAGCTGAATGATATATTTTAGAAGGGAATGTGTACATGCGTTTCGTCGCAGCTAATGGCAAGGTATTCATTCGTCAGAGGCAGAACACTTAACAAATTACAGTGCGACAGCCCCGGAATCGAGATTGGAAGATGCTGCATCATATGCCTTGTACATTTTACGCAGCCTTGCCTTGGACCAATCGCCCAAATGTACACTGTTCGTGTTTTAACGCGTCTTTCGTATATGTTTTGATGTTGATGGGCATCAGCCATCATTCCTTGTTAAAGTAGCTAGAGGGATGCACATCCATGAACACTGCGATAGTCCATCATCATCGCTCTCCTTCTCACTGGACATTTGCTTCCTTTGTACATAGCACTGCTAGACAATCATCATCCACAAGTAGACTGTCCATTCCCGGTATCGATCATCTACTGCCATCAATCGCCATACGAAATGCTCCAATTAGACCCATTTCATCTTGCACTCACCCTCGTGCTCCAACGCCTGCTGCTAATCATCAACATCTGGAGCTAGCTAATCCTCAACACTCTTCAAAGGTTGGTCCCTACATAATACTTGCCATCATTCCATTCTACCCTAAAGCTCATCAATTCTTTCTAGTCTGTCAATTCAGGGCCGGTGAGTTTTGGACTTTTGGAAGGCTGACTTTGAAAGAAAACCCATCCAACAATACGCAACAACTGTCCATCAACTAAAACGAGTTTTCTTTTTTTGGACAGCCATTGTCTTTGCATCGAGAATTCATAGAGGCTTGTGAGGCTTTTAATCCTCCCCGCGCATGGAAGCTCTTTCAAACAATGCTACGACATGGCCAGTCAATACAGGATTACCACTCTCTCCATATGCTATTTCGAGCCTTGATAAAAGAAAACAATCTGGAAAATCGCCTCCAGAGACTCAAAGACTTGCTCAAATATGTAAATAATGACGTGCCCTCGTCAACAAAAGACTTGTTGCGTGATTCATCACGAGCATTCACTATAGCAAAGTTAGAGGTCCCTATATTAGACGGACGTCTCGACAGACTATTAGAAAAACTCCCTAGGGCAATAAAACAAGGCATCAAATTAAACCCTGACATGTATCAAAGAGTCCTCTCCTTGGCAATGAAACCATCACCGAACTACGACGCTTGCCACCAGAATCTCTGTCGCTTATACCAAATAAAAGGTGGTGCCGTACCCGAATGGATCATGATCATGTGGTATCTAGGTATAGACACCGTAGAAGGTGCATCATGGGCCTTGGAGACATACTTGAAATCAAACAAGCCAAATCGGGAAGGTTTGGTTGTAAGGGTATTTCGGTATGCCTGTGAGAATGGCCACCTAGCATGGTGCCTCTCGCTACAAGTTGTACTGGGCCAATATAATATAGCTCCCTCGGCCAGGTTGTTTTCCGCCATGATTGCGGGCCTCACTACTCGCGGTGATGCTGATGCCGCCCACAGCATTGTACTTCAATTGAGTCGTGTTGGGCTCACGCCGAATGCACTAGATTATGAAAACTTGTTAAAACTCTATGCTGCTCAAGGAGATATAGCAAATGTACAAAAAGTCATCTTTGAGATGAAGAACAGACATTTTATGCCGTCGCCTGATGCATTTGCCAAGATCATGGATGCAGAAGGCAACCGAGGCAAAGCAGCTGATATACGATATTGGTATAATGTTATGCTAGATCTCCAAATCGCTCCTACAGCGCACGTATTCAACACCATGATGGCATGGTGGGTGTATGTAAATGATTGGGATGCTTATAAATGGACTTGGCAAGAAGCAACGGCATCGACGACAATCGGTCTGTCGGATAAGGGACGGCAAGCTCTGCAAGTAAATCAACAGATAAAAGATTTGGGTTGGAGAGCTGAATTACTCTTTCGATTGGATGCTAAAGATGCTGCCCGTGTCTTGGAGCTATCATTGGAGCATTGGACCCATCTCACAGTAGACGAGATAATGGATATGGCTACCAAACTGGCTAAAATCCATGCTCTACCCGAAGCATTTAAACTCGTTGAACAATGGCGTCAACACTATTTAATCTTACCTGAAACTGTAAACTCAACACCTGGAATTCCACCTCCAGTTCCCATACCAACGCCAGAAGTAACGAATCAATCGATAGCACCGGTCGCAGACGATGACTTGGAAGTAGTAGATTCAACTAATCCAATATACAGTACCCTTCTACGCTGTGCCCTGGAAGCTCACAATCTATCATTGGCTCATCAAGCGTTTGACTGGCTAAAATCCAGTAATGGTAGAATCCAGCCAACTCAGGCCCGAGACTATATTCGACAATGTCTAGAAACCCAGAATCTTGAACGAGCTCGTCAAGTCTTCGCTAGTCTGACTAATATGCTTAAATCGTCTGATGGCATACTAGTCGAATTTATTCGCCACTCTATAGCAACCGAATCGGTAGATGAAGCCAACAAATGGGCAGATCTACTACTCAAACGAGCACCACTTACTGCCTTCCCGTCTGTGTTTCGAGAATTGCTTTATCTCAACGCCATGCATGGAGAAGTCGCAATGACTCGATCTTGGATTTCTCGTGCAGAATCAGCTAGTGACATTATCCTGACACCAGATGTCCGAGTTGCTCATGATATTTTGGCACGGTTGACAGCAGGTCAGGTCGACTCTGCCGTCCGACTCTATAACAAGTCTAAACAGGAACAGGTTATAATCCATCCAGAATTGCACTCGCAGATTGTTTTGGAATTACTCAACTCTCCTGATGCTGCTGATAAAACATTCAAAGTCTTGGAAGACTTGTTATATAGTCATACAAACTCTCTAAATGGTGCCTTTGTAGGTAGATTAATTAGTAAATGTCTGCAGTTGGGCAATGTCGAGTTGGGTATCAAGGCATTTGATATAGCAGCTGCCAGAAATCTGATGCCTCCTCTCGCAGTGTCACAAAGGCTCATTCAGAGATGTGTAGAAACAAATCACGAATCCGCTGACCGGATAGCTCAGTCACTCTTGTCAAACACTGAGTTGATTGACCGACCCAGTGAATCCTCTGTACATAAATTCATGTCTGATGCATATAAACGATCAGGTCCGGCCAAGGCTGAATTTTGGGCAGAAAAGTGTGCTGAACTTGGATATAAATTGCCAGATTATGTGGTAGCAGGTTTACTGTCGTATTATGCAGCCCAAGGAAACGTTGTCAAAACCAAATATTGGTTGGACAAGAGCTTGGCCGCTGGTTGTGATCTAGTTGGAACGGGCGTAGGTCATGTATATGTAGCTTGTCTAGTAGCTGGAAATGCTCAACAAGCTGAAACAGAATGGATTGGTCTCATCAACTCCGCCAGGTCGATCAAGACTCTAGACTTGGCCAATGCCAGAACTATAGCGTCTGTTATTGTACTTCGTTATCTGGTAAAGACCCGTGGAGACTATCACGAAGCATTGCAGTGGTGGGACCGCATGAGAGCTGAGGGCTTGGTGGCTTCTATAGCAGAGTATACATTAATGATGGAAGTTGCCAAAGAAAATCGTTTCTATTCTCGAGCGCGACGTTTATGGGGTGATATGGTTCAGCAAGGACTGGAACCTGACTCCATGGCATTTGTTGTAATAACTGCTACCCTGGCCAAGCAGTCGGATGTAGAAGGTGCTTTTAGTATGTTTGAGCAGGTTGGATCGAAGAATATCAAGGCGTATGATGCTTTGTTATCAGTAATTGCATCTGCTGGTGATGAAAACGCAGCAGCATATGTATTAGCCAGGATGAAATCCGAACAAGTCTCGCCACAGCCTTCAACATATGCAAGAGTCATGGATGCCATGGCTCGATCCGGTAACGCCAAAGGAATACTGGATTTATATGACTCATTGCCTGGAGATACCCTTCCGCGACAGCAGGTATGGATGTATCTGTTACGTGCCCATGCCAAGGCTGGTAATCCTGACGCAGCCATGATTGTACTGGAAGATTTAATTGATTCTGGTCACGTCGTGGATCTCCATACCCACACTATTGTAATAGAAGCATTCGCAAGAGCCAAGGATGTAATAGGTCTGATGGAACGATCAGGAATAGCTCAAGCTGCTGGTATAAAGTTTGATAAAATGGCCATCGATATCATTGTCTCTGGTATCCTTCAAGATCAACCAAGTAACATCGATACAGCCATGAATTGGTTGCAGCGCCGTAAGTTTCCTGTTTACGATACTGGTATATTTGCCTCGTGTATGAATGTCTTTGCCAAGAAGGGTGATATAGATAGTGTACTCCGTCTTTGGCAACACGCCCTAAGATTACGAGTAGCTCCAGATCGTAAAATGTGGAATGTAGTATTGGACGCTCTGGGTCGAGGCAGAAGAGGGCAAGACGCTCTCCTTGTCTTTAATTGTATGAGAGGAGCTGCTCATAGTCCCGAAGGAATACTCGAGTTTGGTAGGATGCCACGTCCAGTTGGAGTGGATCATATATCGCTATCCCTGATTTTGGACGCTTGTGGTTTCTCAGGCTTGCCTGATGAAGCTACTCGTATATGGACGTATGCAACTACTTCCCCAGACTCGACCATCCCAGTATACGAAAACAATCTGGCCTCATACCTCGAGTGCTTGGCTCGCTGTCGTCAATACCCTCTGGTCATCAAGACACTACAACTGTATAGTAGGTTAGACCGCCGCCGATCTGATAAGCCTACAGGTGAACAGTTAGGTCCCAATAATGTGGCTGTAGTACCTGGAGTCAAGACGTTTTGGACACTGTTGGGACTCTTGAAGTCAAAACCGGAACTCGCGTCGGAGGTTAGAAATATCATGAATGTGGTGTTGAACCCAGCTCGCATCTCTGAGGTTGAAAAGAAGGTTGCTTGTGGTATGTACAATCTCCATCCTATACACCTATTCTTTGTCTTCGCTTCAGCCTCCTAACCTGCGTTCAATAGTCAAACCGGCGCCTTGAATATTCAAAAGATCTAAACTATATGATGACATCGATAGACATGACCCTAAAAAGCGTTAATGAACATACCTGTTTGCATGACCGTTTCGTATATAATGTGCCAAGTAATACATAGTTTGCATGCGGATCTTACATACTATTCAACCAATAAATTACAGATCTCAATGAATAGTGATTGTTGAGTCAAGTCATTTCGCTGCTTCAAGTAAAGTTCTTAGACTAGTGACGGTATATTCTTCAAAGTTCTTTTGACCTGGAGACACCACGTCAAAGTGATTTCCATTCGGAGCCAAAACCAGCGTAAAATCATACGAGACTTTGACAGCTGCCTCTTGAAATGCAAGGCAATACTTTTTGGGCACGGTTTGATCATGATCACCCTGTAGTATTATCAGCCTGGGCTGTTTATCGTATGGCAGTAGCAGCTCGGGATCAATCAGTCTATATCGTTCAGGATGCTCGTTGGGCATACCGCCGATAAATGCTGGTATTGGATTGTTGTTTCCTAGTGAGTCTAAAGCACCACGGACTAGACACGATACCGGGGAGATTGCGAGGCCACCGAAAATTGCACGACCAGCATTAGGGAGCCTTGTTTTGGCGAATTTCGTCAAGTACTAAAAGCAGGGTTGGCTCTTGTGGCAAGTGACATACGATGCGACGTCAAAGTGACAACAACGAACTCACCAGCACTATCATGCCTCCAGCTGAATTACCAGTAATGACAATGCGTGTAGTATCCAGAAGATATTTTGTGCTCCACTTGGCAGTATCGTTGAGAATGAATGACGTTGCCTCCAGCGCATCTTTTGTAGTAGTTTCCCATGCATCTCTTCCGCGTCTATACTCGACAGAGATGACAGAGACGTCAAGAAGGTTTGCAATCTCCTGGCATGTGTATGACATATGGTCCAAAGTATATCCTTGTCGCCAGAAACCACCTATTTGTGTGGGTGTGGCGTTTGGAGGTTGAGCAAAACTGTGCAATAATGAATGTATTGCGAGAATATGAGCAATTTCAGCCTTAAACATACCATGAAACACGACAACAATGGGTCTCTTCGTTGGTGTGGTTGATGATGGCAGGTACAAATCCATAAATTGATCAGATGCAGCTCCATAAGCGACGCGATCCTTGGATGGAAACGATTTGCTTTTCTCGACGAGGATATTTATGAGCTCTTCCTCCCAAAATTGATGGTGCTTGTCGTCCATGTTTTTCGTATAAAGCCTGCAAGAAACCGAGGAGATCAGTGAGCAGCCAGAAACAGCAGAAAGCAGCAAAGTTATAGATAGAAAAGGAAGGCATTAGGAAACTTACTTATCACACACCAGAACGGGCTCTCCTTGCATACGACGGCATTATCCTATACTGCTTGGTTGAAAAGACAAAATGTTTCAACAGCAACAACAAATGGCAGCTGGAGGCAGCCAGCAAATGATGATGATGGGCACTCCAGGCCAACAGCTGCAACAAATGCAGCAACCAACCATTCAACTTCAGCAATATGTACATGCATCAGGTACTTACATTAAGAACCCATTTCAAGACTTTGAACAACAGTCATCATGTATTATTGCCAGACGAACAAGGCATATTGGAGCATACAATACCTTAAACATGAGATATTGACACATCATTTTCATGCTTTAGGCATTGTTCCTATACTACAGTATGTTTTCTTAGACTGCTGTCTCCAAACAGCTTCAACTTGGACTCGCCTCTTACTGTCGCTCTTTTCCTCTATCTAGAAATATCGTCGCAACTGTCAATCTCGAAGCTCGTCTCGACTTGAAAAACATTGCATTGCATGCTCGAAATGCTGAATACAACCCAAAGGTAGGTCAAGCCCGAAATCAAGTGTTGGCCTTGTTGATTCTACGTCTACAAGAGTGTCACCATGCAGTTGTACTCACTCTATCACATCCATATAGCGATTCGCTGCTGTCATCATGAGGATTCGAGAACCAAAAACAACTGCTCTCATATTCGCTTCTGGAAAAATGGTCGTCACTGGTGCTAAATCTGAAGAACAAGCTCGACTGGCTGCTCGAAAATATGCTCGAATCATACAAAAGTTGGGCTTCAATGCTAAATTCTCGGATTTCAAAATACAAAACATTGTCGGCTCTTGTGATGTCAAATTCCCCATACGGCTAGAAGGTCTAGCTAGCGACCACAGTGCTTTTGCAAACGTAAGTCTGTCACTGGATGGCTTGATTTCGTTGTTTTAATGTTTTACTGCCTTGGGTGAACAAACACTTATGACAATTCTCGTCCTAGTATGAACCCGAACTCTTTCCTGGTTTGATTTATCGAATGGTGGATCCAAAAGTCGTCTTGCTCATTTTCGTCTCTGGCAAAGTTGTTTTGACTGGTGCAAAGGTAGAAACATCGCGTTGACGTCCATTCTTGCAAGAATTGAGCTTACAACCACTCAACCATATCCCCTAGACCCGCGAACATATTTATGATGCATTTGAAAAGATATTTCCCGTCCTCTCCATGTACAAGAAGGAGTAAACACAAGATTTGAGGGTGGACGATATAATGATGACTTGAGCAAAAATTTCTGTACATGAGCTAAATACATAAAAGACCTTGCATACATAACAACCCTCTCAAGATTCGTGCGTTGGTGCGTGTCTGGAAACAAGCACTTTGATCCAGTGTGCAACATTTGCGTCTTTGCATGAGAAACCTGTGCCTAGAGAATCCTGTAACCACAAGTGTCAGAACAATTGACCAGGATTCATCACAATCAGCAAACAGATTCTGTTTATAGTAGAGAGTCTTGAAATATCCGCTTACCTGTTTAGTTTGAATTACGAACGCGATCTTGTGGTTCAATTGCCTGCCCAAATCGCTCGCCCACCATATCGGCGATAGTGCCATTCCCCAGCCTTTCATATCAGCAAATCCAAGGCCAAGCTCAGTCGACGTTTTTGCAGATGTTACATCTGCGAACTTGATGGTCTTGCTGGTGCCGATTGGAAAATAGAACCTGAAAGAAAGTTTGAAGTCAAATATGAACAGAATCAAAAGTATTCAAATTTAAAACGATGAGCCTTAAGCTCCAAACTGTTACCATTTGACTACAATCCTGTCCTATAACATGCGAAATGTGAGTCAGAAGCGTTTCGGAAGAGCATAATTCATTCATGTAGACCTCGTAAAGAGTCAGGCAATCGTCATCATAGATGAACCCAGTTTTTTCATTCGCTTCCGGTAGTTCCTTGAACTGTTGTTGTTCGGTTGTTGACATTTCTCGATGATGCTGCTTTGGTGGCCCGAAAGCTGTTGAATAATCTTAATATCTAATCTTATTATCTTACACGATTGTGGGAGCTATAAAAGTCTTAATTGCTGTTGCTTTTAACCTCGATAAAGCTAGCTACTAGTAACACGGTTTTGTTTTATCAACCATCAACCAATGCAATTAGGGAATGAAAATCAGAAGCTAGAGGAACGGAAGATTGGTTCTCTTGTTCAACTGACTGAGTTCTCCAACCACGCGTGTACACTTGCGACAGGTCTGAAAGCTGGCGAATGTATGAGCGAAAATACATGGTCTCGTCCAATTGCGAATGTGAATTTACGTTTGAATAACGCGCCCGTACTGCGTCCTCCTTGGGATGCGCGTATAGTGTGACAGATTCCGCCTGTCTTGGAATGTTGAGAGAGTGATTTGAGAAAAGCGAAAAGGCAGAATTACGGCGAGAAAACATATTCAACGCCTTGTTTATTGCTCTACAGTTCCGAGCGGTATTTTTCGACAAGGAGAAGACGTTCGATGTATGCTATACCCATGAGCAATGCATCAGCCAAATCATCCTTCTTTGCATTCGACTCCCACGTCTGAATATGTTCGTCCCGAAACTTCATCGTGACGGTCTCACGGTTTATACCCTCAGACATCCAACTCCTAACTAGACTCACAGCCTGCGTCTTTTTACGTTCAGACTTTTCAGCTTGCAGCTCAAAATGCCCAGTCATACTACGCGCGTGAATACCATCTACAGTAATATCATTCACACTAGCTCTATCAACGAGAATGGCAAAGATCATAGCCTCCATAGCTCTCACTCGTTGCAGAGTATGTGCCATAGCAGTGCCTGGTCGCCACTGTTGCCGTTCGATAACATACGATGTGGGCCGGTCTGCTTCAAGTAGATGTCTCTGCACGATATCTATAGCCCCCAGTGCATACTTGAAGGTATCATAAGCAGGTGGCAGATCTGGCTTGACCAGATTCCAGTGCTTTAAATCAAGTACGGTTGGTTTGCCCTTCACTCGACGTCCAATTGATATATGTGCTATTCCAACATTGAGGTAGCCCAAATCTATTGCAATCACTGTAGCAGGGAATGACTTGTTGCTCTGCTCCAGTACATGAGACAGGAATGCATCTATCATACTTGATTTACTGCCCTGGGTTGCAAGTCCAACAGATCCCAGTCTTGCTCGCAGGTCAGCAGCGGGCTCCTTACTAGAATAAAAGAATTGGATCAGTAATAAAACTATCAACCAATTAATGAATAGTCACGCACAGCAGCTTTTCTCTTGTCGCTTGCAAAGGATCTAGATTGGGCGACGAGGGTTTTGATGTTGACGTTTTAGACGGGATTGTTACATCTGTGGCGTCCGATTTGACCTATAGGTATGAAATTCAGGCAATTAATATGCATAAATAAAATCAAAAGGGGTAAAGCTCGGGATTGCCAACCTTCTTGACTCGTTTGCGTTTTGTTGCTGAAACTTTCGAAACATCAGCAGTACTAAAGGGGATTCGTTGCAAACAACAATTGAAAAGATTATAACATGGCTTGATATTCCGACACTGTCTAATGAGCATTTGACGGCCTGCTCTATCTAGAGTCTATGTAGTTGTCTATATTTATTACAAGTAATGAGGCGACTGATAACTAGGCGACTGAGGGTATTAATCAAATAAGCTGCAAATAAGTAAAACGATATCCACTTTGGTTTTACAAAACGTTCGACACGTTGGACGTGCCTCCATCACCGAATGCGTATATTCGATATTTTCGTGACGAGGTATAATTCTTGTCTGTATACAAGACGCTTCCTCCCGGCTTATTGTCTGTCACGCTCGTAGCCAAGAGTGTAAAGGTTGTTCCACCATTGTCACTGGCCTGTATTTCATACGAAGATGCACCAGCCGATCCTCGCCACATTAGCGATCCGTTTGCTGTGCTCAACAAGTTAGCAGGAGGTGGCACGATAGGCTGCAGAGATATACCCGATATCTTTGCCGCGTAAGACCGAATCAGAGGAGGTACAGTTGGATCGTCTATAATCGGAATCGTCGTTAGGCTCAGTTGAGCATTCATAGACAAAAAATGATAACGGTTACCAGCTGGAAAGCCATTCGAAGGATCGGCTGGAAGACCTGGATGATGATAAGCAGCATAGCCATTTGTTTCAGAGTGCGTATCTAGACAATAAATATCCAGTCAGAGCGAGATAGACAATACTACAAAAGATTGAAGCTCACAAAATCCACCATCCTTATGATGAGACCTCAAACTCCAAATCAGCGCTCCTGTTGCTTGACTGTTTACTACAGCATCGAGTAGTTGGGTATACGTTGCAATAGGTGCTAAACCAAACTCGCCGACGATTAACGGCTTGTTATTGTTGCTGACTACATTTGATACGTCGGATTGGAATCGACTGGAATATGTTGGGTTCAAGAGATGATTATTTAGAACTTGATAGCCCAATACTATAAATCCAATGGTTGCGCCCAACAGACAGACGGACAATATACCGAAATAAATACGAGAAGGGCCCTTGCGTGTTACAGTTGTTCCTGGGGTATCATTTCCGCCTTGATTATGGTTGAGGATTGTCTGGCTATTGTCATTGCTGCGTGTGTTGAAGCTCAGTTGACTAGAATTCCGACGACGACCTTTTCGTCGTAAGCAAAGACAGCAACCCCACTTTAAGTAGCTCAAATAGGACACCCATATAGCGGTTATTAGTATTACGAGCAAAAGTATGGCCAATATTGCGATCTCGGATGTGGTTGGTGCTGTGGCATAGTAATGATTGGACAAAACATCCACTGACGAATCTGCTAGTACTTCATTTGGCCAGCCATTAATGCCGTACGATCCGTCAATGACTATGGATCTTGGAGCCACACTTTTTATATATCTAGCGACAGTCAGCGTCCACGATGAAGGTATCTGTCCATTGTTTGCCGTTTGTAGCTCGTTGCCCGTTTCCCATATGAGAGAAGGGTCGGCAGAATATTTCAAACCATTTAAAGTATTTGTACGGTTTGCTAATGTTCCAATTAAACCTGTAAATGCACTAATTATAGTCGAGTTTGTGTAGAAGGAGTCTCGAGGTTGGTTGAAGAGAGCCGAGAAGGAAGCTACGCCACCCCAGTATTCCCAATTGTCAATTATCGGCAAGATGAGTCGAACGTTGCGGTTACGTGCGATTGCCAAGGCCGAGTCCAGAGCTACGAGAGCTGGTTCGTTAAAGACCAGATTTGGTAGATTTGTTGTTGGATTGGATCCATTTACGATGATGTGACGTTGATATGGATAGTCCGCATTGGTGGCCGACTGCACTGAGAGGACGTAGGTTCTTGCCACCTTGCCGTTGATTTGTTGAATGGAGAGTAAGGTATCGTCTTGTTCGTAGGGTATTGGTAGGGATCTAACACGGGAATGAGGTAAGAATAGGAATTGGATGTGTGAATGAGTAGCTGTACATACCCATCCTGGTTAAAATGCAAGTTGGGAGTGTTGTAACTTATAAACCGGAAAACTTGATTTCCATCATGCAGAAATGAGCCATTCCTAGTCAGAAAGTTCATTCTGGTCCAGTACGTAGCAAGATCACCTACTACCTAGTACATCTCCTCTAACAATACTCTCCTTCTTCTTAGTAGCTCGCAGTGCAACACAAACCACAAGTCGACTTTAGACGCAGAAACAAGGCCATCTACTATAAGCGTACGCTCTGGACAGACATGACGCCTCCATTCCCGCCTGTAAGCTATCTACATAACTTGCGCACAATTAGCATTCCATCCTTTACTCTTGTTGTTGATTTTGTGTCCATTTCCTCCATTTCCACAAAAGGCTGCTGCTATTAACACTGTCTAGTTGAATTGTCAAATGGAATCTGCTAACAATTTACAATCATCATTCATTAGCCCCCTGCTGCTGTACGATCTCAACCCCTGACAATCTTTGTTGCTAAAGTAAGCAATACCCAAGTCTGTACAAATCAAGCATGATTCTGAAAAGCCATCACGATACTAGCGAGTCATCACGATGGATGACGGGTGGCCAACTGGAACCTGTGTGCTTGTGAGAGACGGAATCATCTTGTCTGTTGGAAGAACACTGAAGGATTTAGAGCCATGGAGCTCTGTATGGCCAACTGTCATCGATACTACTTTTGAAAACCATGGTAATTACAAGTACACCCTATTACTACCTTCCAGGGACAAACCACCACGTCTAAACCTACTTCTTTTCTGCTACAGTCATCATGCCAGGCTTCGTAGATCCTCACCAGCACCCACAAATGGCTGGCAATTGCCTGACTTCGTATCCAATAACATCTCGAGTCATGAAGAATCCGTGGGGACCAGATACTCCAGCCTTCTTGACCAAAGCGGATTACCTTTCAGAGTTAAAACGTGTCGAAGCATCCCTACCACCAAACGATCTGCTCTTTAGTTGGGGTTACGACTTGATTACATATGGAGAACTCTCCCTTGCTGAATTGGATGCCTTATCGTCCACAAGAGAGATTGTACTTTGGGAGTGAGTAAAACATTCCAGCTTGCAGTTGTAAACATATACCTTGATCTTTGACCACAACAAAACCTAGTTCGACTTTACACCTGGTCTGGAACAACTCTGTCGCATTAAAGAAACGCAACATTACGAAGGAAATTGCAAAACTGAGGCCTCAAATTCAAAAGGATGGTAATGGCAACCCAACTGGAAAGTACATTGGAAACGACGCTCACAGTATAGGAATAGGGCAAGTATCATGTTAAAATTTATACATTCTCTAGCACCATTCTTACTTAACATGTGTTTTGCTTGTATCACAGCAAGGCAATCACAACGACATTCTCAGACCCTCAGTCAGCAATGAGGAAGATGAGGTTGGTGATTGATCTCAACCATCAGGGAGGCATCACGACCATCGTAAGTGCATACACTGGTCGAAGTTTCGCATTTCTGCTTTAGTGCCAATGAATGAATCTCACCGACATTAATTTAGGGAGAACTCAACTTTGGAGCTTCGAATTTCGAGCGGGAATTTCAACAATACATGACAGTTTTCAACGATCCAAATTGCCCTCTAAGAGTAGGAATTGTGCCCAACGGAGAAGCAGTCACAAGTAGACAACGGGAGAACGATGTCGGGTTTTGTAAGTGCTTGGCGTTAGCAATTGGTATGCTATGATTCTCACCGATTGTAATCAGTAATGGATAAATTTGCTCAATCAACCGAGAAGTTCCACTTTCTCAAGGCCGTCAAATTCTTTTCAGGTGCACTTTTGTGATTTCATTGCTTTGGTGATAGTTCCTTACACACGCACCAACTTTTCTTTAGACGATGCATTCGTCGCTCTCACAATGCAAATGCAACCTTGCTGGTGAGCGTTCTAACTCCTCCACTCAAACACCAACATCCGATAACACAGTTTTCGCACGCCAACAGCTACATCGATGCTCACGAAGGAGTCTGGAACAACGCTCCAGGACCAAAATTCACTGAAAAGATGAGACGCTTCTGGGCCAAAGGATTCGACATACACGTTCACTCAAACGGAATCGCATCACAAGATTCAGTCTTGGACTCCTTGGCCGACTTACAAGAAAAGAATCCACGCATGGACCATCGCTTCACCTTTGAGCATCTCGGGATGGTCCAGCCGCATCAAGCAAGACGTATGAAGGCTCTAGGCGCTATCGCGTCCGTCAATGGGTATTACATCCCACTGTATTCAGAATCGCATGTACCATATCTTGGCACGGACCGGTACTTTTGGTGGTTGGTTTCTTTACAAATGTGCTTGTTTTGCTGATCTCATTCTGTGTGCTAGGGCAAATCTGCAAACAAGACACAAGCTACTGGAAACCAATGGCATAGTGGTTGCATGTCACAGTGACCTTCCCATTGCGCCACCAGAACCTCTTATGGCTTGCTACACGGCAGGTAAGCGGCAAAGACATCTACTATTACTCTCAAAAATCAACATGTTCCGAATGGTGAAACCTCCTTGCACATCTTAGTGACTCGCAGAGGTGCCTCGGGGGCTGTTTTGGGTATAGAAGAACGTGTTTCATTGCATCGAGCACTCAGAACCGTTACCATAGACGCGGCGTACGTGCTGCGAATGGACCACAAAGTCGGCTCGATAGAGGCAGACAAATTCGCTGATTTTGTCATTTTGGAAGAGGATCCATATGAGGTACACAGTAATCGTTCGATTTGTCATCCCAAGGAGATCTGCACACTCATTTCCATTCGTTTGTTCAAGGTGGACATTGAGAGACTAAAGGACATCAAGATTTGGGGTACGGTTCTTGGAGGAAAAAAGTTTCCTATTATGAAGAGGGAGTCATGGAAGGTGCCAAGTGAACGTTTGGAGCAACACCCTAATTTGTAGAAGCCATAACAAGTCGAAAAGTCTGTTTAATTGGGTGAGGTCGACGATCAATTATTATTACGTTACGGCAGCAAATTATTTTGAGGAAAATATAATTCAAAGTATCTCATGGCTTGACGTCACTACTGATATTTCCATGTTAGTTAAAGTCAAAAACCCAAAACAAATCTCAAGCGACGAACTTACAGTTTTCTTAAGGCAGCTAGTGCAACAATGGAATCATTATATCCTTGAGCAGCAGCCTTTTCATACCACCCAATAGCTTCTATTTTGTTTGGGAAACCGAGAATCTGAGTAACGAGTTGGCAGGAGTGTGAGTCCAACAACATGACTTACCCTTTGTATCTTTTTGTAAGCCAAGACTACCATTGACAAGTGCGAACCCCATTTTATCGCAAGCTGCTGCATAATTGAGCGAAGCAGCTTTCGACAGATAACTCAATGCCATATTTTCATCCTTTTCAACACCGGCAGGCTTAGAACCTTTTTGAAAAACCCATGATAGGTCATACAACGCAGCAGCTTCTCCGTCTGCTCCTCCTTCAGCAGCTGCTTTGAGTAGTCGAACACCTTCCTTTTCATCCTGTTCTAGGGTCAACTCGCCTCTCCACAATGCCCTGCCTAAACGAGCTTCGGCTTGCTTATGTCCAGCAGCAGCAGCTGTCTTGTACATACGTGAGGCTCGAGCAGGATCAGACTTCTTCATTCCTTCTCCGGTCTAGTTGCAAGAAAGAAAGCTTACTACATGAATATCATCAAAGTGCTTGTGACAGCAAACTCACCTCTAAACAACATCCTAATTCCCAAGCAGCGAGAGGGTACTTGTTACGTACAGCTGATCCGTAATTATCGACTGCCTTGGGGAAATTACCCATCTTGGCATACAGAGTCCCGAGCAAGTATTGAGCTTCTCCGGATTGTGTCTCAGACAACCTTGAAGCAATGTCTAGGGCATCTGTGAATATCATACCACTTTCATCTGCATCTGCATTTACTAGTGATACAAGGTGTCGGAGGTACTGGAGAGCCAGCGTAGGCATGGCCAGGGTCTTGGCATTCTCTTTGAGGGCCTGTTCTGTATATCCTAGAGGCATCGGTATAATTCTGGCATTACGTCCCACTAGACCACTACCACGTACCGATCCGGCGGGACTGATGGGTGGTGAAGTACCATTCGAAGCGGGTGGTGTTGGTATAACGTTTTGATCGGTACTGCTACTTATTTGAGCAACGTCAAACGCATACTCTTGAGCTCTATTTGATCGTCTGGGCGGAGCACCTCTCACAATAGGAGCAGGTGCCTCGGGCTTCCGATCAAACATTGAGAACAAGCCTCCAAACCCAGCTAATTGATCCAAGGACTTTCTCGGAGCTGAAGGGGACAACACAGACGGTTTTGGAGCATCTGGCAAGTTTTTTCCAGGTAATGCCCTTTCGTCTGCTAAAGGCGATTCTGGTGACGATAATGTACCCGATGTGGACCAACCCCCTATAGAAGACAACTTTCCTGGTACTGCAGTCTGTCGAGGTGGTGGCGATGATGGCTGCGGTATTGATGCTATCGACGATATACTACTATTTATAGATGGAGTGCTAGATATTGTAGCTGGAACGTGAGTTGCACGTTGAGGAGGCAGGGAGGAGTTTTCGTTGGGTGTTGCCTTGGCTCTCGAGTTTATTGAATTCAAGAAGCCATAGGATGCAGAAGCCAATGAAGATATTGTTGATGATGGTGCTGTTGGTGTCATTGGATTGATTGGCAACTCCTTTCCAGGTTTTGGTCTGGACGACGATGTTGGCTGTGATGGACTATTGCCTATACCTCCAAACAAACCCCCGATACTTAATCTTCTAGATTGTCCACTGGCTACGGATGCTTTATCAATGTCGTTTATATCGCCTTGCCCTGGGGCAGCACGGGCTTCATCTCGAGATTTGCGAGCCTTTCGCAAGCTTACACCAAATGCCGATGTAAAATCTATGGATCTTCTACTTTCCGTACTTGGCTTTCGGGTGAGATCTGCAGCATCAGCGGCTGGCTCTGCCGTTGTAATGGTGGATAAAGGTGTTGGCCTCAATTTGCCTCTTGGCAGGGTAGAGTTATGCAAAGAAGGTATATCGTCCATTGTGATTTGTGAGGCTTGCGAAGCAACCCTCTTCAATATCGGTCTAGATATAGGAGTCCATTCGGGCACACCAGGCTGCTGATCAGGCGTCGTGCTATTCGATGTTGTCGGCACTTGATTATCCTTTCTCGGTGGAGTTGGAGTCTCGGATGCTGTATTGGGTATTATAAGAGGTTGATTTATTGGTTCTTCTTTTGTAGTTGATGCGATTATGGGCGTGACAGGTAATGATGGTAATGGATTTATTGTAGCTGATGCAGTCGTAGATTGTTTGAGATTGCTTTGTGACGTCTTTCGTGCTGGCAAAGCTGGCTTAACGAAATTGGACTTCTGCGGTGGTATTGGGGCTGCACTAATATTAACAAGTGGTGCTGGCATATCAATTGCTGAATCTGTCTTCCTTTCGTTAAAAGTCGTTGGTAATTGGTTGGGTATAGGTGTTATCGGCACTGCAGGTAACGACATGGGCCTACTTCTTTCGGGTGTAGATGGCATCTTCTCGTCTTCAAAGTCTTCGAGATCTCGTGCAGTCAGAGTAGGCGATGTTGGTGTTGATGGTCCTGTTACGGCTGCCGTGACACTGGTAACTAGAGATGTGATGATTGTAGCAAATGTAGCGACGCTAGGCTTTCCGTTCAGGAAGGATCCCTTGAGATCCATAGACGACCGACTTCTATGTTTTTCATTCAAATCTCGTGACCTATCTACCATCTTTTTCGATGCATCATCATCTAATCCTTCCCTCGTGTAGACACCTTCTAATGATATTTCTCTCAGACCATCATCGAATCCAGCAGCGACGTGTGCTAGTTGCGAGGCTCTGTCTTGCAGGTCTAGCGTGGATTGCCTTTTCAGAGATCTTGAGCGACGATGCAATCGCGAGGCTCTTTTACTTTTCGTTGCATCATCTTCCTGTTCTCCTCCTTGTAGAGGCTGAACTTGCTTTGTTCCAAGAGGAAGTGTCATAGAAGACCGCCTTCGTTCTATCAGCAATATGTTGTGAGTATGGTTTGTCAAAGTTGCGGCACATAGCACCGGATACCTTTTTCAGTGAGGATGGTTCTATCTCTCGATTTACTACGTTCTCTAGAAGATGTTCCTTCTATAGACCCGGCCATGGAAGTAGGACGTTGTTGCCGTTCTTGATCGTCATCTTTCTGTTTGGAAGCTTCAGCCATGACCATTCCAGCGAGATCCTTGTCCCAAGCGGAGGCAATGAGGCCTATCTGAGAGTGTCTATGGCTTGCATTTGACTTCATTCGGCGGACTGGGGGCCTGGGTAGCGAAGCTGTGTCAACATTGTCGTTGCCGTTTGTGGTGTCTGCTGGCTGAGTATCATCTACGGCACGGACACCATCGGCGTCAGTAGGACCATCAGCAGTAGCAATTGCGTCAATAGAGAGCTGGGAGCTGTTATTAAAGTTTGGAATAAACGCCCCTATACCACCAGCTTGTGAGATTCTTGCTCTGGCGTTCTTCCTCCTATTCATGGCAGCATTCCAGTCTTTGCTGCGATCTCTTGCTGTATGAAGATCGTTCTGAGTGGAGATCCTTCCTCTGACAGAACCTCCAGGAGTAGTAAGTTGATGTTGTGAATCCGTGCTGGAGTTGGAAATGCTGTCTACGTCTCTAGCTATATCATTACTTGGACTTTGGGCTATAGCAGTCGCCGCCATCGCTGGCTGTCTGCTCTCTGGGACTGCCTTTGCAACGGTTGCTCCCTGTGTGTGGTCTGTTGAAAGCGAAAAGTCGAAAGCAAAAGTTGTTGAGTTGGAAGAAATCACAGGGAGCTGACCAGTTTCGTCGCTCATTCGCCGTTTTAAATTATGTATCTTCCATTCCTTCCCTTCTTGTACCTCTGTCTACGTGTTCGCAGACTAACATTTCTCACGACCTCACAACACATACCTTTGGCGCTCGTCCACACTTTTCCTCAGCCACCATCAACCACAGCTCTACAAATACTGATATAAATCCAAAGACAAATTCAATTTGAAAACATGCATCTATCTCCACTGATTCTGGCACTCATTCTGGCATTCTTTGTCGTTGGGACACCTGCACCGGGTAGACAGAGCTTGTTTGGTTGGATTGCACTAATTTTATCATGTTGAATGCATGCTGACTACATACTAATTACCATAGGCTGCTACGACGGAAAGTGCTTTCGAATCGTAAGACACCACACACTGTTTACGCTCTCGAATGCAGACACACTATGCTGCACTCTCTTCAATTCGCATTATCATGTTGCTGGATGCAGCTTCATTTTTTCTTCTGCAAAGTTTTGGATCTGCATTCGCATCTAATGCAGTCGTCTTCTAAAACATGCAGAAGGACGGAATTCCCTGCTATACTGGACCAACGCGGCCTCAAATTCAAACTTGTCACTGCACTAACAATGTCTTTCAGTGTGAATCTGATCGTGGCTTGTCTGTTCCACCCTGCATTTGGAATTGGGATTGCATCCAACGCATTCTAGGTGTCCAAACTTGATCTGAAGTGATGTACTATCCTCGCCTTGTTACATATGTTACCACGACTCTGCACACGAAATAAGACTCTTCATAAGGTATCCTTTCATGTTCCCCTTTAGCTGCTGGGTGTTTTGCTGATTTGTATATTTTGCCTTGGCAATATTACTGGTTACATACATATTAAGGTCTACCGCGTAGCGGTGGCGCTGGAAGTGTGGGTGCTGGAGGCAAATTTGGTTTGGTTCTGACCGTTCCTTTTGCAGCAACTCCGGGAGGAAGTACTGGTGCTGGTGGAAGATCGGGTTTGACTCCGCGAATGGTACCTGAAGGAAGCATAGGTGCAGCCGGTAAGCTGACAATAGGGTTACCTTTGACAGTATTGCTAGGATTGAGATTTTTAGCAAACGTTGGCGCTTTTGGGAGTGGTGGTTCTGTTTTCTCGTTTGACGCTATCGAGGCTTGTTGGTTTCGTGCTGCTAGTCGAGCTTTTAGCTGTGATGCAAAGTCCTCACCAGCGTTGCTACTTGGAGCTGCTCTCTGGGTCATGTTTGGTCGTGGTTCAGACGGCTTTTGACTGTTATTACTACCGTTATTTCCTGCTCTTTTCAGAAGTGCTGCTTTCAATGCTGCATTCAGATCGTCTCCTCCTGATGAAGAAGATGATGGAACTGGCCTTTCTGCTTTAGGAGCAACTGGTATTTGGCCTGTTACGAACGACGGCGGAAGAGGAGGCGGCGGTGGCGGGCCGCCAACCGAACCTATCGATGGCATGGTTGGTGGTGGTGGTGGTGGTGGAGGGCCTGCAACAGACGGACGAGTAACTGGATTCATCACTGGTGGCATTGGAGGAGGAGGAGGAGCATCATTAGCGACGGATTGTCGAGATGGTGACTTTGTGATCTTATTAGACATCGTGTTGCTTATGAGCACTGGATCGGCAGTGGCTTCCAACGTGCCAGCTCGCGAACGTTGTGCAGCCTTAAGAATGCAACGATAGTCGTTAGATTTTTGAAATAGAGAACAAAAACTCAAAAGTACGGTACACACTTTTTGTTGAATGGCACCAGCCAAATTAAAAGCTCCATTGCCTGCAGATGGTGGCATAGGGGGAGGAGGAGGAGCATCATTAGCGACGGATTGTCTAGATGGCGACTTTGTAATCTTATTAGACGACGGGTTGCCTGTAAGCACTGGAGCAGCAGGGGCTTCCAATGTGCCAGCTCGAGAACGCTGTGCAGCCTTCAGAATGAAAAAAAAAGCAGTCGTTGGATTTTTGGAATAGAGAAAAAAGACTAAAAGGTAGGGTACACACTTTTTGTTGAATGGCACCAGCCAAATTAAAAGCTCCATTGCCTGCAGATGGTGGCATAGGGGGAGGAGGAGGAGCATCATTAGCGAGGGATTGTCTAGATGACGACTTTGTAATCTTATTAGACGACGGGTTGCTTATGAGCACTGGAGAAGCAGGGGCTTCCCATGTGCCAGCTCGAGAACGTTGTGCAGCCTTAAGAAGTCACAGAAAAGGAGCTGTTAGATTGTCTAAGATAGAAGGACTCCAAAATACTCACTTTTTGTTGAATGGCACCAGCCAAATTAAAAGCTCCATTGCCTGGAGATGGTGGCATAGGGGGAGGAGGAGGAGCATCACTACTGATTGTTTGCATCGACGGTGATTTGTTCATCTTATTGGTGGAGGGTGACTTGCTCATCCTTACGGTGATACTACTCGCCACATTGGGTAGTATTGGTGCTAGTGTTGATGAAGGAGACCAAGGGGGCAGTGGAGGGGGCACGGGTATTTGAGATTGATCGATGTTACTCGATGACATTGTAATTGAAGGAGATTTTTTGATTGACATAGTAGTTGAAGGCGACATTTTGGCCACTGAAGAAGATGGATCTATCATTGCAGCGGTCGCATTTGCTACTTTCGACCTTTGTAAGGCCTAGAAAACAAACTTGGAATCAGAAAAACCTTGACAGAATAATAAAAATGATTGAGCTTTCATAATTCCTTCACCTTTTGTTGAAGCTCACTAGCCAAACTAAAAGATCCACCTGATGCTGGTGGTGGTGGTGGGGGAGGCGGTGGTGGCGGCGCTGAAGCAAACTCCATACTGGTCGAATTATTGATGTTTCCACTCAGTGAAGCTGTTGATGGTGAGCCTCTTAGAGTTCCAGGAGGCTTTGGTGGCGTCGGCGGACCTTGAACAGCTGCTGCTTCGGAACGCTGAGCGACCTAGAGTGTAGAAAATAGCGTTGTAAGTGAAAACAAATCTCAGTTCAATGTTTCTAGAAGACACACACTCACCTTTTGCTGTAAGGCACTGGCCAGATTGAACAATCCACCTGATGCTGGTGGAGGGGGAGGCGGTGGTGGTGGCGGCGCGGAAGCAAATTCCATACTCGTGGAATTTTGGAAGTTTCCATTGAAGGACGCTGGTGCTGGTGAGCCTCTGAGAGTTCCTGGAGGATTTTTGGGAGCTGTTGGACCTTGATCTGGCGTAGCTGATCTCTGGGCAACCTAAAATGCTTTGTAAGTCAAAAAAACTCAAATTCAATATTTTCTAAAGAAAACTACTCTCACCTTTTGTTGCAAAGCATTGGCCAAATTGAACGGACCACTTGATGCTGGTGGTGGCGGAGGAGGTGGAGGTGGTGGAGAGGCTCCAACAGATTGACGACCAATAGTAGAAACAGAAGAATATATCAATGATGGCATTGGAGGAGGTGGTGGTGGAGGGCCTGAAACAGACGATCGAGTATTCGAACTCAATCCTGGTGGCATCAGTGGTGGTGGTGGAGGCGGTGGTAGCATCGTCGAGTCACTATTAGCTTGATTGTTGATTGATGAAGATGATGGCGAATTTCTGACTGCACCGTTCATACGCGACAGAGAGCCAAAGGACGAGGAGCTAGTCATGGTTTTTGATCTGAGTAACGAGTCATGACCAGATGAGCTATTCTGTGACGACTGAGCAGGAAACGAAGGCGATCTCTTGAGCGATTCAGACGATACACCGCCCAAACCAGAAGCAAGCTTTGGAAGAGTAGGTGGAGGTATGGGTGCTGTTGTTGAAACAGGTGCGGTACATGAATCATTTTCAGATCCAGCAAGTGCAGTGAGTTCTCGTGTAGATCGACTAGGTTTAGGAAGTAATGGAGGTGGAATGGGTGCAACTGGGGTTTCAATTGGTGCTGGTGTTTCTGCTTCTGGCCGAGTATCCATCCCCTTCACGTGAGATGTCCTTTGTATGGTACCAGAAGATGTATCATCTCGAATATTTGGCCTGATGCCATTCGAAAGACTGGTTCCCCTTGATCTTGTAATAATATCTTGTGACGAAAATGTTTGAGCAACAGAAGGTCTAGCCGTATTCGAACCATCAACTATGGTTCCAGAATTCGTTTTGTTCAATTTAGCGCTTGAGACAGCCATTTTCCTCTGCACGGCTGCCATAGCTTCGGCGAGAGCTCGTCGTGCTTCTCCGTCGTCAGCTTTGGCAGGAGCGGTTGATGAATCAGTTGCTAGTGCAGGAGACGATGCAGAGACAGGAGCTACACCCCGTCTTCCAATAGTGTCTGCTGTCTTTTCAACAGTCGACACTGTCTCCTTTAAAGGGATTGGGGCAATTGATGGAATGCCTTCTTTTGCAGACAGAGAGGATATGATTGTTTCTTTGGCATTCAATGCAGACGTTGATTGAGACATATTGGCCGTTGTCGTAGTGTCCATAGACCAAACTCTTTCACCCAGAGTAGATGGTTCATTTGACCTAGCTTGACGTTCTTCTTTCTGACGTCTAATGGTGGCACTATCCACCCCACCAATATTTACTTCTCCAGAAGATCGAGACAAGTGACCTTGCAATGAACCTAATTTGACGTCTGCGATTTTTCTTGAAACAATCGAGGATCTAGTTGTTTCCACTGATGGCTCTGCGTCCCAGTTATAATCCTCAGATTTGTCTAACAAGAACAAGACAGTTAGAATTCAAATAGATTATTTAAATCCACACTTCACTCGTACTCTGTCGAGAATTAGCCAAAAACTTTGCCTTCTCGAGTTGCAGCTGTAGCGATTGTATCTTCTCCACGAACTTCATAGCATTATTGGCAGTAGAGACCGTTGCTTGCTTCGCTGCCGCTTTAATCTCAGCCAGAGAGCTCTCTAAAGCACGAATGTGTGCGATTCCTGCGATCTGCGAAACTCCGTCAATCGTCAATTGCCATGCTGTCATGTCTTCTCTATCACGACACGTGTAAAGGTAGGTAGCACCATCCTTAATTGGAAAACCTTGTTAAAACATAGTTCCTTTGCAGCCTCATCGTTCTACTACTCGTCCTTGCGACTTTACCTGTATTGTCAATCGAAACATATTCACTGGCTTATCTTTATATTGTAGCACTTCTTCAACGGTAGCATTGGCAATAGGTAAAGATAACACAGCTGCTTTTCCGGCTTCGTACTTTTCACGGCGGATGATATGAAGGTGAAGAAAATGGTGAGTTGCCGCAAATGTAAAATTCCACTATAGTACACAACTTACAGCATCACGGTTCTGAAAATGGATCAAATTAAATCCCTTGAGTACAACATGGCATTTTTGCCATGAGTTCATTAGACCAGGTTTACTGCCATCTGCGTTTTTCTCCAGTTTTCGTTCAAGGTCATTCTTGCGGTGAACGGTTTCGGCAGGAGACGCGTCCAGCGCAGAAATACTACGTGACGGCCGATTTATGGGCATCTGAAAATCAGAAGATTTTCTCTGTCGGTCTCTCGTAGAGCAGAAATGATGTCGGTAGGAATTGACCCAATCACACGAACAAACCCAAGCTTGCGAGTGTTTGCGAGAGACACTCTCTTGTTAGCTGCACATTGATGCTGATGAAAACGGATAAAACTCGAAAGAACATTGAAGTACCCCAAAATTCAGTGGGTCTATAATTCTATTCTAATTAGCTATTGAGAGTATCAGCAATTCATAAATACATGTCTGAACTTTCACAATACGAGGCCACAATATAAACTTCTAAGTTGAAACAGCGTGGTGGCAGCATATCTACAGTTGTTTTTTCTCCCCCTCCGGCGATGCTGGTGGACTTAGAGCAACAGCTTCATCTATTTTATCGACTTTATCAGCCTTGTCTGCCGGCAATCCATTATTCCTCTCTAACGGCAGTCCAGTGTGGCTCTCTTCCTGTGTGGTGGTGGTTTTGATATCGACGGATTCCAATTCGGAAGTGACCTTCCAGTTTTGGTTTGCGGGGGGCCATTCATCATCGTTCAAGTGAGATATAGATGCCGGAGCCCATATTATTTCCTCGAAACCAGCGTCGGCGGGGAATGTTTCAAAGATTGAAACTTCATGCCTAAGCTTTGATGGTACTTTTGGCAATGTTGATGGCCTCTTTTGCAGCATATCGATAGTCCGGAGCTGTTGAGTGGTGTAGGGGTCTATAAATTGGTCCTCTATAGGCTAGGGCGGTGGGCTTCCTTCGAAAAAGTGTTGATCGTCTGTAAAGTTTAAAAAGTTTCGGGCTTTCTATCTATTGAGACGTAATCAGGTTAGACCATGATGGAATTTCAATTGCACAGCACCTATTTGATACCTGTATGTAGCTAACCAACCTTCCGGGTGCTTGGTTTATAGGTTCTCTTCGCACAGCAGGGGTTGGAAAGTTTTGTGACGAAAGCAAGTTTCACAAATGCCTCAAACAGCCAAAAAGGTGGCAGTAAGCTTCTCGGTACGTATTTGTAGGCTGTTGAACTACAATTTGAGCTCTATTTTGGTCTCGAACGTGATAGTGGGGATGCGATGCACAAAATCGTCATCGGATCTCAAAATCTGGAATTTCTTTTCGTTAAAGCGACCAGACCCTAAATTAATCTCAAATTGTTCTACTGAAGGGTGGAAAAGACTGTACTTTGGCGCTCCACCTTGGTTAGTGCATCTGGGTGCTTGTTCGCGTGGTTTATACCTGTTGAACTCACCGGGTTTGACCTATGGCAGCTCTCCTCTTACATCCTGACTCTGTTATTAGCTAAACAACAAGGCCATGATGTCGCCATGCTGGTTACCTTCCACGGGGATGTGCGTCACCCACTGACTTTGGACCAATACACAACACCCAATACCCAATACGTTGAACCAACCTAACCAACCCCATCTAGGCGCCATTCCTAGCTCATCCGAGAGATCTGATAATTCTACAAGCCAAAGCTCTGGAGATAGAGCACAGATTCATACATATCAAGGTATCTGATAATAACCCGTTTGGGTACGTTCATCTTTCTAAATTGAACTCTGCATTCATAGGCACCCTTCATGGAAAGCTATCGAACGTCAATCATGAACCTCAGTTCTGAAGGAATTCAAGGGATTTTCACAGGAGACATACTAGATGTGTGCTCAAGCTTCCTTGACCGTGTAGTTGAGGGCACACCTGTGGAACTTTTACGACCCCTATATTTCTTGCCGAGAAAGGAAGTGATAGACCTACTTCTCCCCTTTCAATTCGATATAGTCATTACTTGCTGTTCCCTGACGCAAATGTCTCTCGAATACGGAATGGAATTAGCTGGCAAAAGGCTGAATAAGGAATTCTTTGACAAGTTGGTAAAGGATGAAAAATTGGATTCATGTGGTGAAAACGGTAAAAGCTTTTGCAATTTGGAGACAGCTGGCTGTCCATCTCACGCTCAATGTTGTATAGGTGAGTATCATTCAATGGTACTAGACGCACCTCTTTTCAAAAAACGCATTGAAGTCAAGGAAGTCGGCCCTAGAGGTAATTGTCGTTTACGGAGAGCGCGAGACAAGTATTGATTCGCATTCGCCTTCTAGTTTCCGACGGAGGAAAGTTCATCTTCTATGACATGAAGGACTACAGACTGGTTGAGAAAAACTAATATATACTTATACTTATGGAAGTGTTTGTATTTATCACGTGTGTGCGAATATATAGCTATAATACAGGTAAGCAGCCTCAACTACAAAACTTTGCGTACGTACCCAATGGACTCAGTTTGAAGCTGGGTTCAATCCATCGAACTCAAAACCGACGAGCAACAGCACATGATCACTAGGTAGTTCTTGATTCGGAAGTCGCAGATGGTCTTTTATAGTCGGAGGTTCCAGATAGCCTGTACACTGTAGGGAAACATCTATTAGTTCCTCTTGAATTTCTTCTTCATCTTCCTGTGACGATCTTCTCCTTGATCCATAAAAGATAAAGTCCACCAGTTGATTGTCGAGATCATGGCACGTAGACACATACTGATAACGTGTTTCTACGTGATGATGCGGGCGTAGAGCAGATTTGAGTCGGAGTGGCAGTTGATGGGTGGCAGGTGACTGTGACGAGAACATGGAATCAAAGCCTTCATTCCATTCTCGTGAGTTGGGCTGAGCCCTCTGTTGACCAGACAAGTACTCATCAACTCGCCATGATACATGAGCCGACCCTATTTCCGGTTGAAGGAGAGTGTTTAACGCGATTTCTGGATAATTCTGAGTACGTCGTATGTACCTCTGACCAAATATTCATAAATGAGACTTCCGGGAGTAAAGTTCATGTCACCAGTAATCACTAGGAATGGAATTGCGACATCGGTTAGCTATTGGCCTTGTCTGTCCTTCGACTGTAACCTTCTGTGTGATACATACCTATCGGAATCTTCATACCCAGTTGTTCACCAATGTTTGCGAGTTCAGCAGCAGCTTCAGCCAGACATTGTATCTGAGCCAGTTTGATCATACCACGTCTTGGATTAAACAACAAGTGCGTGGTAGCAATGCAAACACAAGGCCCATCCACATCTCTGGCTTGAAGGAGGCCTACCAAGCCAACATTGTCTCTGTCAGTTCCATCAGCTTGATCTACGTACTCAATAGCCTTTGATGCCAGAATGGCAAATCTACCAGTAAAGCGACGAAATTAAATATATGTGAAAGCGAATAACCAGAGAATTGCACGTACTTGTGAGTCTTGTAGAATAGAGCAGCGCCGTCAGGCTTGCCTCCGGTTCTTTTCTTGTAAATACCGTGGTAGCCCATTTGTCTCATTTTTGGTTCAAAGAGTGTATGCCAGTATTGAGCATCAACTTCTTGCAAACAGACGATATCGGCGTCATAGTCTAGAATAAAAGGTTGAGGTTAACAAGACAATTGCAAAAGGAATACATTCAACGAGGTTAACGAGAGGTGAACACGAGGATAACCATGCAAAGGAAATACAGTCAACGTGACAAAGACAAGCAAACAGACGGTATTGCATAGCATACATTGCAGTTCGGCGAATATCTTTGGAGCTCTGGATCTCCAATCGAGGACCTCTGGGCCGTATTTGTAAGTGGGTGTCGAGTACAAGTATGAATGGTTTGCAGCATGAGTTGGAGAAAGCAGATTGTATGTCAAGAGAGAGAAGCCAAGTGTTCTACCTATTGAGGGTTTGGGGGACAAGATTAAAGCAAGATTTGGATGGTTTGATGGCAGACATACCTAGAGGTTTGGATAAAGGGATGTTAACCCACGGACGCCTGTAAAGCGGGCTACCTGAGCGGCCCCGCATCCATTGCAGTCCATCATCCTTGTGCTGGTCCTCATCGCCTTCACGATTTCGTTTGCCGTTCCTATATTCAGTAAGAGTGAGTAAGAAAAGGAGGAGAAGGGTGAGTAGTAAAGTATTAAATATGCAAATTCCGACCTTTTGGGCATATCGTGGTCCTCGGCATCCATCCTGTGATCGCCCTCTGAGTTGGTCGTTGACTCCTCGAGGGACAAAGCACGATGAACAATTTTCGCAGCAGTTCAGTTGTAAGTAAGGTCAAGTCTCGGAAGTGGAAAGAGTGAAAGACAAGCAAATCTTAACGTGATTCTACACGTCTCTACAAAGTTTCGCTGTCTTGATAGTAGGTTGTAACACCCTGCAAAGCCCCTACTGCCAATCTAACATCTTTTTTTTTCCCTTTACAGTTCTCAATTCGCCAGCTGTTAATATTATTTGCTGGAAAATGGGTGCTTGCTGTTCAGTAGCTGAAGACGCTCCAATTCCTGGTCTAGACTCTAAGCCGATTGCTGAACAAGCTAAAAAACTAGACGAACCAGCAATTTCCAACGTTGCTGTCACATCCCCCGATGTCGAGGCTGAAAAGGTGGTGGAACCCGCACTTCAAGTATGTATTCAATTTCATCTACGTGTACCTCTCTTGAAAAACACCCACATCAAAAATCGTGGTGGTTGACTCCCTTTTGTGTCTTGTTTTTGTTGCCTCAGGAACCAATTGTGCAGCAAGCGACCACTTTACAAGATTCCCCAACAAAAGATTTCGAACATGTATGCTTGATTCCTTGTGCCCCGTTCATTCCAACAAAGCAGCTGGCTAACAACAGCACTGTAGACAACCCATGTTGTGAACCAACATCATATTGTTGACCAACATCATATCCTCGCTGACGACAAACCCGCTCCAAATCCATTCGCTTCAATCGCAGATGATCCTGAAGTACGCATCTTGATTTATCGCCCTTCTTATCACTTTTCAAACCTAAACTGATACGCAACCCAATCGCTCCACCACAGGAAGAAACTGCTGCTCCCGTTGAGGAGGCGGCTGCCCCAGTAGAAGAATCTGCTGCTCCAATAGAGGCTGCTGCTCCTGAAGTGGAGGAAAAGGCTGTTGACGAAGCTGCTCCCGTAGAAGCCACAGTCGAAGAGCCAGTAGCTGCTCCAGGCGAGGAAGTCGCTGCTCCAGTTGAAGAAGCAGCCGCCCCCCCAGTAGTCGAAGAGAAGGCTGTTGAAAAAGAAGCTCCTACTGTAAGTCAACCACTGAATTTGCTACATCGCTTAGATCGTTTCTCAAACGTCGTTCTACAGGCTGAACATGGTTTGAGCACTGGCGCCATCGCTGGTATTGCTGGCGCTGTTGGTATTGGAAGTGTAGCTGCAGCTGGTGCTGGAATCGCTAGCGTTTTGAGTCATCACGAATCGGTACGTGTATAGTCCTGTTATCGTTCTTCAGCGTGTATCTGGAACTACAACATTGATTCTAGGCCACTGCGGAACCTACCCCTGCTGCTGAAACTGCTCCAGTTGAACCTTTTGTCGAAGAAAAAACTATCGAAAAAACCGCCGCCGTGGAGGAGGTAGCTGCTCCAATCGAACCAGCTGTCGAGGCTGAGGAAGTGGCTACTCCAGTCGAACCAGTTGGCGAGGCTGAAGAAGCAGTTGCTCCAGTTGAACCAGTTGTCGAGTCAGGAGTCATCGAACAAGCCGCTCCCGTTGAGGAAGTTGCCAAGGTTGAAGAGACAGTTGTCACGTCCGAGGTAACTTTCAAGAAAGGATTTTCTTCTATACTGAGCTCTTGCTGACCAACGCTTTTCAATAAAACATAGTCTGTTGTTGAGCCTACCACCAGTACCACAACGTTGGCGTCAGATTACCGACCTGCAGTTCAAGAGGCATCTGACCGAGATCATTCTCTTGCAACGCTCTCAACCGGTGGCTTTACATGGGGTGAGCTAAATATGACAGGAAAATGTCTCTTTGATGCAGGAAGTTTATATCGCAATCTGGTTTTAGGTGCAGCTGAACCCACTGCATCAACAGCCCCACTTTCAGCTATTACCTTCATCCCAACGGATGTCCCTGTGAAGGCCAGCGAAGAACCTGCAGTCGTGGAAGACAAACCAGCTTTCGTACAAAGATCTCTCACAGACATGATGGAGGAGCAAAATGCACAGCCTCATGGTGTTGACGCAGAAATCTTGGCTAATGATTATCGTCCCGCCTCACCAACTGTTGACAATGCTGAGACTTTCCGTTCCTTGGCGTCTGGAACTTTCAGTTGGGGTAATAAATTCAAGTTACAACAGAAGTTCATCGCTAAACTAAAGGAACTAAAAAATCCAAAATGTTTTTAGGAGCGTCGGCGCCAATAGCTACAGTTGCCGCTGTAGGTGCCGGTGTGGTTGGTGTCGCAGGTGTTGCTGCGGTAGCTGCTGAGGTATTACACTTAATTTTGAAGTTTTTGCATGGAGTTTGTCAAAAGTCGATCTGCTAATCCACTCTGTCTCAGGCCGAATCTGCTCCCGCTGCAGAAGCCGAAAAAGAAATCACAGAACCCGCTTCTGAAGCAGCTGAACTTACGTCAGAACCAGCTGCTGTCGCTGCTGAACCAGTTGCAGAAGAGCCCGCGGTGGATGTCCACGATTATAGGTAATTAAAGGATTTTCTGAAAAGCTTTGACTTCGTTTACCATTCTTTACAGTACTGGTATCTAAGTTCTAACCAACGTTATCAAATTGTCTCTAAAAATAGATCACCCACAGATGACCAAGCTGAGCATCAACACGAAGATACTCTTCATGCCATAGAACGTGGCTCATTTGATTGGGGTGCTTCAGCACCTCACGCTACGGTAGTTTTACAATTGAAGTTTGATTGAGGTTGGCGCTTTTCTTACATTTCAGATTTAGGTCGCAGCTGTTGCAGTGCCTGCTGTTGTTGACGAGCCATCGAAAGAGGTATGTAATGTCAAGAATCGATTTTGACGTCGGTCAATATGTCTTGACGACTTTTTTTGCAGGTTGCCCCTGTAGCACCGGAAAGTCCCAAGATCATATTTGTTCTGGGAGGACCAGGAGCAGGTTTGTGCTGAACATCGTTTTGACCTCTAAGGAGATAAACATTTTTGCTAACCATTTACTTCATAGGCAAAGTTCGTACAATTACAAATTTGTGAGTTTCCTTATAGACCCAGCTGCTAACAGCCTTTGTTCAGGGGACGGTTTGTGATGGGCTGAAGGTCGACTTTAGTCTACTTCATTTATCCACGGGTGATTTGCTACGAGATGAAGTCAAGGAACGACCCACGTCAGAGCTTGCTACACAAATTACCGAATGTTTCACATCAGGATCTCTAGTTCCAATGTCTGTAGTTATGGGCTTGCTGGAAGCCAAAATCAAGTCGATTGCTGGATCTTCTGAGTACAAGGGTGTTCTCGTCGGTACGTCGCTCTTTGACGTTGCACTAAGTCGACATACTAAATATCTTGCACATAGATGGTTATCCAAGAGAAGTACAACAGGCAACAGAGTTTGAAAAAGTGATTTCTCCTCCTACCTTGGTTCTCAGTCTTCACTTGGATAATGCTACCATGACATCAAGGCTACTTGAAAGGGGCAAAACATCAGGACGAGCCGATGACAATGAAGCTACCATCTCCAAGAGGCTCGCTACGTTTGAAAAAGAAACGGTACCAGTAGTTGAATTTTATGAAAGCAAAAAGGACGTCATTCCATTCGTTACAATCGACGCATCGCAGTCGATTGCGTCGGTTTACAAGGAGGCTTCGGAAGTCGTCCACAGAATTATTGAGGGATACACGGTTTAGACACTGTGACGTTTGAGTACTGATGCTTTAAAAATCGCACTAATACCGTAATAATACAGCGATTTAATTCCCGTTAACGTATCTTAAAAGAATCTTTAAAAACAAGAAAAACTTCTCATATCAAACCGACTTAACGCGAAGTTAGCGTCTATGAGCTATTGGAATAAATGTCTAGTGTCTATCCAATCAATGGCGCTGCAAATGAACCGTTGGTCTGATCAAAACTTGGAAACTTCAAAACATAGCAAAGTTGAAGGCCAGGCTCCCAAGGCCAATGTAAGAGAAAAACAGGATTAGGAAATGGAGGCAACAGAGCGCACAGAGAACATTGCCTTGCTGCTACGAGACCGCGAGTATCATCGGTCCAGACCATGCACCAACTTGTTGCGACAACGTCGAGCATACACCAGCATTGTTCCAAACAAGACTATTCACAATATAAACTTGCCACCCTTAACATTCAGGAGATTCACTCCAGATGGACAGGTAAGCTTGGATTCTCTTGTTTGCATGGCGATTCTGAATGTGATTTGGGTGAGACATCTTGTTTTCTAATCTTTGTCAAGAGTTTGCCCAATTAAACCAACATTTGGCCTTGTTTACGTGTCAAAACCAATTCCATCAACTCTGGTAACGACTCTCGTTCTCCTTTCTCTAGTATCTTATCACATTCTCCAAGCACCAACACGCAATTACCTTGTATCGCTACGAAGGTCCACCAAAACGATCAGTTGACTTGGATGAGGCTGCGACGTCAACTGTCGTATGGGACCGCATGTTTACGTTTGTTTACGAAAAGGTCTTGACTTCGGGCTCGGAATTGTTGTGTAAAGATTTTTGTCTGTTTACCGTCAACAAGACTCAGGTAGAGTTTCAGTACTTGATTGTCCGTCATTGTCACAATTAATTGTTGATGTTGATTGCTATATAGATGATCTTGTCATCGGCCGTTCCGTCATCAGGTCAGCCCGAACATGCACGACGTTATCCACACTCAATTCGGTCGATAAGCTCGTTGGATGATGTGACATTCTGGCTGTTAGATATCGAGACTGGTCAAGTATGATTTGAAATCCATCAAATTGCTGCATTTAAAGCTGTCGCACTAATCTTCTTGATCATTCCTTTTCTACAAAGATACTAGATCGCAAGATATATCGAAACGACTACATCTTTTTATCAAACCATGCTGGTGTTCATATGCTCCGTAATCATATGTGTATAGCCTCTGTACAGCATCAAAGTGTTTACATTTTAGAAATTAAGGTATTCTGCCACATCATCACATCACATTTGACACCTTCACTAACCCTGAAGTTATACAGGAAACTGGAAAGTTTGTAGAGCTTCGAACAGTCGGATGGTTCAATTATGAGGATGACGCTTTGATATTGTCTCGAGCCACTGATGCTGAAGAACAATACCGTCAACGAATAAGGGTCAATCCGCCTATAGCAAATCCAAACAATAGATCAACACCAGCCAACACGACTTCCATGGATTGGGAGCCTGATTACGTGTATACTGGACTCAATTCGAATCGAAGATTAATCGGCCAAAGAGTCTTTCGGCCTCCAGAACAGCCTGATGTGACTGCTCAATTAGTTCCCGCTCTTCTCTCAACACGTCCACCTCCGAGACAGCAACCTCCTCCTCGAGCTACTTTTAATACCGAGCAGCTGATGGAAGTTGATGATGTACGTAGATTCATCTATCTCTATAGCTCATTTTATTTGTTGCCTCTTTTTTCTCACTCGTTGTTCTATTTGCCATGTAGGAGAGCATACCGTTGAGTGGTCTAAAGCAACGAATATTGACATTCTTGTATCGTCGTGCCGTATCAAGTGGGAATGACGCGTACGTTTGCTTTTCTCTCAACAACTGCTATCCCTCTCTTAAAATTGTCTTTTGTAGAGGCATAAGGAATTTCTATTTGACTTATCCATACTTTGCTACTCTTGTCATGTGGAGGGTTCAATTTATCGACCAACATCACCTCATGATCAAAATGGGCAACCTGGAGCAGGTTGTCGGGAAGAACCCGGAGCCCACTACAGCCTCAAGCTCGTTTTTTGTCGTATACTCTTTATTGACCACTGAAGTCATTGGTGTACTTGACAATGCTTCTGAATTTCTTTTACGCGAGATGGAATCATGGGACAGTCTACGAGGAATGCCCTTCTCTGATCCTTTACAGTTTGTCACATCAATGGCAAACAATGACTATGCTCGTGACACGGTCCGACGCCACATGTATGCTGTCCGTAAAGCTAGAAATGGTGGTGCTGCTCAAGCCATCAAACGTATAGTGTCACAACTACCTGTCAACGCCCAAAGCTTTCTCGAGACGCCCTACTTTGACCAAGGATTGTTTAGTTATGATGAGAAGGTCATAAACAACAATGACAGGTAGGCCATTTACATATGCTGCAATTCGGAATGCAACTCATACCTCTAAAACTTGAAAATATTAGGACGCGTCTTTTGTCGGAATTCCCAGTCAAGTTTTTCTCTCGTGCTACTGGGGTATTCAAATTCCGAATAGATCCACTACCTGCACCTTTTGGAGCTCCTCAACCTCCAGCTCGTGCAATGCAGAAGTGAGTTCGTGTTGCGACATGTTTGTTCCAATATGACCAACATTGATCAAATCCTCTACATTTTTTAGACGATATGTACAATTCTTGTTTCATCCAACAGAGCCACTAGTTATTACGAGTCTCATAACGCCAGGTGCTCCAGCAGTCATCAACATTCACTTACGAACATAAATGTAATCAAATGTACAACTTTTTAAGATACATATATATTTTACACGACCTTGTGCATAGCTTGCAAATTACAATTGAAGGAAAACTCTTTCCTGTTCAAAGAGAATGAGTCTCTTATCGTAAACCAGGCTGTGACCTTTCGAGCGGTGGAAGGGGTGAAGATGGAAAAAAGCAAAGCCAAGGACCATACCGTTTTTGAGCCTACCAACAATTCCTTCGCGACAAACACTTTTCAGCACATGAAGCACCATGTTGACCAGGCTGTTATTGTGCTTTCTAGCCATTTTCGGTTTGATTCAAACCGCAAGATCGCAGCAGTATGTATCATCGCTTTCGCGGAGTCTTGCCCACCTGAATGGAACACACAGTGGTTCACACAACTCCAATTCTATAGATGCGGTGGAGCATTTGGCAAATGCACGTCTGGACTATGTTGCAGGCATGTACAATTCCCTGTTCGCCTTTTTTCGGCTCTTTGGAAAACGCACTCGGACCTTCGCATGACGCAGCACTAGATCTCACAAAAGAGATACAAGGAGCTGTGTCGGTGGTGTTGAGACATGAATTGTGAATTGAAGTTTAATGTAAAATTTACCTCGTTTATAGTGCATACGGTTGGTGTGGATCAACCGACGCGTAAGGGTTTTAGATAGCAACAGATCACCTCTTCCCGAGCACTTTAACTAACAGTGTCTCTGTACAATAGGTGGTGTGCAACTGGCTGCCAGCCCAGCTATGGAATATGTACTGGAACGGTAGGGGAAATCGAAACTTGCAGTACTGGATAAAAATCCTCAAACACAATCTTTTATCACTTTAGGCAAAGATCGTTGTCGCGGCGTCTCCCGTGCAAGCTTCGCCAGTCAAGGCCTCTCCAGTGCTAGCATCTCCGGTCAAGCCTTCTCCTGTCTTGCCATCACCTGTTAAAGCATCATCTGCGCCTGTAATCAAACTCACAACAAATAGCCAGTGCGGTATGTTTGTATACCAAATTTCTTCGAAATAATTGCTTTTCGGAATGTCCTTGTGGTCTGACTTGAAAAACGCTTCCAATTTCTTCAGGTGCATCTGTTAGCGCGAAGTGTGATGTAGCAGGAACTTATCCTTGTTGCTCTGGTAAGCTGAAATATGGTTTTCCTTGTGTTTCCTTAACTCGCTCTAATTGCAGCCTTCAACACCGACAATAGTTTACGGTTGGTGGTATGCGATCCGTCTACGCGCAGTTTGGAGTTGAGGCAAATTCTTGACGTTTTCTCAACAATTCAGTGGCATTGGATCAAGCTGGTGTGGTACAGGGTGTCAAGCTGGTTGTAAGTCAACTTTCGTTACGTGGCCGGTTCTCTTAGAGCCTTAATTTTTTTGTCGGTTTCAGACGGCCTATGTGGAAACATTGGTCCTGCAGCCAGCCCTGTAGTAGTCAAGGCAGCTGTAGTACAACCATCTGCCGCACCGTCTGTCGCGCCCTCTCCAGTTAAAGCAAGCCCAGTGAGTAGGCGCTGTCAACAATTCACTAGAGGTATGGCTGACTCACTGTTTGGCACTAGGGTGCTTCTGCTAAACCAGCTGTAAGCGTTCAACCATCACCAACATATCCTTGTGGGAGCCAGCAAAACGTGAGTATTGTGCTGTCTACTTAGGGAATGGTTTCGGTTATTTATGGATCATCGCCATTTTCAGGTCTTGTACTTTGGCGTATGTTACAAACCAGGCGATGTAAACACAATTGGCTGGACGTGGACGACTTCTGGATGGACTTGCAATGCTCCAAGCTGTCCTATTCCAGATGGAAATTTAGGGGGATATTGTTTTTCAAGTGGAATGAGTGCAGCTAACTACAGTTGTTCCAACGGAGTGCTCACGAATGTTACAACAAGTAACCGGCTCGTCGCTGCTGCTACAACAACAGTCTCATCAGCGGCATTGTCACCAGCACCCTTGACCACCACTGTCATTTTATCCAGTATAATACCCTCCACCTTGCCTTCCTCTACGGTAATCCCGAGTATATTCGCATCGGCAGCACCGTCAAAAACTATCATTTCATCTGTACTCCCATCGGCAGCACCATCAACGACTATCATTCCTTCCGCACTCGCATCAACAGCACTGTCAACGACTTTAGACCCATCCCTTGACCCATCTAAACAGATTACACCATCAGAAGGTCCAACAACGACTATGACACCATCAGCAGAGGCCTCTTCCTTCGTTTTATCATCACCCACAACGACTGCACAATCTCCAGCCTTTTCAACTTTTATTACTCCATCAGTAACGATTGCAGCAAAAATAATAGCTCCCTCTGCAGCTCCATCAGCAGCACCTTCTCCAGTTTGTGGCTCTGTCAACAACGTACTTTATAATGGTGTATGTTATTCGCCAGGCCAAGTAAACACATTTGGATGGACTTGGTGAGAACTTCGGGCTTCGAAAGTTTGCTACACCTATATCAATATTTAAGCTATATCCAATCAATTTTAGGTCGCTACAAGGATGGCAATGTCCGACTCCAAAATGCCCTGTTCCGTCAGGACAATATCAAGGTTACTGCATCGCAAGTGGAAGTACCCAATATACCAACTATATCTGCTCGAACGGTGTTTTCAGTCTCACGGTATACACTTTTTTGATTATTTCACTAGTATACTCAAAATTCTGATGTACTTTTTTCAACATAGCCCCTCAAAACTTACACCCCTGCGTGTGCCAATATTTGCGGATGTAGGACAATTTCGCCGGGAGCGAATTGGGTTTATCGTGATACGACAATCGATGGCACAAAACTCTTCAAGAATGGCCAGCCATTCAGATTTGTTTCTGTAAATTATCAGGATATTGTTCAATCTGTTGGTACGTTTTTACTCTGCTTGACGCGATTCATTTGTGCTTAACAACGATCTGGAAACCCCATTTAGATGTGTATTCCACAAACGGTGGTGGATACTGTCAAGGGGAAGGCCCTGCAGCATATATGGGTTGGCCCGACGCATGGGAGGTTGAAGACGGAATAGCGACTGTAGCTGGTTTCGGAGGGGCCGTGATTAGAGCTTACACGTTCTCTATCTGGGTTCGTACTAGTTGTAATGTACGTTTTCTCAATTAGTTCTTATGTTTTCGTTGTGTTTGCTACAGGATCCCAATAATGGTGGATGCAACGGCGCTCAAAACGACTACTTTGCGTAAGTTTTAGGAAAGTTGTTCTTCAATATTTGAATGGGTCACTTACATAGAACCATACTTCAGGTACAAGGCTCCAGGACTGTACTCGTGAGTTTGATTTCATCTTCATATTTGAGCATTACCTCAAGTTAAGTAATTTCTTAGGGAAACTTACTTCCAAAGCATGGATCGTGCGATCGCTCTCGCATCAAAGTACGGAGTGCACTTGATATTCCCCATAATAGACTACTGGGTACGTTCATCAACACAACCAACATGCGAACAAAGCAAGAAGCACTCACATATTATGCTCATCTGATAGTGGTGGAGAGGGGGCATGAGAGCTTTTGCTTGTAAGTTGCTTTTTCGTAAAACTTTGGACCCTCCAATTCTCACGTTTTTTTTCCGTCAGCTCATCGAGTTGCAAACGCAAATAGAGTTGACTTTTATACCAATCGACAAGTCATTCAGGACTTTGAAGATTTCCTATATTACATACTTCATCGCGTCAACACTGTCACCGGAGTAGCGTATAAGGTAATAAAGTGAAGATGGATCCTTGTTGGGATTGCCGTTACTAACTGCCGGTCACTTTTTACACAGGACGACCCCACGATATTAGGTGATTCTTTGGTTCAGGGCACACACTTTGAAAATGCCGACTCACTAACATTTCGACTTTGTCAACATTAGCGTGGGAACTTTTGAACGAAGGGGGTGGATGGTATGTTTTTTCTTTGCACCTTCAGCTGGATTTCACAGACTTTGAGTGGTAATATTCACCAACATTCGGCTTTTAGGTCTGACGTTTACGATCCTACATGGGCACAAACAATAGCTCAGTTTATCAAAACAATCGATGTATGTATTGATTCCACGTTGTTTGTGGCCACAAGCAAACAATGCTCACCAAACAATTTCAGCCAAACCATCTCATCATGGATGGCTCATACAATAACGGAGGTTACTATGGTGGATCCACAAAGTGGGAGTATCTGAAAGTGCAAGGCGTGCTCAGCAACCCTTGTATCGATATAATGTAAGACTACAAGCCTGTTGCTTCTTAGTTATAAAAACGCTAATGATCTCTCTCGCTTCAGGAGCAATCACTATTATGCAGTGCAGAGTCAGTCTGATTTCCCAGCTCGCATTGCGCAAGATGTAGCATACACAAAGTCTGTCAACAAGCCACTGATAGTTGACGAATGGGCCATTTGGTATGGTGAATTTGATGTCGTAGTTGATTGACGATTTCTAAAAACACTTTGAACTTTAACAGGACTGGCTCGGTTACATCATCGTGGATTTCCACATTTTTGACCTCGGTTCAAAACACACCAGGAGTGGCTGGTGTGCTTCTATGGAGTTTGGGTAAGATTCCTTTGGCTTTTCTTGCGAGAATTGTTGTTAACCACACAAACTTCCGTTCCAGTTTCCCATCATGTATCGGGTGGCTGGTATCAACATTACGAGTATCCGTCCCCCTTCACGGATTGTAAGCTGAATTGTCCATCTTTGTCACGTTGGATGTATCGAGAGTTTCGACGTATTCGAACTCATATACTCCTTGATTCTTCTAGACCACTTCCCTGGGTTCACATCAAGCATCTCGACCTTTGACGAAGGATTCGTCTGTAGCAATATCATGCAATATGCGGCCTCCATAATGGGAAAGACTCTCAGCCTGCCACTACCATCGGCTCCTGGGATAATATCAGGAATAACAAGCAAAACCCTGCGATGGCAAGGCAGTGTCCTTGCACAATACTACAAAGTCTTCTCGGCACCACCATCTAATGTCACGAGCTGGACTCTCATTGGAAAGAATGTCGTGGACACACTGCCACCAGGAAGCACGCTATTTACGGATCCTGTGTCGTGCCCGGCGGGGCAGACCAGATTGTATAAATTCCAAGGATGCAACACGGGAGGCTGTGGTGCAAACAGCACGGTTATAACTGCCAAGTGTTAGGCTCTGGTGCAAATAGTATGGCTCCTGCCAATTTGTTAATAGTAATGTCGAATTGCACGGCAATATACCTCATTAGTAGATTACATATCAGACACGCTTGCGAGTCTTGCGCCTCTCGTTAGAACTAAGAATTTAAGAAAACTCGGAGGCGTTGACCTCCATAATTGTTGAATGGAGTGCGAATACAGAATATCGACCTTGATATGGAAGCCGCTGCGCTCCAGGAGGTCGCTTGCGAGTGAGGAAATTCTGACGACAACTCCATAGCCCGTACAACGAGGCCACATGAATCTGACTGCAATAACATCGTAAAATGAGCAGGCAAACGCGTAAATCATACATACCATATTAAGGGTTGAAGCAGTTACTAGATCTGACGTGTTGCTTCTTCGTTGACACCAAAGCGCAAACATCTCCAAAAAATCAATCTTTTCAAGTTTGTTCGACGACTAGGCGTAAAGCAACCATTACAAGAAGGAGAGTGTGTCCTTGCTATAGTATACGATAGATTGAAATGGCTGGAAACTTGGGGCAAGTCTTCTGCTTTGGAAAAAGCTCACTCTATATTTTACTCGACATTTTACAACTACTAACTTCAATCAACCGTCTAGATTGGGCAGCAGGCCCCAAGTAGAAATTCGAGAGATTGTAGATACAGACACCGACAACTCGATTCGCTTTGTCCTCTCAAAGACGGACTTGGCTCTAGCAAATGCCATCAGACGTACATGCATCGCCGAAGTATCAACCATCGCCATCGACCTCGTCAACTTTATCGTAAACACAACAGTCCTCTCAGACGAATTCATTGCCCATCGTCTCGGCATGATTCCATTAAACTCAGAGTCAGTACACGAACTCAAACCAAACAGAGACTGTGGGTGTGATGGATATTGCAACCAGTGCAGCATCACCCTCACTTTGAATGTATCCTTCAACACGGGCGATAAAGATACGATGATTGTCACTAGCGATGATTTGAGGACGGGGGATCCAAAGGGACGAGGAGCTCCTTCCAAGCGAGCTGGTGAAGATCCAATTAGTATAGTCAAACTGAAAAAGGGACAGCAGATATGGTTGACTTGTATCGCACGAAAGGGAATTGGAAAGGTATGTTATAGGAAAGTCTGCACATCATCTCGCTGTTTTGGAGCGTCGTTTTTCCCAACGACAATCAGTACAACAACGCCCAGAGTCTTAATCCGACAAGGGCTGTGGAGAGAATGATGATTGATTTCTACAAGACGTTTCCAAACTTACTTTTTGCCCTTCTAACAAACCACGATATCTTTATAGGAACACTCAAAATGGTCGCCCTGTGGAGCCGTATCCTTCGACTACGATCCATGGAATAAGCTCCGTCACAGCGTCTACTGGTATGAAGAATCACCCGAAGTGGATTGGCCAGCTCCAGATCCAGACCGATTCCCAAACGCACCACACTTTGAAGAACGTAAACCGCAACCTGATGAACCATTCGATTATAATGCTACAGCAAACAAGTTTTATATGACGGTCGAATCAACTGGTGCAATCCCACCTGAACGTATTGTAATTGATGCATTGAAGGGGCTAGCAGACAAACTGGATGATTTGAAGTTGGCAGTGGATAGAGTTGGGAATCGACAGGGTGAGGGTGAAGGAGGCGAAGGCATGCAGACGGAGGCTGACTATGCTTATCATCCTCCCCCACCAACAACACCTCGCTTCTACACAAACATGTAACATAAAACATATAAATTTGCTCCTTTCGCTAATGTAGTTAATAAAACAACCATACATTGCTCCTTCAATCTGATTCTTGCGTTAAATGATTTCTCCTACCCCAGTATATATTGAAAGCAACGAAAATACATGTGTTGGTTTTTAACTAAGCAAAATTACTGTTATTGGGCTGTGCCTTCTGAAGGTATATGTGATGAAATGTCCAGCACTCCATCAGATTTTAAAGCTTCTATTAGTGATTAGGGGTTGAGATTAGTTTCCAGAACTCCAGAGCAAAAACCTCGATTAACATTGACAGCTGTACATTCCACTAGCTTCAAATCCTAAACTTACCAGATGATTCTTGTTTTAAATCTCCCAACTCTCCTCCAAGCTTATTATTATTCGGAGCGAGTTCTCCTTCAGAACCAGCATATTCTTCAATAGCAGTGGCGTCAGTTTCAACTGCACCAGTGCCATCTTCCGTTATTAAAGCCTCTTCATCATCGTCTTCATATTCAATAGGACCAAACATCCATTCAGCTTGCTCAATCAATGCTTCGACTACCGCGCATTGACCACCCATGTCCGTCATCATACGAGCCATAGTCTCGTCTTCGGGAGCTGGACGTATTAATGTTGGACCAAATACAATGGCGAGATTCTTTACAGGCATACGATTGGCAGCGGAATGTGCAGCTACCAACGACAAGTGATCACATAAAAACTTAAGTGTAGCAAAGTTGGATGCTGGGAGATCATGCACCAAATCCTGATATGCAATCATGCGATCTCTCCATTCGTCCAGTCCTAATTGATGACGAATGGGGTAAGTGAGATACTGCTGAGATTTGCAACTGACGAATGGTCAGTACTGCTACTTACGGGTAGCATTAATAAGAGAAGTGTATAACTCATATGTACAAACAGGCTCCCTTCTACCACTTTGAGTAGGTATACCATCCCGTAGATATGACTTTATGACTCCAGTAATAACATGGACATCATTATCGTATAAGCTTTTACTACTACCCATATTATGATTGGTATGCGACCTGCTTCTACCAGTCACTTCCTTTTCTAATGGTGGAATATCTGACAACGATGACCGTGAGCTTTTACGATGAACCTGTTTAGATGCTGATGACGCACCTAAGTCATCGTCTAATAAGGCTTGCCCGTGAGAGGTATACTCTGGCGGAGCAGGGAGATAAATGGCTTCGGGATCGGCAGCAAACAGTTTACGTAGTCGATCTACTGTAGCGGCGGATCCAGATATACGATAAAGCCCTTCGGTATCAATACCAATCTCTTCCACTAGTTTTATGCATTTCTTCAAAATAACTGGGATTTCGCCATCCATTAAATCCATGCCATTCTTGGCACCTAAAAGACTATCTCTTTTAGGTCCAATACGCCGTAAACTACCAGAGCCACGAAAACCATCGTCGTCTCTCGCATTATCTCTTCTAGTGGCGCCAGCCATCCTGAAAAAGTTTGGTACTGAATTCAATACACCTGCACTCATCTTAGAAGCAGCCGATATAACAGCTGCATCTCTTATGCCTCGAGTGCTTTCCTTCTTCTTCAGTCGTTTCTCGTCTTTTTCCATAGCTTTTATTTCGGCAGCTACCCGTTTTCGTTCTTCTGCAGCTCTACGTTCCCGTTCTCGTTCTTCGGCAGCTCGTATCTTCTTCTCTTCTGTGGTTGGATCAATAGGGACTCTGCCAAAGCCAGACCCAGCAAATCCACTAAATCCACTAAATATTTTGTTCTTGGGTTTGTTATTTGACGAGCTTGGACTGACTGCTCCTGGTGAAACTGATGCATACGACATGTGCGACGTAGGCGAAGTAGGTGTAGTCGGGGATGATGGATCCATCATGTTGCTAGGCAATCCAGGGGACACCCTTTGTGGGATTGCCGGTGGTAGACTAGCAGCGGCCCGTGATGGTTGTAGAGATGATTCACGGACAAATGGTTGTAAATGATCACCTTCTGAAGGAATATAATGTCCTGATTGCACCAGAGGAGCTAATGGAGCGACAATATTTTGGGTTACAATGGGAGATGCTATAGGAGAGCCTGTTATCTTGGTGGATGAGCCTCTCGGAGGAGGGAGTATACCACCGTCATTCTGTACTATGGTTGGTTTACTGTTGACTATTACTATAGGAGTAGTGCTTCTCCCCTTTTCAGCTACATATTGTACAGCAGTCATCCATTGGACGACTTGGCCCATCTGGCTTTCAGAAGCTCTGAGATTAGCGAGGGACGATACAGGTGATGATTCAGTTAGAGGAGAAGCTTCTACTTGTAGAGGTTCGAATCGAATCTTGTCTAGACTCTGAGGAAGAGTCAGCATAAGATGAGTATCTACAGTGGTTGGGCTTGATCGATATGATATCATGTCAGCTTTGACATTGGGCAAGGCGACGTAATTAACCAAAAATCGCTTGTCATGTGAAAAAAGAAATGTCAGCAGCTTTACAATATATCAAGGATATAAACCGAAAACTTACTGGGGAAGCGACGAGATCAGCCAAAGTCAGCATGGTATCTTCGTATTTCCCAATTGTAGGTGGTGCACCACCACTACCTTCCTTCTTCTTTGCCGCATTAAACAAAGCAAACTGTTTTTGAAAACCGAGTTAGCAAAAAAAATTCCAGTCAATAGAAGAATAATTCCCAGACAAAAGCATTCAAGTATGGGACAAGTTGTCCCAAATCAAAGTTATTCTGGTTTACCTTTGGCCCTTTAGGTATAGGAGGCACAGGTTTACTATATAGTGACGGCGGCAGATAAGGCGGGGGAACCTGCCCAGCCGGACTTACAGCCGTGTCGATTTCGTAAAACATCAAATATGGGCCTCTGATTTCAGCAAACATGATTGTCCAATCTTCGGGGGGATTTGGTCTTTCATCTGAATCCAAATCAAAAGATTTCTTAGAAGGTACTGGTGGTTGTTTCGGTGGTGGGACCTGATTAAAAACTCCGGTTAGTCTTCGCATATTTGTTTAGCTGGGCCAACAAGCCTCGAGAATGCTATACATACGGGTGGTTTTTCAGTTTGGACTGGAGGGGGTCTAGCAGGTAGACTGGATATCGGAGCGTCCTTTCTTAGTATAAATCCAGACTTGAAGACCTTCCAAGATGAAGCAGTGGAAACGATAGCTTCGGCCTGCGACGCAGATAGTGCATCCAACACCTGAGATATCAAGATAGAAAGGTTTTCAGATAAATTACGTTTGTATCAACGCATTTCGCAAACTACAGGTCCACAATGCAGGAATTTGGTATAAGGAGCCAGCAGAAAGCACCGAGCCGACTCCAGATAGTCATGATCACAGCAGAAGACAAACTTACACCACATGGTTCCAGAATCAGCTGCGACCGTAGCTTGTCTTCATTTGAAGTAGGAGCCAGAGGTGGTGGTTGAGAAGAAGCAATACTAGAGGAGGCACCTCCACCACTTGCTTGACCGTGTTGCTGTTGCTGATGTTGGATCATTGTAGATTCGGGAGCAGGCAGAGACGAACTGTTTGGAGCAGGGATAGAGTCGGGCATGGTATAGATTACAGCTGTCTGCTAGGTATATCCTCTATACGATGTAGCTTTCTTCTCTTTGAGAGCTGTCAATACTTCACCAGCCGCACTTTGCTCCGAAAGTGGTGAGAACAAGCTCAAACAGAAACAAACTTGGTTTTATCAGCGGCCCTGGAGTGATATTAGATCCTCCTTCCTATCGATAGGTCGGTGTCTCTCTGCTCGGACTGGGTTCACGCAAAAACTTTTGACAATGAAGGTTTGGTTGAAGGCAAGAGAGAACAAACGGAGGAGAGAAAAAGAACAGCAACGAGTTATTGCGGAGCTAATAGACGCTTAAGAACGTGCACTTAAGATTAAGACCGTGCGCAACAGCACCACACACGTTTGATCATGTTATATTCTAGTCAACTAGTATGAGTTGAACAGTTGATCTTTCCAACCAAAGCCCATGCTTCCTGTCAAGGGAGGATTTAATGCTTTCCCTTGTCAGAGTACATGGCGAAATTCTGTTGAATGTTGAATCCTACCGCGAGAAATGGGTAAGCTAGACTGTTTTCTTATTTGAGCACACATGTCTGAAATGCAACCGTCTGCTTCAAGTACCTTGAGTTTTGAAATTGCCTATGCCGCCCTGTTGATGAAGGATGATGAGATACAACCCTCTGCTTCAATTATCTCGAGTTTGGAAACATACCTGAAGCGTTGCAACGTTCTTGTAACCGAGTTTTTGAAGCGAATCAGCAGCTATGACAGAGCGAAGCCCACTGTTTTATGCCGAAAAGGGAGTTATTTCATGCACATGAGCAAAAAAATTTTGACATACCCAGCGCAGTAGACAACAACCTCGTCGTATACATCGGGTACGACACCTTCAATATCGCGTTCTAACACGCCTTTTCCAATGTAAGTTGCACCTGAAATGTGCTCTTCATTCCATTCGTATGGCTCACTAGAAAGAAGCAGTTGGCAAGGAGTTTGGAAAACAATGTTGAGTGTCTTACCGAACGTCTATTAGATGAAAAGTTTTAGCGGCACCATGCACAGGGTCTGCAGTGAGTTTGGCACTCAATTCAGCAGGAGTTATCTCCTTGACAGTTCCGGAGGATTCAAGGTTCTTGACATAGTCCTTGAAGAGTCCAGATACAGGTACCGACGACGAAAAGAGACGCGATGGTCTTGTTTGAATGGACGAGCGTGCAGCCTAGTGTAATTGGTAGGAAATGTGAGGATTTGTGTTGACATTGCAGATACAGCGTGGGACTGCAATATCAAACAGCGGATTTGATGCACAGTGTCTTTGAGGCCACTCCCCATCCTTGTCGCTGCATTTTAGTATGTCACCAGCCAATAACGGGCCGCATTAGCATGCATCGGCCGTCGTTTCTCGTCCAACTGGTCCTCTTTGTCTGAAGCTCATCAAAAAACAAAACTTGTGTGTCAACTTTCGCTCTATTCGAGACTTGCCTGTAATGTAAGGCGTGCCAACGACCTGATAGCTGTCATCCTGTTCAAAGATGCAAAAGGTTGTCAAAAAACCGAGGACTAATAACAACTCTTCTCTTCTTTCGTCTTGCACAGAAACAAAAAGTGCACCAAGAACGTGTCTGTCAAGAATCAACACAGAGTGTATATTAGGAATAAGGGGCCAAATATCACCATTTTACGTGCCTTTTTATTATTCGATACAGAGGTTATATACATCTGACCATAGGATGTAATTTCCATGGAGCTCCAAGGTCGACAAATGACAAACAACACGAGCACTGGAATTAGTGTTGATACTGACACGACTCAATACTCCAGCTCAATGCCTATACAAGTCCCTGCCATACCAACTCCTGCCAATGACGCATTACCCTCATCCTCATCTGTGACATCAACATCATCACTCGCTATCGGATCAAGTGCCTTGCCAATATCAACTTTATCAAGCTCTAGTCCAAGTAATTCTCTTGTAAACACCCCTCCTGTGAACCCTCAACATCTCCAAAACATCCTTGTATGGGGAACTCGAATGATCAAGTATCCATCAAAGACCTCCTCTCGTCCTGAAGAACGACTCATCAAAGTAGACCTAAAGCCTGTATTGCAGATCTCCTGGGAATCGAAAAAGAAAAAGCCTTCTCTATCTACCAGTAAGTCATCTTGACTTGCATGTCAAGGCTCTTGGTCTATGTCAATGTTGTTGACACTTCACAAATGACATTCATTCGCCTGCTTTGCTTCCTTGTTTTGCTTCGTTCTTAATCTGGTGGTCTTCTTGGTGTCCTTGTTGAAACCCTTCTCAACCTAGTGGAATTACATGCAATCAAGGAAATACGAATGGGCCAAAACACCAGAGCCTTTGAAATACACGGCAAGAAACCCGAATACGAGAATCGTGCTTTTACAATCATTTACTCGGTCGGTGGCACATACAAGATGTTGAATCTAGGTATGTTTAGCTGTCATCCTTCGTGCGCTTTTGATTTTAGTGCATCTGATGCAGCTCTTAACAACTCTCTTCTAGTCGCGCCAAGTCCTGAAGCTTGTACATTGTGGGTTTTTGGATTGCACATGCTGCTAGCAAACGCAAATATGCGAGACTTTGGACCCGCCGAGCTCGAACAAACTGTAGCTGGTTGGCTTGGAAAAGTTTGGATTCAGGCTGATATTCGCGGAACTGGAAAACTCGACTTGGATGAAGTCACAAACCTCATGAAGAAACTCAACATTCAACTATCAAAAACTGAAGTCAAGAGTACCTTCAAAGTAAATATGGACTTTATTCGGCACCTGATCAGATTTGTTTACTCAAGATTTGTTTACTCATTCTCTTTCCATCCTTGTCTGGTAGCTGGCAGGAATCAATAAGATGGGATATCTGACTTTTGACCACTTTGAGAAATTGTATCGTGTCTTACGATTTAGACCCGAGATTGCAGAGTTGTTTTCAACATTCGCTATATCCGATGCCAGAGGAATGACAAGTAGTGAATTCAAACACTTTGTATACAATGTACAGCAGGTGCGTTAGTCAAAGATTGTCGATGACCAATTATCAATCAACTATTTTGACAGCAACGAATTCACCAACCCTACACTTGATTAGTGCAATTGGAATGAGGAGCGATATAATGAAATATTTAGAAAGTTCACTCCACAGCATACTGAAACGATGGACATAGATCACTTTTCTGCCTTTTTGGTCTCTTCAAACAACTCGATATTTAGAAAACAGCATACTGAGGTCTATCAAGACATGAATCAATCTCTTTGCAACTACTTTATAAATAGTTCTCATAACACGCAAGTGTCGCATTACAATTCTGTCAAACTTTTGATAATCCAGCTGACTCGTTTGTTCTCATAGGTATCTCTTGGGTGATCAATTGGCTGGTGAAAGTTCTGTGGAAGCATATATACGAGCTCTTCAGAATGGATGTCGTTGTGTAGAATGTCAGTCGAGATTTCAGAAGTAATGTTAAAGTCACGCAATCTCTGACTTGCAGGTTTTCTTTAATTGCAGTGGACTGTTGGGATGGACCTAATGGTCAACCCATCATTTATCACGGAAGGACTCTGTAAGTGATTATAATTATTCTTACAGACCATTCCTCTCTTTCATTCGTCGTTTTCTGACAAAATACACCCTTTCGAATTAGGACATCACGATTACTCTTCAAGGACGTGGTGGAAGCTATTGCAAAATACGCTTTTGTTGCATCGTCATACCCTCTAATAATGTCATTTGAGATGCACTGCAGTGTGGATCAACAAGATCATATGGCTAGGATATTACGCGAGACTTTTGGTGAGGCTCTGATACTCAAACCATTGAGTGAAGCAGAATCAGAATTGCCATCTCCTGTTGCTCTTATGGGAAAAGTTCTTATAAAGGTACCATGCCCTCTCATCAGCACTTCTCTGTGTTGAAGCTCAACATTCATGTTGCCTATGCTCTAGGGAAAATCTCTGGCATTTGAAAATCCATTGTTTCCTCTTGACGATGACCGCGATGAAGAAACAGAGGATGAAGATTCCTTTGAAGGTATGTCTGAGATGTTTCGTTTGCGGTACTGATTGAATCGAAAGCCTGACACCTCATGAATTAACGTGTTAGCATCTGGAACTTCATCCCCACCAGATATATCACCCGAATCTTCACCAGCTCGATTGCGAATGCCAAATCGACGAAAGCAAACCTATAATTCGGCAGCGTCCGTCTTGGAAATCCCATCGACCATCACTGAATCAATAAAGCGACGGTCATCACAGGAAGATTTGGCCATTGTTACTGGCGGTGTTGCCAATAAAAGGAAACTCTCTCCCAAGACACCTAGGAAACGGCCGTTAGCTAAAAGTCTGGCTGATATGATTATTTACTGCAAAGCTCGCCGATTTGTCGGTTTGCAAGCAGCTATGGGTAGGCATCCTGTGTATTGCTGGATCTTTTTTTGTGCTCACAAGTTATCATTTTCAAACATTTTCGTAGAGGCTTTTCGATATGATAATATGTGCTCCTTGTCTGAAGGCAAGGCGATGCCATTGGTCAAGACTCAAAGAGCAGAGTTTGTTGACTACAATCGCAAACACTTGTCACGAGTCTATCCTGCGCCAATACGAATCACTTCTTCAAATCCTGATCCCATGCCATTATGGTACTCTGGTTGTCAAATGGTTGCGTTGAATTATCAAACATTTGGTAAGCTGAGTTGAAACTAACTGTCAGATAACACTTTAATTTCGACTTTTTAACTCATTCCCTTCTTGCAGACAAGGGCTTACAGCTGAATCGCGCCATGTTTGCTGTCAATGGCCGATGTGGATATGTACTCAAACCTACATGGATGCACGCATCTGCCAAAACCAAACCCGATAGGACACCGATTCAATTGATTGTGCAAATAATATCAGGTCAACAATTGCCTCGTGCAAAAGATGCTATAACAACTACTCGTGAAGTGGTTGATCCATTAGTGGAAGTTGAAGTATGTGGATCTGATTCAGATTCTGTCAAGTACAAAACACGTGCCATCAGTAGTAATGGTGAGTTGTCGAATGCGATTCGTGTTGATGAATTGTATTTAATAATTTGCCTAATTCATGAATTTTCCTGCCTATGATTAGGTCTGAATCCAATATGGAAGGAAACCTTCAAATTCAATTTGCATGATCCGGATCTGGCCTTTCTTCGGTAAGTACAGTATCGTGTGGAGATGTATTCATGGCTTCTGCATCATATGTTCCTCCGTTTTTTTTGGTCTTTGCTTAAAGCCCAGCTCATCTGTCCGCAACTCTTTGATATGTAGATTCCACGTTTACAACTCTGATGCCAAACTCATCAGCGATACCATCGGAGCATACGCCGTCGCCATACAATCATTAGAACAAGGGTATCGCCATGTCTCTCTGTACAATCATAAAGGAGAGTTATTACGTTTTTCGACTCTTTTTGTAAGCATACGAATACGTCAAATAAGGTCTCCTATCAGCTCTGGAACTTTATCTCCAATCCCTGCGCAAGCAGTAGAAAGTAGTAGTGCTGCTCTCATAGTCAATGGTGACTCAGCATCCCTATCCACTACAATATCGGAAATATCATCAACATATAAATCACCGTCATCTGATTCCTCAATAACGCCTTTTGTCATCAATGGGGAGGTTGTGAATCGAGTTCCTATTGATGGGATTGGTGTTAAGGGTGGATCATTGGCTGAAGAAGTCCTTGCATCACAACAGCATCTAGCATCTCAAACGACCATGTAAATATTGTACGTTTTGCTATTTTGTATCTAGTGTTCTTATCACCCATCCCAATGTATTCACTTCCCTCTTAATGAGTGTCTCTGATTTTTCTCGCTATCGCGGTAATTGCGCACAAATCCTTTGTGTTTTGTGAGTTGTGTATTTACAGATCACATGAGAGTTATCTAGATCTATTTTTTACCAAAGTGCATCAGAGAACTCTCTAAGAATCTAAAAGACAACAAAAGGCAAGGTTTATCAGAGTAAAATTCGTGATTGAATTCTAGAATTCTAGTACACAACCACACCGCCGTCACTCACCGCTGAAGATCGCCTCCTTCTAAAACACCATCGATATCAGACTGCTCATACCCGGTCCGCAAATCCTTAATCATTTGGTATGGCTGTAAAACATATGATCTGATCTGAGATCCGAAATTGTTGTCTGGTAGTGCTGAATGGAGATCTGATTTGACTTGAGCCCTAATATGTGCGAGAAAAAGACAGAATCAATTGGCTGGATTCGATACAATGGTGAGGAAACTGTAATGTGACAACATACCTTGCTCTCATTTCACGTTCCATTAGTTTGGCTTTCAGCAACTTGAATGCGAGTGCTCGATTTTGGTGTTGCGAACGCCCGAATTGACACTACGAAATAGAGAGCTGATTTAGCAGCGATAACTCAAGTAAATGGATGCTCAGTCGTCTGTTCTCGACTGTTTTTTGCACACCAAAATCCATCTTGGCGAATCCCTACCGCAACAATAATCCCAGTAGGTATATGTGTCAGCCTAACCGCAGACTCTGTCTTATTGACATGCTGTCCTCCAGCTCCTTGCGCTCTCATGACTTCAATCTTGACATCTTTAACCGACACTTCTTCACCACCACTGGATTCATCAACTGAGGCATCCGGGTATACAAGCACAGACACGAACGACGTATGCCGTCTCCCATTTGCGTCTAGCGGGGATACACGGACTAGCCGATGTATTCCAGCTTCGTGTCTGAGCCAGCCATATGCATATGGACCTGATATTTGGAGAGTGGCTGCTTTTATGCCGTCGTGGTCTGTGGAAGATGAATCGAGGATTGTGGCTTCGAATCTGCCTGTTGATGCGGCCCAGCGTTCGTACATTCTGTTGAGATGTGGATGTGTGTGTTGGTGCAGTGGGAGTGAGGAGAAAATGAGAACATGGAATTACCGAATTAGCATGACGGCGAAGAGGCCAGCTTCAGCGCCACCAGCGCCGGATTTGAACTCTAGGAAGCAGTCGTTCTGATCTTCGGGATCTGACCTAAGGGTGACGTATAAGTACGGACTTGTTACAAGTTCATAAGGATTGAGGTTGACTCTTACATGAGGAGACGCACAGAGTACTTTTGTAACTTGTCCTTTAGCGATAAAATGTCTGAAGATACGTCTTGAATCAAGGCAGCATCACCTTCCTCACGAGCGAGTTCTACGACAATGTTGGAATCAGACGGACAGGCCAATTAGTTTGCAAACCATCCAATGAACACTCTACCTAGCATTCCCGACATGTCCTGAACCTGATCAGTGAATAGCTTGTATTCAGCCAAGTCCTGTCGTAGTTCAGCCAACTTTTTTTGGACTTGTATTGCTCTTGAGGCATCATTCTCCCATATCTGGCTATTCTAGAGTATGAATTGTTGAATCAGTCAAATGAATCATGAAATGGAGATATTAACTCGCCTACATCTAGTTCGACATCTAGCTTGTGAGCTTGATCTTGCTTTGATGCCCAGTCGACGTGGGAAGATACCATGTTTATTAAACGTAGTATTTCAGCATAGTCCTGTTCGGTGGCCGATAATAGTTTTGGCGAGTTGTCATTGGATGGTAGTTGGGTGGTATTTCTAGATTGCGACGATGCTTTAAAATGCCTACAATTTGAGCAGATAAAAGGGAGCGATCGCTTCAATGTTGGTAGCCTGGGAGGGATGCGAATCGGGTGTATGTAGGCAGAAATGGGTGCTAGCTGCCGTAATAGTCTCCTACTCATCTCAGATGCCAAAAATGCTATGATCAAGCGAAAAAAAAGTGGACAGTAGAGAAGAATGTGAAGCTGGTGGTTTCATCACGTAGATCCAAGCTGGAAATGAAGAACACATCTAGTTACTATGGATCTCGATACAATTCCATTCAATTTGCAATTCGACAAATTCTCGCAAATAAAAGTATGTGCTGACAACTGGTTCCTCTCTGGCGGTGGTGACTAGCCGCGAACGCGTCCCGACTTCCTTACGACTTGAATGAGAATTTTTTTAATAAGGAGTCTGTGTCATCTTCTACTGTCCCATCTTGCCAAAGAGTACACTTCAAAATCACAACAAACAAGCTTCGTTGAAACAGAGCAGAGACCCACGTTGGCGGAATCATCCACGACTCAAGCAAGTTTGAACTCGCTGCATGTGTGTCTGCCTCCTTTTCCATACTTGATCTGACGTCCTTGTCCTCTTGAATATCTAGTTTGTAAAAAACAAGACAGCAACTACCACGGGATTCACTCCATTCATTCAAAGGACGTCTCCTTCATTCCTACTGAAGCCAAGCACCGATAAACTGTTCAGCTCTCCCTTCCTTCTTGAATAACAAGCAACCATGGTAAAGTCAACCTATAACCTACAAGACATCCATGTCGAACGCATCCATCTACTTTATTGACCACATTTGCTGATATTCATACTCTTATTATTATTATTAAAGGGCATTCTAGAAAAAATCGCTGACATCGAGGCTGAAATAGCTCGCACTCAAAAGAACAAGGCAACAGAGTATCATCTGGGCCTGCTAAAGGCCAAATTGGCTAAATACAGAGTCATGCTGCTCGAGCCTACCAAATCGGGTCCAAAGGGTGAAGGCTTCGATGTCGTAAGTCCAGATCGGTCATTGTCGTTCTATTCAACCCCATTGCAATATGTATTTTCATATCAAACCTGCTTGTCTTTTAGGTGAGAAGTGGTGATGCTCGAGTGGTGAGTTTCTTCTCTTATTGTCTCCTTCTCCTTGTTTCTCAACGCAACCTTCACCATTCAATCTTAGGCTCTTATTGGGTTTCCCTCTGTTGGAAAGAGTACCCTTCTTTCAAAAGTCACGGGAACCAAGAGTGAGGCCGCTTCATACGAATTCACAACATTGACGTGTATACCAGGTAAACATTAGTCGTTCCCGATAAACAAGTGTCGGCGTGTTTCGTTCAGACCAACCCCACAATCTTACACTCTATTCAATCACCGTGATTAGGCAAGATACAACACGAAGGTGCTGAAATACAGCTTTTGGATTTGCCTGGAATTATAGAAGGCGCTTCTCAAGGAAAAGGTCGAGGTCGACAAGTCATTGCTGTTGTAAGTTTCATGATTCATTTCGAGCCACTATATGTGAAATCTACTGCCCATAACGCAGCTAATCAGTCTTATGCCCCTTCTCGATCGCTAAAAGGCTAAAACGGCAGACTTGATCTTGATGATGTTGGATGCTACAAAGGGAGTTCGTCAACGGGAGTTGTTAGAAAAGGAACTCGAAGCTGTCGGTATCCGTATCAATTGCGGCAAACCAAATATATATTTCAAGGCAAGTAAAGATAGATTCGTATACAGAATGAATAAAAGAATGTTTACGCCGACATATCATATCCAACAACTAGGTCAAGAAAGGAGGTGGAATATCCTTCAACGCAACCTGCAAAACTACCTACCTTAATGAACGCATGGTGTATCAGGTAAGATAAACTAAAGCCGGTTGTTTCATCGAATGATGATTTGATCTCAACGCTTCCTCGCCAGATTTTACACGATTACAAGATCCACAACGCCGAGGTTGGTCTGCACCTGCCGCCACTCAATGCATTTCGTGTTTGCGAAACCTCATTAACCCCTCTTTTTTCTCACACACTCGCAGATCTTGCTGCGAGAAGATGCCACCGTCGATCAATTCATTGACTGTGTACTTGGAAACCGACGATACATTCGATGTTTATACTGCTATAACAAGGCAAGCTGTTGTACCAACAGACACGGATAGTAAGGAAGCGTAACTGAACTTTTTGTAATCATCAGATTGATCAGATATCAATTGAAGAGGTGGATAGGCTTGCGCGACTGGTAGGCCTTCATTTCATCTCATTCTATATTTTTTTGCACACAAAATTGACTATCATTCATCCAACTGACGCTTAACAATCATCCTAGCCCAACACGGTAGTCGTGTCTTGTGAAAGTGACTTGAATATCAAGTATCTGATATCTCAAATATGGAAGCAGCTGGATTTGATGAGAGTTTATACCAAGAGGTGAGAGCAAAAAACATCATTGCCGAAATCTGCATCATGACACTGAATGTACCGACACTGTTCAACGCATTCATAGACGAGGAGAATTCCCAGACTTTTCAGATGGAATCATTGTCAAGAACAGTTGCACAGTCCAAGACATTTGTACACAGATTCATAGGAGTCTCGTGGATGAGTTTGAAGTGAGTTAAACCGTCATCTCATTTAATTATACATTTCGATCCTAAGAGCGTATTTTGTAGTTCGCACTGGTATGGGGAGTCTCCCCCAAGCATTCTCCTCAAAGAGTTGGGTTGTCGCATGTACTACAAGACGAAGACGTCATTCAAGTTGTCAAGAAACGTTAAAACAAAAAAGTCATCACTTTTGCATCAAACTGGTTTAGCTCATGTAAAAAAAGTATATTTTTAAATATAATGGGGTGCAAATCATGTCTACATGGTATAAACAGTGTGAAAAACGCAGCATATATAAGTTATAAGTGCTTTTATACAGCGGGAGAGAGTGTGTGCTTTACAAAGTAGACCGAGTTCAAAGTGCTTGTTGATCTGATAGTTGCAATGATGGTGACTGTTCCTCCTGGCCATTATGTAAATGATTGGATGATGATGTTCCGAATGCCTCGTCTAATGCCGCATCTAGTTCCATATCAACTTCTGATTCCCCTTCTCCAGCGTCTTCTGCTCCTTCCTCTTCTTCTTCTTCTTCATCATCTTCCTCGGCGTCCCATTCCATATTTCCATTCCACCTTGACACGCGCTGGCTCCATTCACCCTGGCCAAAGAGACGGTCATGCTCCGTTGGTATGTCTTCATCAGCCCATTCCTGTACCTCGATACCAACACCACTATTGCTATTGTTATTATTGAGTTGGTTGATTGTGCTGCCAGAGGTAGTGTCAACGGGCGAGACAGCAGCAGATGATGATGTAGCTATAGATGGTGCCTTCTTACCCCACTTGGCCATATATTCAGCTATAACGTCCTTCAAGGGTCGGAGAGGAGGATCTATGCCTTGCTGATATGGGGTTTGAGTGGGACGGGATTTTACATTTGATGCGTTGGGCTTTATACGTTTTGGCTTGACAAAGACGATTATAGACGGATCAGCTGGGAGTTTGGGAGGCTTTGGCTTGTATTTATTGATGGGTGGTGGCATTACGAGTCTGTTTCGGTTTGGGTAGTGGTGGTAATTGGTGGATGGTGAGTTTGTTCGTGATTGTGATTGATATCCGCCACGACGAGAGGAGCTTCCTGTAGATGTACCTTCGTATCTGCTGTAGCTGTTATTATATGGTCGTTGGGAGACAGGGGAGCGACTTCTGCCTTCCTGCATGGAGTAGTGTTGATCTCGTGATTGTGGTTGTTGGTTGAATGCTGGTGTAGGATATGGAGACTGGCGTCGTTCGTAGGCACGAGAATCCAGTTTTGGGGTTCTGTCTCTCCTGTTATTATATTCCGTTGGTGAGTAGTGTTGCTGCTGTTGATGGGAAAATCCATTCGTTTGAATGTGGTCAATTTCATCGAATCTTCTTCTTTGACCTGATATCTCTCTTGTACGTTGTCCTGTATAGCTCATTGAATTGCTGGCCATGCTCTATTTGTATGTTTGCCTTGCTGTGCATGTGTTTCTTGTTTGATTTGTGTTTTTGGTAAACCAAGAATGGACTTTGAAAAATTCAGGTTCGCACAAATGCAAAGTCGCAGCGCCAAAGCAGAGTCCAATCGTTCGACACGTGTTTCAACCATCAAATCGCGTATCTCGCTATGAAGGCTCATGTCTACTATCTACTCATCTACTATTATTATCGATTTAAATTTTTATCGCGTCTTGACAGGCTTCAAAATGTAATATTCAACATTCCCACTTATAAACCACTGGAATCGTCGCTCTCTTACATTCTACGCGTCACGGAGCAGCTTGTAAAACACATACGTTGAATCGGCGTCACGGTCTGTACCATATGGACTCAGAGCAAACTCTGGGATTTCACCAACAAGATTCCACTTCAGTCGTTGGTAAAACTTGATATTCTCTTCAATAGTGTCAAGCACTAGAAGCCGTCGGTTCTCTTTTCGAGCTAAATCTTCGACTGCCTCCATCAGCCGCGAACCAAGACCGTTTTTTCGTTTTGACGAGTGCACTAGTAGTTTCTGGACCTCGGCACGATGCGTACTGTTTGGGCGCGTAGCCAATGAGAGTTGGACTGACCCCACGACGTGACCTTTCTTGTTGGGTCATGTTAACATGTAGGATGTTTCAGCAGGGGAGCGGCTGGCCACACCTTGATCTGATAGAATAGCCAGTAGCTTCCTGTTCCCAGTCTGTACGTCCTGTTGGCCATGTACATGTAAGAAAGCACATCAAGACTCTGATCAAGTTGTGGCATGCATCATTTACCTCAAACACTCCCAACCAAAATGATTCAGCGACCTTCAGTTCCATAGGTATCACAAATCCAATCGATCCGCCATTCTCAACAGAGTCTCGTAGCAGGTCAATGAATTCAGGTAAATGTTTAGCAGCATCATCTGCCGAAAGCATTACAACTTGTTCCATAATGCCGATCCGATCTTCCCGAGCCTGTAAACTATAGATTTCATACGAAATCGACATTCGTGACATGAGAGTTCACGACCACCGTCTAGACGTTTTTTCAATTCTTTCTCACCTTGTCTTGCTTCCCAATCCAGAGGCCCTTGTCTCGATAACAGTGTTTGGATCACTACTTGTGTCGCGTCAAATGTTAGTTAAAGTGTTTATAGCATGAATGCACGCTTTTGTTCGCTCACAATCCCTTTGTGCGAGTAGTGGACTTCTGACCGCAGCAAGTATGGGTGACAAGTTTTTCCTCAACCAAACAAAGACCAACAGCTACTAACTAAAAAGCCATAATAATTTAGGGGATTCGAATAAGACCGACCTGTATCCTCAAAACTGGCAAAACTCCTAGTCTTCGGTGGACGAGCAGTGGCCATAAACAGTGCTAGCAACAGTCTAGTGGAAATAGTGGCAGGTACAACATCCAGTCCGGGAGGTAAAGCTGGCATAGCAACCTCCAAACTGCCATCGCCCATTGGCATGTCAACTGCACCTGCTCTCTCTATAGCCCCTTCTCCAAGCGCAATGGCATCACCAACCCTCCCTCCATCAGCAGCACCAAGCATAAAGCCATCAACAGCCCCCATTTCAGCTGCACCAGCATCTCCAACTCCAATTCAGCCTTCTCCCATAGTCGCATCGCCTCTAGCTGCCGTAATAGCCCCATCGCCTCTCACCTCAGTCAGGATCGCCTCCCCTATAATAGCTTCAGCTGCAGCACAATCTCCCTTACTATTTTCCGCCGATCCTACAATAGACGCAAGCCCAACCATCACAGAATCCGCCGCTGCCAGTATCCTGGCCTCACCGTCATCGCTAAACAATGGTGCAATAACTAGCACGACAAACTCGTCTGGGAATTCAGGGCTCTCTAGTGGCGCTATAGCAGGTATAGCAATCGGGGGCGGAGCCGCACTTATAGCGATTATCGTGGTGGCACTTGTAGCATTCTGGGGAAGGAAGAAACCACCGCCGTCAAAAGAACGGGATTCGTTTACGCCAATACCGTTTCAACCCAGACCACAGTCTATGGTTAGTAGTAGTTTTAGTGATGCTGGAGCAGGTGCTATGGCTGGTGGTGCCGGTCGCGGCCGTCCTATGGGTGGTAGTGGTGCTAGTGGTAGTGGTGGTAGACGTCACGGAACGGCTCCTAGATATGCACCTGTACCAACAAACTATCCTTCTCCTGGTGATGATTATGTCTGGACCGGACGCGGATATGTATATAGCCCTCAGAATAGACCGGTCGCTGCCCCTGCTCAACCAGATGATCAGTCGTTTGTGTATTGGGTATGTGTTGGTCGTTTTGTTCAAGTTCCAGCAAAATCATCTCATATTTCATATTCAATTAGGACCCCAAAACCAACAGATACTTTGATCCAACAACAGGTCAACAAATTAGATTCTCGACAAGCGAATCGCCGCTTCCACCCATCCCTAGATAAGATCTCAACGGACAACACAATTACTAGTTTGAAGAACCGCCTCTGTGTATTTATAGTAGGAAGAGGGCTGGTTTTTACCTTTTCCTTTACAAAACGTTGTTTAATATAGTTGTTTTTCTGGATTTTCTAAAACGAATCATCATTTTCCACCAAACTTGAAGGCTGCCAATTTTGATGATGCGGGTGCTTTGCTCTTCTCTACCGGTGCAACTTGTTCCTCTTCTCCAGTTTCGTCCGTCTGCATATGATCTTCATCTGTTACGTCAAGATCTTTGGTTACATGATCATCGTCCTCCTCTAACATTTTATCGTCCTCCTCTAACATTTTCTGAACAACAGAAGATAGGTGTCAGACGCGTTGACTATTCGTAGCTCGGAATCAAGAAATGGGATCTCGTACCAAGGCATCATCGAGTGAGGTATCATCGTCTTGAGGAATAGCCTTTGGAGCAGGCTGCATCCAGAACGATAAAGTCTGTCAGGTTTACAAGTTTTTCCGCGGTGGAATCGAAAATCCATACCTCTTTTGGTTTGGCTCCTTCAGGTTGTAAGAATGATGTTATAGAAGTATTCTTCGTTGGGACAGCATTCGACTTTGCAACCTTCCGTCTCTTCTCATTGGAGTCCTACAAGCCACGATGAGGTTTGATTTGAATATTTTGAGAGTAGGATAAACACTCTTACCTCATCTCCATCATGTTCCTTGTTGGCTGGTGCGGCACCAAATAATTTTGTCTGATTGACTGCAGCAGGCTTTCGTTTCTTGTTTGCACCATGAGTAGCCTCGTCCTTCTCCGCCTTGGATTTCGGAGCTAAGTATACAGCGAATGAAAAGGCTACATAACTCGTTACAAACAATCTGGATTGAAATACCTGCGATTTGATTGATGGAGGCAAACAAGGCATTTGCAGAGACAGGAACTGGCTTTGTAGGAGCCGAGGTACCAGCTGCCAATGCGAATGGATTGCGAGGCTTTGGTTTTTCTATTGGCTTTTCAGGCTCAAAGGAAGCTTCTCGACTACTTCTTGAATCTCCCTTGTCTGGGGATATAACAAAAGTAAATACTCAGAACATGACATGCTCTCCTTCAAAAAACAGCACCCATCACAAACATAACCACAACAGACCTGATGCATTGTCTCGAGTCTCATAGTCGACACCAGGTTTCCTGACAGCTCGTTCGTCTCTAAGTCCTACCATGCCTCCGAGCCGTGGCCCATTTGAATCAGTTCTCTTTACTGGTGGCTTCCAGTCATCCTGTCTGGATAGCGATTTTGCAAAATCTGATTCAGTCTGAATAATTAGACTTTGGTATTGAAGTGATCGTGCTCGTCGCTCAGACATGTCTTCTTCATCCTCCTTTTGCTTAATCATTTTGGCCTACGATAAACAATGTGAGCACATGTTTCAGCTAAGACTTCATTGCGCTCACCTCCTTGATCAAGTTCATACGCTCTGCTAATGCGGGCATATGATGATGGACTGCCAATTTGATAGCACCATCAACAGATCTGGGTAGCTGAAGCATTGTGCACAAATCAAGTGCTCGTGTCATACGTTCACCAGCACAGGAGAGCTAGTTGTTTCAAGCATTTCCTTGAGAATTTTCCGACTCGCACTGAACCCAAAACTTCCCTCTTACTTGAATGAGTTGCAGTAGAGTCTTATCCATATCAACTTTGCGTTTATGTAAATCATTTTCACGCATAGGCAATTCTTCTTTACGTTCAGCGTCATTCTTGTAATGTTTTGCAAAGAGTGAGGCACGCAAATATCTAACAATCAAGATCATGTCAATGTAACGTTTTCAAATCGAGAAAGCTGTTCAGAAGAAGTACTGACTTCTCTTCTAAAGGACCACTAGGTCCATCAAGTTGAAACAGAGGCATTTGTAATGGAATCTCATGCAGTAAAGGTTTTGGGAAATGTGGATGTTTTTCTGCACCCTTGATAATGGCACACAGAAAATCTGTATCTGTGACGCCAATGGCCCAGTAAGTTTCCTGATTTCCCACTCGAGTAGCTCGAGTATCCAAATAGGGCATCCATTTCAAAGTATCGGAAATGTCTAGCATTCGTAAGATACCGACAGAATCATATGTGGCAGGTAACTATTTGTATGAAGATATTAGACTGCTGTCCGCTCAGCATGGACGCACACGGTGACTCACTCCAGACTCGGAAAATCCAATCCATTCGAGCACTGCACCAGGCGACAAGAACAGCAACTTTTCATCAACAGATCTGCCTAGTGAAAAATCATACAACTCGTATGCGAGTCTCTGATCCTCTGCAAGGAAGGTATTCAGCAGCTGCAAAAGACATTGAATTTGGGTGAACAACGATTTCTACCTCCAAAAGCAGGACCTGCATGGTAAACTACAAATAGCCAATCACCAAATCCTGCCATCGCGACAACTGGGCCTTTCATACACTCTATTCCGGTCTGGACACCAGAATGTGAAAAGAACCGAAGATATCGAGAATCAGTAGACACGGCAGCTCCATGGTCTGTCAGTGCAATTGCTAACAAGGCATAGAAGACAAGGGTGAATGAGCAACTTGACAGTTGCTCTTTTTTGCAACAATGTACCTGTGATGTTTTCCAGTCCAGTAGCTGCAAAATGCCAATCTGGATTCATTCCCCATGAATCAAAGCTGCGATATTCGACCCTAGAGGGAATATTACTGGTTCCTTCTACTGCAAATAGGGCACCTCGATCACCCAAACAAGCCATGGCAAAATTGGAATAATCTTGAAAGTTGAAGGAACGTTGACCCTTGTCATGGAATTCAACATAAATCGTCGAGTGAACCGTTTGCTCGACTGTATAAACAATTCCACGAGTATTGAAAGCTGGGGAGGAAGGTACATTAATGAAATTGTCCGTTTGATCGGCAACAGCGGTGACCTCTTGCCTAAATAACGACGTCCATTCTTTGCTGGTGAAGCACCCGGCTGGAAAGGTTGTTGAGGCTCTATTGTTGGTGCAATTGGGTACACTAAGGAGAAAACCTTATTAGGTTCAGTGCTCTACAAACTTTTCAAGACATGTGGGACTTGCTTGGAGGCAATATTGGGAATCGACTTAAGCCCATTTCTTCCTTTAATTTTTGTTCTTGCTTGGCATGATATTTGAGCATGCCCTTAGTGGAGCTCAAATCATTAGCATACCCTGCACCATCATCATCGACGACGAATTTGTCATCGCCTTCGTCTGAACCTAGATCAATAGCGCCAATTTCATCATATGTATCCGGAATTGCTGCAACTTTCTTCCTTGGCTTCTCCGCAACTAGATTGTGATGTATGATTCGTGAGACTTTCTGCATCAATTCAGACCATTCGATGTCTTACCAGTCTTGGCTTTAGTTGTTGATTTCTCAGCCGTCGTGGCAGCATCTTTACTAGGTGCAGCTTTTGGTAGACTAGTGTGTGTTGGTCGTGTGGGATGTGGGTGTTTGGATATAATGGGTTCTTCCCAGACGAGCAGTTCACCAGATGAATCAGTCTAAATGGGTCGTGTTAATGCCATGAAACCGTTTGTACATGTTGGATACACGTACCAGAGCCACTGAATTGAGCGTCGGGTGCCACGAGATTCCTGTAACTCGGTTGGTATGCGTTTCTCTACAAAGAATGTCCCGCTTTAGTTACGAAGAACAACAATCTTCCTAAAATAACCTACGATAGGATGGATACTCGAGTGTCCGCATTCCAAATAACAAGCTTATTGTCGAGCGACACGGAAAGAATGTATAGTCCATTCGGTGACCATGCTAACGATGTTACCTCCTAAACACAGTATCTCGTTAGCTACGAACTTTTCCATAATCAATACAATCCGTCAAAGATGAGAAACCTTTGAATGACCATTCTGTAGTGTAAACAATGTCTCCCATGTATCTCGTTCAATCAAGACAATGTCTCCATCTCTGCCAGGCACAGCGAAAATGCTCCCAGTTGGATGCCAAGCAGGCGTACAGTGTCGACCAGAACTGGTAGAAATGAGACTGGTCAGCAATTGCGTCAACGCAAATAAAACAGTACGGCATCTCATTCTTACATCGTATCACCAGGACCAGCAATATCTGCAAAGGACTTGAGACAAGTGGGCTCTTCAAGGCGAGTATCCCAAACATTCACTGCTCCATCTCTTGCAACTGACACCTAAATCCAATTGTGAGCGAGAACCAATACTTGTAATCAACTTGAAGGAGTTCGAACCAGATAATCCCCTTTGGGATGAAATGCGAGTGATCGCACTGGACTAGTATGTCCCTCCAAAGCCGTTGCATCAAGAGTGTCTTGCATATTGACCAATTTGATCGAAGTCTCACTAGAAAAGACAGTTTTCAATAAAACCCAATCTCATCACAACAACCAGGACACAAATGACATACTCTGATGCGACAGCACACTTCTTTCCATCCTTTGATAGAGCAACAAACCGTATAGCTTCATGACATTGTGTAATCAAGCTCAAGTGCTCTCCACTACTTAGCGAGAATGAACATGATGTCTTGTCTTCAGATCCAGTAGCTATGACATCTCCCTAGTATGAATTTTGTCTAGATCTCGTTGATCACGAACGGGATCAAACGCGAACTGCCAGGTGGAAATACCTGCACTGAGATTGTAGTGATGGGACGAGTGTGTCGAGATATGAAGACAGGGTCCTTGTCAAGAGGCTGTCCATTGTTTGGAGCAATAGATAGTATTTGAATGACACCATCGGACCCTCCTGTAACAATATGACTAGGCAAAAAGTTATAAGTTTAGCGATGCGCCGTGCCAGACCAAAACTTGAGTTTGATGCAATTACTCTGCGGTATACGACACCACTGTATGGCCTGCAGTATGTGCATATTGCTTACGAGCCTCTCGAAATCCAACCATGACCAAAAATGGTTGTTTTACTCGAGTAAAGATTTAGTTGATGAGGTTGTTTTAATTGTGGTCAGAGAACATGAGTTAAAAAGAGAGATGCTGAAAGCATATTGTACAGTTTTGCGTTTAATATTTAATAAGGACGTTCGCGTCGTTCGCTGCTCGCAAGCTTGAGTTTCTGAGATGTTTACAACGTGATTACGTGCACCACCAACCTCGCCATAGACCCGACCTCTGTATTTGCAGCTTGGGTAAGATTTACAGCACGTGAAAGCCTCTTACACTGTACTTGGTCCAGTTAGACTTGATTATATCCGAAACATGCTCCCGAAATTTGCGAGTGATGGTCAGTTGGGCGAACAAAGCGAAGAAATGCACCAAATGAAACCGTCAACCAAGCAGCTTACAGCCTTATCTAGTTATAGATTCATATGTATCACAAGTCAAACTAATCATTGATCGACTGAATGCATCGCTTTGGCACTTGTTCGTATGTAGTATGTAGATCTACTGATCTACTGCTTTATATGGTAGCCGGTTTGAAATTTGAAAACATTCTGATGACTCAAACAACCACAACGTATAGGATCAAATTAGCAACACACGGCGTCCTCTACCTGAAGGAGCCAGCCATGCCACCGGACTACTGCTTGACAACTTTAAAATGAACTTTGGAGCTGCTTTGCCAAGTGTCACTCCAACGTAGATTGAAGTTGGGGCATCCCTCCAAGCATGTCTGAGCTGGTCCAGTGTTGATTTCTTCCACTGGCGTTTGTAGTGAGAAGGCCATCCCGTTGTGAGTGCAAGGTTTGAAGCTGTGTGGAGACATGGAGTTGTATGTTGGCAAGGAGACTTTTCCTACAAAGAGCAAGTCCACATCCAACGATTTCCGCAACTTCAAAATGAGCGTCTGATGATGAATTCCGGTTTGTATTTGGTAATTTTTTTACAGCGATATAAGCCATTTTTTATATAATAACGTGCGAGGATATGCCTTGATGCAAAAAAATGTGAGCTTTATACATCCATACGCAACGTGTTGTCAATTTTTCCTGCTATATATAACCCATCGTCATCTCTCCATATTCCCAAAGCCCATTTCTCGCTTTTGATATAGACTTGCAGCATAGTCTCTTTGCTTATATCGATTGACATCGGTCGTCCACCCACCACTTTGACTGATGATGTTTCGATCCAACTGGTATGGCGATGGGCTTTGATCTAGCCCAATTATCAATCCTGCCTAATGGAGGGCTTTGTAGTCCAATGGGTCGAGTTGTGCTTGCTTCCACCACTGCTGCTGTTTGTTGTTGCTGTTGTTTTGGTGCGGTGACACGCACCAAAGTGGTATTGACAGTAGCACTGATACTAGTTGATCGTCTCTTGACACTCTCGTTGATGAAGACAGTTGTTGGCATATAGATTTGAGTGAGTGCCTTGGCTTGATCTGGATGGTTGGCTTCCAACCATTTCCTCAAGGTCAAGTTCCAGGCGTATAGGTCTTGTGGAGACACCACCAATCGATAGTCGAGTGCTCTGTTATGAAAACAGAATAATCAGACATGCGTTGTCTTGACTCAGACTTGCAGAACAAGTTCAACACACATTAAACATTCTCGTTCCATCTTGTTGATTTCACTTATAGCAAACCCACTAGCCTGAGACCATGCCTTGACGGTATACCTATCATCATCTGCATATTTATTTGCCAACATGAGGGCGGTCAAGAAGACTGTTGACTCTGTTCCCGGAGGCAGTTTGATATCGGTATGAGATTTAGGTTGTGCCATCCTTCGAATCCGTTTTATATACTCGAGAGCATGTAATATAACGGTTGTGCTTGGATTTATGTTGAAGTGAATCCTTTTGCATAGTCGATGGAAGGATGAGAATCTATGAAAATGGGTCGAGCGTGTGAGAGGAAGTGGTTGGACTCTCCTCCTTGCAATGTGTTTCAATCCATGAAAAGCATCGAATTCATGATGCCAGACACTTGGATCACAAAGACAAACGAGAACGGTTCCAATCCTTCACTGAAAACTGCGATGTAGCAACCCCACAATCTCGATTCACATGTTTTGACTTCGCGATGATCTCCACCATCCAACTTACACATCGAATGCATTGAGACCATACTGGGGGAATGCATTCTCATCCTGAGCAGTGACCTTCGTACAGTCGATGGCGTGCCACTGGAGCATGACGCTATAAATCCCAAAATCCAAAACAGGAGATGACATGTTCAAGTGACAGTTCCCAAGCGACAGAAAGCGGTTGGACTACTAGCCTATTAAAATATACGTTTGGATGAGATGATGTTCTGATATAGACGATTCGAGATTGATGTTCAGTTTCGTGTCAAACAACAGTCCAAGAAAAAACCCAAACATTGTTCGGAAGTTGAGGTGAAATGGAGACGGTTCCAACTATGAAATAGATGAGCGTACCAGTAGTTTGCAATAGAGATTGGTCGTTATACAGCTATATCATTAGAAAAAAGTTTGGGTTTTTACTAAGTGACGCATGGGGGTTTATAGCAACAAAAAAATCGTTCGAGACTGAAGAGATTGGGGCTTTGTTTTTTTTGAGCTGAACTAGAATGTTTTGCACGAGGTCCAACCATGCGTGAGACTAAGGGAAAGAAGGAAACAGAGTCTTATTACATTTTATTCTTGTCCTGGACGTCGGTTGTTGAAAACGTACAATTGTCGGTATCATCAAATGGAATACGAAACATCCACCCTAGCCTCACACCTCTATCCTGAACCGTGCGCATTGTACATGATTTCCCTCTTATTCCAAATCTATTCGTTCTATATTTTCACCTTGAATCGTGGGAGGTTTTGATGGTGTATTCCCATATGTTTCGGAGCGTGGCAAAATGCGGTTTCCTCTAGTCCTGCGTTACAACGACGTCCAGCAGGCAGAGTACTTTGACAAAATGGACCTTTCAGGATGTGAAGTGGCCCGGATGGAGGCTGCTGAAGAGTGCCTGTCGAAATGAGAGCCCTTTGCGGCGATTCTTTGTTTGATGCTTTTCCATCCGTCACAAGCTTCGGGAACGAAGCAAGCAGCGCTTTCGTCTCGTTTATGTGTCGTCTTGTACCTCACTCTTCTTCAAAACATTGCTTGTCAACTAGCTACTAAATACAGAACTAGCAAGAATGGTATTTTACAACGGCAAATTATACAGTAGTTTTCTCAAACTATTCTTAGCGCAAAAAGAGACGGATGGCAGCAGACGTGATGGTTCCCACAACTCCTCTGGCATAGTTTTGGTATAAACCAAACTTTGCCCAGCTCGAATTGACCCAGATGTCATGATGACGCTGAATCACATATTCACCACCCTCACTGGGAACCAATTCAAGCTCTGTGACGGCCTCTATTGGAATGACTCGGCCAGCAACAGTGTACGACTAATTGAAAGTTTTGAGATATGTTACTTGGGTTTTCACGTGGCAATATCCGCGACAACAGAGTATGAAATGGAAAAAGGAAATACACGAATTCATACCTGGACATTGTTGAATGAGAATCCAACACGAGGCGCTTCCAATTTCTTTGGTTCTTCAGCAGATACTTCGACCTTTGAGAAGATAGATGACAAGCTGCGGAATTGGGCAGTGATGTCTTCGTCTTTTACAATGACCAGTGGATCTTCGAATACAGCGGTCTTTGAATACTTTGCCTTGAGAATTTCTTTGATAGTTGGCGTATCTGGTAAAAGAACAAGAAGGTCAGATACCAAATCTTGTAACTTTGAGGGTCAGAAAACATTGAGCTAGTACCTTTGGCAGAGTAGAGACTAGTAGCCGCCTTCAAGAGGTCGTTCATCTTGGCTTCTTCGATCTTGGCCATAGTAGCAATGATTCAGTTTATGAATTTGTGCTGTGTGTGTTGGGAGAAACTTTCAAAAATCAAAATGGTTTGGCGATCGACAACCAAGACACGCCAAACGACAACCATAACGTGGCTTTACAACTAATTTGTATTGATCTTGATGATATAAAACTATACTTTTCACTAGGTGCCATATTTGTTACAACTCTTTACACATTCATCGCCTATAAATGAATCTGAATCTTTATAGCCTCGCCCGATTTGGCCAGCTCAAACGCCTCCAATGCCTCTGCAAACTCGAATCGATGCGTTATGAGCGGCTTCACATCGATCTGCTTGGAAGCAACCAAAGCAAGTGCTCTTGGATAGTCATGGCAATATCTAAACGATCCAACAATATTGATCTCCCTAACCACCACATCAACTATAGGAAACTTGGCAACCGATATCCCATGTCCCACAATACATACAGTCCCACCAGGCCTGGCTGCCATACATGCAATCGTAAGGGCCGATTCAGCACCAGAGCATTCAATAGCTCGATCCACACTTCCCAGACCTTGGATTTCATTTATGGTTTGATCGAGCGTCTTTTCCGATACGTTGAGCGTTGAGGCACCTACTACCAGTTCAGAAGCTTTTTCGATTTTGAGGTCGTCAACGTCAGTCATAATGATGCGGGTTGCTCCACATGCGCGAGCGACGAGTGCCATCAATAACCCTATTGGCCCACATCCGGTAATCAATACGGTATCTCCTGATCTCGTGCCAGCCCTGGTATTGGCGTGTACTGCGACACTTAGTGGCTCGAGCATCGCCGCTTCTTCAAAGGAGACAGTATCAGGCACCTTATAGCAAAAGTCTTTCGAGAAAGGTGGACGGTATGTAAGTTTGTACAAGTACAGATTTGACAACCTCGTAAAATCTTACCTGCGTCCTGTGTATAATACGTCCTTAGGTTCCCATCATATGGCGGCGTAGCACAAAACACGATATTTTGACACAGATTGTACGATCCAATACCGCATTCTCTGCATCTTCGACATGGGATACCAGGCTCGATAGCAACACGATCACCAACTTTCAGATGTTTGACTTTTGCGCCGATCTCTTCAATGACACCAGAGCCTTCGTGACCCATGATCATATCTGATTCCACGACAAAGTTTCCAATGCGTCCGTGTGTAAGATACTAGTGAGTGACAGATTAGAATCAGGGCAAGTGTGTTTAAGGTGTCACCAGCAGCAAGTTAGGTACAAGATGCGAGGGATCATTTGAGGCGTGATAACATAAATGAATTCTCCAGCTCTCTTCACTTCATAAGTGACGAATCCGACAAAAGCCTTCCACGAAACCAAATGGTGGCAACGAAGCTCGAGATAGCTTACATGTACATCACTTCCACAAATCCCCACTGTTTTCATGGCCACAACTACATCGTGATCTCCACAGTCCGTTATTGGAACAGTTTCCTATCAATGAAACTATGATTTGAGTTTGTTGTCGAGGCCGCAGATTGAAAATACAGCAAATAAGACACTCACAAAGGTAAGATGATTCACGCCCTTCAGGACCAAAGCTTTATTTTCCTTCCTCTCCTTGGTCATGACTGCCTAGAACTGTCGGGCCTACAAAAGCGAGCTGGATGGTGGCAGAACTTAAAATACGAAAAAGTTGAAACTCAGAGAACTCAGACTTACAGCAACAATGGCATTCGAACTAGAAGGATTTGAGGGAAAAGTCGCTATCATCACTGGCGTTAACAAGGTAAAGCGTCTTCAACTGTCTCTGCTTCAGAGCTTGAACCAAATTTTTGCCAAGTGTGATTACGACAGCTAATTTCGTTCGCACTGTGATCTAATCGTATAGCGAGGAATTGGATATGCAGTGGCCGACTACCTCTGCAAGAAGGGCTTGAAAGTCGTTGTCTCCGACATGCTCGAATCCTCATCGGAATGTGCTACGGAACTCAACACCTTGTATGGATCCAACACGACAGCGTTCGTCCAATGTGATGTTACAAAGACCTCTGATCTGAAAGCTTTAATCAAGTTTGCTGTGGATACGTTCGGAGCTGTTGATGTAAGAAAAACACCAACGTCATCGTTAGGTCACAGTGTTGCAGCCGTTTTGACGGTTGTTTGTGTATAGATTCTTGTGAACAATGCTGGTGTAGAAGGCTTATCAGACTGCTTTGACGATGAAGATGGGATCTGGAAGAAGACTGTTGCAATTAATCTTACAGCTGTGATTGAGGGAAGCGTACTCGCTGTTCGACACGCTAGAGAGACCAAGAGACCTCTGAATATCGTGAATGTGGCCAGTGCTGCTGGACTGTGGGGCATGCCTTACGATCCCATATGTACGTCCAGTACTTAACCTCTACTAATTGCTCTATGTTGACAAACCACATCATCGTTAGACGGAGCAACAAAATTTGGTGTAGTTGGATTTACGAGATCGCTCATTGGACTTGCTCCTGAGGGAATCATTTGCAACGTCGTGTGTCCGTGGAATGTGCAGACTCCAATGTTAGAGAAGCTAGTAGAGACGAATGCAGCATACAAGATGGGTGTCGATGCGATGGGTGTTGCTCCTATGAGCAACGTCATCCAAGCGTTCGCTCGTGCGATAGGAGAGCCAAACAAGACTGGAGCTGCGTTCTTTTGTCATCCAGAAGGTGAAAAGGAGCAACTATACTAGCTAACGTGCCTCCACCACGTGTTAACTCAGTGATTTGCCTCTCTCTTAGGCGTCGATGAAATTCAACCATACGAATCCCAATTTTTGATCAATGTGCGCACCAAGATGGTTGCCGCCATGACAGCTGCTGCAGAACAACAAGCAGAGAACTAAAAAACACATAGACACGTTTTCTTTGAAAGCATTCTCTATATTTTGATCTCATTATTTGCAACTATTGATTTGCTACACTAAAATTATAAGAAACTGCAGCATGGGTTTGCTTTTCAAGCTCGTAAAAGTGGGGTGGGTGTTTGTATAGGAGTGTTTATAGCAGGCGCGGCGGCAAGTATTGATAGTGTTGGCAAACCAGCATCATGCGGAATCCCACCTCTAGTCATCATCTGATAGAATGACGCAGCCCTCCAACTTCCAGGCAAATGTCTGCCTCTAAACAGACTGCGAACCCACGAGCTCTCAACCCGATTCCATGCCCCCTCATTGCGTGCTTCGTTTACTATAGCATTACATACAGTCACTCTCATAGTATCGAAATCCGTTGCCAAACGAGCCAATGATGTTTCATCCATTTGATCTGTTCCTCGTATAAGACATTTACCAACCAGTTTGGCCAGCAGTCCTGCATCTGTTAAGGCAAGTCCTGCTCCTAGAGATCCTTGAGCGTTTGTCGCCATACCGTGAGCAGCATCACCAATCAAGATAATACGGCCTGGATGGAATTTCGGTGCTGTATACGATGGCGGAGGAGTTCCACCTACATCAAATACGTCTTGGACATATGTCATTTCTGGATCTGTTAAGGCCATTATAGTATATGCTGATTCAGGCAGTCCTAATGAAGAAGCTAGATGTAGAGCCATATCACGGACTTGCAGCCCATTCAAGAATTCCTCGAATGGTGTTCCTTGTTCGGGTGGGACTTGTTGCTGCTGTTGCTGGAAGGCTGGCAATTCACTCTTCTCATCAGATGGTTTTATTTCGAATTGCTGTTGCTGTTGCTGCTGTTGTTGTTGGTAGTATGTAGGGTCCTGTGCTCGTTGACTACGTAAATGTTGGGTCCAATCTTCAGCTATACGTCCAACCTCATCCTGCGCAAGGACAAGATTCCAGCCAAACTTTCCCTGTCCCATAGTTGTTACTCCGAATGTGGCCTTTGGTCCAACATACGTGGTACAGCTACTATCAGGGAAGACATGATCAATATCGGGAGTGAGTGGTACTATAGGTTGTCCAGTTGATAGAGTAGTTGGGACAGGGTGTTCAAGAGTCTTGAATACGTTTGTTACACCAGATATTACGGCCGAGTTTGCGTATTCGGGAGGATAGTGACGATTGAGGAGGAGATCTCGAACGGTAGAGTCTAGACCATCTGCACCTATGAGCATACACGCCTGTTCTACTTGGCCAGTGTCGAAGCGAGCAGTGATTAGACCGTTCCCAGCTGATATTAGGAACGAGTCTAGGCCAGCGCCCATTTGTAGTTCAGGGATGGAGGCTAGAAATCCTTCTCGTTCAAACCAATCTCCAGCAGACAAGTTAGGTAGAGTGCATTCTCCAGTAGATGACTATTTGTGAGAGGATAGTGTTGGTAGTGGTCGTGTAAAATGCTATGTAGTAGATTGGCAAAAAAAAGCGCGTAGACTTTTAAGGGCACACGCCAAGCTTGACGTTTCAACTTTAAGTGGCATTACTTACAGCGAGATATTGCTCGTCAGCACCCGACAAAGCAATCAGCAGCAATCGTACTAGATCAGAATGCCTTACAGCCATCATGGCCGGTATATTTGGATCACCCATCTTGAATACCTCTTCAGGAGTATTCTGCGTGGATTCAGGAGCAGGTGGCCAGTTGACATATACATCTCCAGTCTCCAAATCCATAGATTTGAGGCTGGTGATAGGGTGAGCAATGCGTTGCAGTCCATGACCTAGACCCAATTCCATTAATAGTTGTATCGACCATCTCCAGAGAATGTATACGGGACCCTGTTCATAGTATGTGGTCTTTTTATCGTATATGACGGGATCCAATGCTAGACCAGTTACTTGGCATACACGCCGTAACGCGAGCAAGAATGTCAGTCCTGAGACACTGGCTCCTACAATTACTATTCGTCTGGGCAATTCCTTAAAGTCGCCTAGTGATTGAGATGAATGACTACCTGTAACTGCGATGGGCACATGCTCCAATGTCTCTGCACTCATTTCTTGGTATGTCCTTAAAGTATGAAGTTTGTGAAGATCGGTCTTTGAATTTGACACCAAATGGCGGTGCACAGGATCGCAAAAAGGATAAAGATGGTCTACAAAGAATTGAATTATTTGAATTCTTTGACTATGTTTACTGCATAATATTCATTCCTTTTTGATCTTCGCTCCACGCTCAAACTTTAGTAAATTCCCCAGCAACGACGCGAGAACAATGCAGATCAGAGCAGATACAGCTCGAAAAGCATTGATCTATGAAAATCGAAAATCACGTAATTTGACGTCTATTACTACCTCTGACACTTGTATCTTGTAAGCATGAGGTGACATATCCGAGCTGATTGACGCATGTACTTTGTCTGGACACTTTTCTTTGCTTGCTACCGCACACAGTTTTCAAAAAGGAAGCTGCCAGCTACACCGCATCGTCGCTATCTCGGCCAGGATCTAAAGTAGGGAGCATCGTCCAAAGTTAGAAGCCTCTGCTGTTGTTGTTGTTGTTGTTGTTGTTGTCGTATTTGTAGCCTTTGAACTTTGAGCTTTCAGTACAATCCTGACCATGAAACCATTGCTTAGATAACTCTGGTCTTGCCCAAATGAAGGTTTTAGTTGTAGGGGCTGGTGCAGTGGGGCTCGTCTATGCGCATCATCTTGCCAAAGGAGGTGACCTACTGATGACGCAGTTTTTCGAAATCCGTCAAGCTCAACCTTAGTTCCCTATAGGGTGTGAGGTGCATGTGTTAGCTCGACCTCGACAACTAGCTGGACTGCAATCACATCCCGTTCAACTTGTGGAAATGGGTTGGGTTTCAGTAGCAAAGACTCCAGCAATCCTAAACCTCGGTGGCAATGCTCATGATAGTGTCTCGACAGTGCCTACAGACATTGATCTAGTAGTGCTAACAGTCTCATCATCTGCACTGATCGAAGGAACATGGCTGAAAGAGCTGGGAAGTCGTCTGCCAAACGCATATATAGCTGCCTTCCAACCTAGCGCAGAGGATTTGGAGATAATATTATCAAGATCTGGGTATGGTCGTGATAAGGCTCTTGAAGGTGGCATGGTTTTGTCCTCATATCAGCACCCGCTGCCCGATGCACCATTTGATCCAGCCAAGAAATCGAAATTCTTGAGCGACATGACAAATCCGCCCATAGTATACATGATCTTTGCACCTCAACCAGTCAGTTCGTGCTCACCAAAATCAGCTGCTATGGCTAAACAACTGGTAGATGCTTTTGTTAAAGGGGGATTACCTTCTAAACTGGTAGATTCAGTAACAGAGACTAAGGCCATGTCTGTCGTAAGTGTTTGGAGGAGCACTCTGATCATGGTATTGTGGCGTTTAGATTTCTCAATCCTTTTAGGGATTTACGGCCATTTTACTTGGACTCGAGCTATCGGGCTGGAGCTGGAAGAAGTGTCGAAATGATAAAGTCATGGTAGGCGATATATGTAAGGCCAACGAAGAGGCTCTAAAGCTAGCTGCCAAAACGACGGGAAAGAAGCCGGCCTTCGGGACAGGCCTCTTGACTTCTCCCTGGTTTATGTGGTCTTTCATGAACATTGCTCCCAAATTAGCTCCATTCCCATTGGAGGTAAATGTGTACAGTACTTGGATCTACATTGAAAACTTCTCACCATGTTTTTTTCTTCTTAGGCCTTCTTCAAATACCACTTTACAAAAGTCGGGGCCCAAACTCCGATCCATATCCAAGCTGCTCAAGAAAATGCATCCAAACTTAACGTACCCTTCACCCATATGACCAAGTTATGTAATGCAGTCGTAGCTCAACGAGCCAGTGTCAAAGCTTCGACATAACAAGAATCGTCTCAAATAAACCGTTATACTTCAGCGATCATTCAGTTTGAGGTCTCTGCTTTCACATGTTGGTGTGTCGACAAATGAATTTGACACTTTCACGAGGTCTTCTCGAGATGTCAAGGCTCCAAACCACCAGAGTCATCGAATCGACACAATTAGACCCGCTGAGATACTATAAGAATGATTTTGGTGTTGCTGCTATCAAGCTGGTTTATCACACTGTGTTTTGCCACATGCGATACCAAGGATTTCAAGAAGATTGGCTACGTGACCTCATGGTCAGTGGAACGTGGTGTATGCGCCTTTGATGTCTCGTCGATTGATGCCATTTCATATGTAAGGGCGTCTGGAAACCAAACAGTCACAAACGTGGTTGCTCAACCAACCTCTCGCTAGACCCACTTGATATATGCCTTTGATACCATTGACAACAAAACGATGGCACCAACATTCATATCTGATGCTGACAAGAATGTATTCTCGTCTGTTGTAGCTCTCAAATCCAAAAATCCAACCTTGAAGGTCATGGTGTCTATCGGAGGGTGGAATTTTAACAGTTGCGTAGTTTTGGTGTCCTAGCCTTGATGCATCGAGTACTCTGATTGATGTTGTTACTTGTCGTAGATCCAGGGAGTGGAACAGAAACCATGTTTTCGCAAATTGCGGCATCTTCTTCACTTCAAGGTGAATTCAATTCTGGAGCAGTGAAACTGCTGGGCCAGATACAGGCTGATGGTATTGATATTGACTGGGAGTACCCTGGAGATACAACAAGAGGTGGTTCGAGTGCTGATACGAAAGGTCTTAGCACTTGGATGTCGTCACTTGCTCAAACACTGGGCAGTCAACATGCACTTTCTATGACTTTGCCTGGAGCTACTCAGCGATTGGCAAGTTTTGATTTACAGTCTCTCAGTAACTCTGGTGAGTCCATTTTGATGCACGTTGTGTTCGCGACTGCATGGAAAACCCTGACGACTACTTGCCAAGCATGAAATCAACTCAACCCGCTTTCCACCATACTTCAGTATCCTGGTTCAACATCATGTCATACGACTATGCAGGCACATGGGATTGCTCCACAAATCTTGGAATCCAACCCCATGCTTCACTAGCCTCAATGAAGGAGACCATCACCACGTTGAAGCAATCTGTCTCTGATTTTTCGAAACTCGTGTTGGGAATCCCAGCGTATGGACGAACATATTCCTTGTCTTCTCCATCATGCAACACTCTTGGATGTGGGTGTAGTGGAGCTGGTAGAGCAGTTGGTCAAAACTGTGCTGCTGATGCAGCTGTTGCGAATTATCAGGACATTCAAATGGCAAGTTGAGGAGAGCTTATATTTGCATGATATTCATAGCATCATTCCATTTTTTCGTTTTCTGATTCTGTCTCGCACATCTCGAATCTCGTAGTTGATTGGTCAAGGAAACATTGAACAATCAAGAGCAGCAGTTAACGCTACTTCATACATTGTTTATAACGGTAACTCCAACTTGTTGAACTACGCTGCTTTGGAGGATGTTTCTGACATGATTGGATTTGCTCGTTTGGAGTGTCTTGGTGGTGTTATGGTAAAGTACTCTTAGATCCATACACTTGACAGCCTCGAGTTTTTTTTAGCTCACCAACTTTACTGTAGATTTGGAGTCTAGATGGCGATTCTGGCCACAAACTAGCTCAAGCTTGGAATGAGAAGGGTGGTGGTAGTGGTAATGGTGTATTGAGTACAGCCAACGAACATACTACTTTCTACCGCCACATTCTCGTACTGGTCTTGGCATGGTATTTTATCTTTACCTTCAATGCTGCTTGAAAACAGATACGAACACAGCGTGTTTTCTTTTTGTGTTTCTAAATATGTGTATATATGTGATGTCAGATTTATACGGGTTTTTTTTACAAATTTGATTGATTATTTCTCTACAAATCACTTTGCGAAATACGTTGGTGCTGCGAGGATGCGTCCTTCAAGACGACAACCACCGCAAACACAAGAGCAATAGCATGTGCAACAGCCATGAGTAAGAAAGGACCTGTAGAGCTCCATTCATCAAATAGCCAACCACCTATCTGTGTCGTAGCCAAGATCCCAAAAGCGCCAAAGAGACTAGAGAAACCTGCTACAGATCCTCGACTCTCTCTAGGCACATCATGCGATGATGTTGTCAGAGACAAACTCACTACAATCATGGCTATTTCTCCCAGCCCAATCAATATCACTACTGGATACAATATTGGTGATGTTGGATTATCCAGTATGGATAACAAGAAATATCCAAGGCCTGCTATAGTCAAGGATACCAGCGTCAAGTACGGTTTGTACACACGATCTACCAGATATCCTATCAGTGGAGCACCTAGTAAAGCTGCCATCTGAGCCATCCCGCTTAACGACGATGCAAGCACGTATGCAGCTCGACATGTCCCCTTTGGATCTAGTGGGTCAAATCCAGGACAAAGTCCCTCGGTTTCAAAATACTTGTTGATCCATAAAGAGAGGAAGAGCGTGATTATGATACTGTCTCCTCGAGCCAATGCACTACCTAAATACCCCAGCAATACAGAAGGTGATCGAGCCGCTAAAGCACCATCTATAAATATCTGGTATAAAGACTTTGGTTCTCGAACTGCGACAGGACAATCTTGTAGCATTCCAAGTATAGTTGATGCTTCAGGTAGTTGTAGTCGTGTCGGGGATGACAGGAGTGGTCGATGCTCACTGCCGTTAGGTTCATCCTCGTTTACAGATGATGGCACGATATGGTATGCGGGTGCAGTTCGTTTCATGCCAAAGAATAATAGTATGGCGAATAGGATTGAGAATCCTGCTAAACTTTCGTATACGACTATGAGGCCGGGAGCTGATGAAGTTGGGCTGTGAAACCATTCAGTGGAAATGATGCCTGGTAATCGAAGCATGACTAAAGCGCCAGTCACAGCTGTTTGGAAACCAAAAAGAAGGTGTTAGTGGTGGTTATGAAGGCTTCAATGAAAGCGCAGCGCTTGGACCTGACATGTTACTAGTAAGAGAAAAAATGGGTTTGATGATTACCTCCCAATCCAGAAGCCATCCCTATCACTCCAGCCATTCTTCCACGATGATCTTCAGTCCCATAGTCTGAAGGAGGACAAACGTGACTATGAGCGTCTGTCTTTTCAAAAGTCTGCAACATCCAACATACCAGATAAAACAGCCGTCAGCATGGCCGAAGCAGACGATCCACCAAAAGCGAACACCAAACGAGCTAGCAACAAATCTGGCAACAGTCTCCCCATCAACGGATACAGTGCCAGGCCCAAACCCATCAGAATGTATCCCACACTATACACGGTTCTCCTTCCAACAAAATCGGACACGATGCCCCATATAACTACTGCAAAGAGCGAAAACAGCTCATCGGCGAATGATCTAAAATATTACACATTTGAGCTCTCGAATTTGACAGATACGAGATGAACTCAAAACAGCTTACAATCCACCAGCAGAACGTCCAAGCACTTCTTTCGATAAATGAATGATGTCCGACAGCAAGAAGGACTGAGATCCATTCCTATACGATTGAAACGTTTACACCAAATGTTGAGACCAAGTCCTTACAAACCAAGCTCTTACAAGAAGACAAATAGCAAGATCGATACAAATGTAGCAGCCAAGAAGCTTCCGAAATTAACGGCCGAAACTCCTGGCTTCAAGTTCAGGCCTAGGAACTTGACATTGTCGAATTCAAACAATGGGTGTCCGTCAGGGAGTTCAAGTAGGCGAGTAACAGAAGTTCTGCCTACTACTGGGCACGCAGCAGCGGAATCTGGGCTCCTTGTTGGGCTCTGGCCTCGTTCCATGACTAGCACCTAGCTGTTTGGAGAAACTCTAAGTGTTTAGACGATGCGAGCTCAGTGAGCAAGTTTAAGACGTGCTGTTTCTCGCCGATCATCGCAACTATGTATCCTCAAAGAACAGTTTAGTACTCACGCGGTTCGCGTTCCAACATTCCTCTCTACTCATTTACCAAAGAAGAGCTTTTATATTTTCTCATTTCACGTACTAACATATAAGTTTTCAGGCCATATTACAGATGGGAAGGCAAAAACACTGATTTCGTCACACAACAAGGCGTGTTTCTTTATCGTGGCAAACTAACCATAGATGGATCCACGTTCATCTCGTGTAGATAACTGTCTACTGGATCAAAACTTTCGCCAGTTCCAAAAGCGTCAGAGGTACTATAAATAACAAAACGTATAAGCGAAGCTGTTCAAAATGAACCACAACACGGGAAATGTCAACTTACCCAGCCTCGCCTTCAGCATACGAAGAGTAACTAGTGGGGAGATCCAGTTGTGGTGCTGTGCTACTAATTACAGGCGTGTGCTGTACAGGCGTGACAGCTCGTTGTTGCACGGGCGTTGGTGCTCGTTGCTGTTGCTGAGCCTGTTGCTGTTGTGCCTGTTGATGTTGATATTGTTGTTGGGCCTGTTGTTGTTGATATTGTTGTTGCGCCTGCTGTTGCTGATACTGTTGTTGTAGTTGTTGTTGTTGTAAGGGAGTCACTGGTCGTTGCTGATTAGGAGTGACTGGTCGTTGTTGTTGCTGACTAGGAGTTACAGGTCGTTGTTGCTGTTGCATTTGCTGTGCATGCATTTGTTGCTGCATATCTGCCTGCTGCTGCTGCATTGGATTTCCCGGAGATACAGGTGTAGTAGGTCGTTGTTGATGATTGTATTGAGGCATAGATGTCGGAGTTGGGATTTGCAGATGCAAGTTATGGGGTGCACCTGATGTTACTGGTGAGCTAGGCTGCTGCAAAAATGGATTTACTTGTTGTTGAGGTTGCAAGAATCCAGCCTGATTGTTTTGCAAGTGTAGATTAGCCATAGCGGCTTGTTGTTGACGCAATCGTTCCAAGTTTGCAAGAGCATCCTGTTGTCGTTGCAAATCTTCGAGCTGTAATCTCATGGCGTATTTCTGGCGTTCTTCTTCCAAGCGTTGAGTATCAGGCATAGATGGAGCTGGCTGTGGTGGCTGTTGTTGATGATGATGGTGGTGTTGGTGTTGATGCGGGAGCGAAGCCATATAACTACCATCGTCAGTTCCCATAGTTCCATATTGCGATACGTCAGCAGTACTATATGATTGTGACGATACTCTTCTAGGCATATCAGACAGTGGCGGACCAGCCGTCACAGCTATCGGTGGAGTCTTCACCATGGTAGTTGCTGCAGATGCCGGGTTTCCTGCCGACGATGGCTCAGTAGTACAAACGAGAGGGAATGCACCCTGTTTACCAGTAACAGTATCAACTCCAAGACCCCACCCATCGTTGAACGACTTTATAAACATGATCTCGTGCCCTGGCACCAGTTCAAGCTCATCAATGGCAGCAGCAGTATAAGCGTGCAAGACTATAACAGACTTTTGATCGGGTGTACCAGGACGAGGCGATCCCGGAGATGATGCTTGTGGTGTGGATGGACGTCCATTATTATCTACTGGTGATCGACCAGATGGAGTATTTGGACGTTGTTGACCTGGAGTTCCAGGACGTTGTTGCTGAGGAGTTTGAGGCCTCATTCCTTGAGGTGGCCCTTGCATTTGCATCATCCCATTAGGTGCCCCTTGCATCTGCATCATTCCGTTCGGTGGTGCTTGCATTAGCATCATTCCGTTAGGCCCTTGCATTTGCATTCCTGGAGGTTGTTGCATACCCGGTCTCATAGCATTTTGAGGCGTTCTAGGCCTCATATCAGCTGGTCTACCGTTATTATTATACTGCTGACCATCTGGTGGCACAGCACCTGGATATGGTGGAGGCTGCTGCTGTTGATGTTTTTTGGGTGGTTCTGAATCCATTCCATACCCTCTGCGTTCACGCATATCAGGTTCATATGGGCCATGACGACGAGGCTTACTATTGAATCTACCACGCCAGTATTCCAACGTCATACGACCAGGTTGTCGTCCCTGAGTACTGAATTGTGACTGATCGTCCAATTCATGGTTTCCGTCCTTGCTCTTATCGTCGTCAACTTTACTTGCTGCATTACGTTGTTTTCTGCGTCTATAGTAAAACACGGCTCCGATTATAACGGCGAGAATTGCAACACCACCGCCTGCAGCACCTCCAATTATAGGAATCATTCCACTAATACCCTTGGATCCACCAATGTTGCCGTTTGTGGGTGACAAGGTTGGCACAGCTACAGGGTTTGAAGCAGCACTAGAAGCCAGGAAGGTGGTACAGCATGCGTTTCCAGTAGCGGTTGCACACTGTGTTTTTGCAGTGTATGCATCATGGTATCCACAGAATGATGCTTCAGTGTCTGTACCATTTATACAAACATTTTCATTCTTTAGTGTCAACGCATATGTGCGGTTGCCTAAGAAAGACATTGTATTAGAATCTATAGCTCTCTGCACTAACACGAATCCATAAACTCACAGTAATCGACATAAGTAGACAACAACTGTGTCCTTGCAGCCAACTGTGACGACGTGGCAGCCGTAACCGGACAAGCCGAAGGATCATTCAGTGCAGTCGACATGGCTTTACTAGCCAGCGTACACTTATCACTACACAAAACCGGTCCACCAGGCGGTGCAGCGACAGTGGTACTGAGATTCCCAGGCTGACAACCATTCTCCCACGAATCTCTCAATACAGTATAACACCAAAACGATAACTGGTATTGCAGATTTCCTATCGAGTTACGTATTGCGGCATACGTGCATCCGTCTACTTGGGCCAAGTTGTTGGCGTAATTGTCGAGGTTGCCAAAGTTTGTGGTGAAGAAGGACTGCGATATAGTGAAGGATGGGGTTAGAGATGATGCAAGGGTGTGAGTTCGGGTATACAATGAAGCATACGGCTACGGACAGCAGCGACCGAGGGGTTGGGAAGCTCTCCCACCCAACACCGCTTGGTCAAGCAAATGTTGCTGATGCCAAGATACAAGCAGCTCCCAGTCAACGGGGGCCTGCAATACTGAGATTGCAACTTACATTAAATGTAGTCAAAGATGTAAAGTACTTGGTATCCGTCTGCAATTGGTAGCCAGCATACGCTGCTCCACAGATACTAGAAGAATCAAGCGTAACACATGTAGCTGCATTCGCTACGGATGATAGACCCAGGCATCCGAGCAGGAATACTATGACGGCAACGCTAACCATTATCCGGTACTCTTAGCAAGTCTCCTACTTGGAAAACCACTTCCAAGTTTGTAACCTCCTTGGTTGGACGAAAGACGGAAAGAGTGTGGCGAAAAACGCCCAACAAAAGAACAGGGTGTGAAGAACAATATAAAGCGACGAAATGCGACATTTGGAAAGCATGGATGCTCATCTCTTTTGTTGGCCTGGGGTGCTTGTGAATGTTTCTTTTGATGCCATTCAGCAAAACTGCAGAAACTCAGAACACGCAAAGTACAACACATACAGCAAACTCAGGATGCCGTTAGCAGTTCCTATCCGTGATGCTAACAACTCTTTCTATATCCTCGTTTTCAATAACTACAAGGCATGAAGAACCTTCTTTGTTAATACTACTTTTTAACACGAGTAGACATAGCAATCACATCTCCACCCTTCAAATTATAAAATGCCAACTTGTTTCTACCAAGCAGGACATCTTTACCCCGCACAACCAACTTTTGCTTGGATGGTGCAATTGCTGTGATTCCTTTGATTTTCTCCATTAGTGCACTTGTGAGCATGTCAGATTTCAAATCTGGAATGGTGAATGATGGGCCTTCTTGTGGTTGAATCGTGATTTCGAATGCATCCTAGAGATTGAAGATAAGTGAGTGAAATGAAGTGAGGCACGAAAAAAATTTACAAGTCAATGACTTTCGAAACTATTGAACTCACTGGATGCTGCTGAATCCATTCGGCTTCAGGTAAGTAACCAGGAAGAGCACCACCAGGAACTGTAGGAGTAGCTGGTTCATCCATCTTCTGTCGTTTAGCATCGCTATCTGTTCTATCTTCAGGCACCTTTGTTATAGGTTTAACGGGGGGCATTGGTGGAATGGGACGTGCTAATATCGGTGGTAATGGAGGTGGCGGTAATGATGCTATTGGTGCTACAGGTCTTGGTAATGGAGGAATACCTGGTAGCGATGGAGGAGGAGGCATTGAAGCCATCGTTCCCGGTATTGGTAGTGGCGGAAGTCCTACGGGACGTGGCATTGGAGGCACGCCCATCGGCATTGGTGGCATACCTGGAATAAAGGGAGGGGGATTGAAGGATGGTGGTGGTTGACCGAATGATTGCTGTGGTGGTGGTTGATTATATGCAGGTGGTAGTTGTTGAGGCATGGCTGGTGGTGGCTGAAATGACGGTGGACCTGTAGGAGTAAATGATGGTGGTGGTGCTGTTGTAGTAGGTCCCGGGCCCATTTGAGGACCAATCTTGTTGGCCTCATCCCTACAAGCGTTGAAAGAATCAGTTTAATTCAAAAGGAAACGAGAAAGAACGAATGATAGAACATCGTTGCGCAAAAATGGGCACAAACTCTGTCCAGATACTCACATGAGCTGTTGTTGATATCTCTGTCTAGCTGCAATCTGCTCATCAACCGACTGTCCTGCTACAACAGCCATAGTTGCCGAAGGTATAGATCCAGAATGACCATCCCACACAATCCGTTCCTTTCCAGCAGCCTTTTCCCTCTCCTCAGCAATTCTACGCCCAACACTGGTTTCTTCTGATCCAAAGATATCAGTTCGATAATCTGACAATCGAGACAAGTTCTTGGCTACATCTACACCCATATTCAGGTTACTATCTCCCTGTTTAGCTTGAGCACGTTGTCTTTGCTCTCGCCATTTAGGATCTAACAGTTCGATACGGACGTGTTCATCCATTTCTGAAATGGGGATTGCTTGACCACAACGAGGACATGTTTGTGTTGGTTCTGATGATGCACCAGGTCTCGATGCAGCTGTAAAAAACAGATTGGTTATTTTGCAAAAAAAAAACTACACATACCGATAAGATGTCAAATGATTCGTACCTTTTGGAACATAGCCAGACACAACTTTGAGAGATCCTTCCGCTCTGATAGAAGGAGGTGCTACTGGCATACCAGGCAATGGGGGAGGAGGTGCACTAGAAGGTGGTGCCATGTTTGGTGGTGGGAAGCTGACTGGACCAGGTCGAGGTGGTAACGATACTTTATGGGCAGGTTCCTCGTCGACCTGATTATAAAAATGGAAGCATGAGCAATTTGCGAGAGGAAGCGAGAAAAAAATCATCCAAAGATCGGAAATAGTCGAACTTACATCCATCTCCATGTCGCCGCCGTCTTGGAATGTATCTTGATTCAATACCAAGTTGGTCTTGCGTTGTGCCAATGTCATGTTTTCCAGCTCAGTCAATGTCATTGGAGGAGGCAGATCCAGCATTTCGTCTGATTCAACAAATTCTATGGTATCGACCACGACGAAATCGTGCCAATCAATCATGGCGAATGCGACTAATTGACGGAATTGACGTTAGTTCCTACCAACGGAAGGCAGCAAAAAGAAGCAAATAAAAGTTTCCAAATGCTTACTTCTCTCTTGATCAGCTTCCTGTTCAGCCTTCTTCTTCTGTTCATCCATCCAAGAATTGAATTCAACCCTCTGAATAATCCTCTTTAGCACAACCGGCTTATTATCAAAATTCTGCTCCAGACCCGACAAGGTTTCTTTGGAAGGTAGCAGTACCTTGGCATATTGATCAACAAGTTTTATGAAATAAGGGAAGACGGAATGATTTGGTCTTAGGAAATCGAATTGGTAGTTTCGTTGTTCTCGTGATGCTAGTGAAGCCATGAATTGACGACCGTTACGAGCGACGAATTGTGCTGTTAGTTTTACAATGTCCCTACGACGAAAAGTGAATGGTTAGATCGATTGAGAATTCACTACTCACCCGGTCTGCGAATATCACGATGATACATACAAATCCTGAGTGGATATTGGTGGTGGATCAGCCATGAATTCAAACTTGGGAGGTTCAGGAGGAGGGGGTTTGACTTCTACAGGTACTATAGGTTTACGAGCTTCACCACCCTTTTCATCGTCTTTTCCTTCTGGCAGATCTAGAAAGGAGAGCCAAAGTTGAGTGGCTGGCCATCCAACGATTGATATAGACATGTCTTGGCTTACCTTTTTTTGTTTGGAATTCACGAATCTTGTGCTCATAGTACGCACGATATGGATCATTAGGATTCAAGAAAGAGAATTTGGGATTATGCTTTTCATTCTCACGAATACGTTCTTCAAAGCTAGGACCATTCTTTGCAAAGTATTCGGCAGCCTTGTCGGCAATTCCTATGTTTTTGATGTTTGATGAGTACGCAGCAAGATGGTTATAGTACAAGGGCATCAATCGGAATGAATAAATGTATAAACAGATTAAACATGTAGCCCATAATTCAGATTTTGCTTCTACTGAACTAGATGCAACATAAAAAGCAAGTAACGAGGCTTGCCTCTTATTTCAGGAGGAGGATAGATGACTCCTACAGCAAGCAAGATGTTGTTTCCATTGCCTGCATCATCCAGCATCTGTGCATCATGTCCATTCTCTTCGACCTCCATATTGTTGCTAGACGAAATGTAAGTTTTGGAGTTTGGTCAACGAATATTCCTGCAAATGTAGGCCTCAGGAACTTTCACTAGGCTAAAGCGAGAATCTAATCACGCGCGCTTCATTGTTTAGATTGAATCTATCGTTGTTCTTTTTGACGACTTGCGAGAAATCGCGAAGAAATTCCAACTTGTTTCAAGATCAACCGATTTTCAAGCACACGGGACCATCTTGACGTACCTTCATAGCTTAGGTCGGATTTGAATCGGATTATACGCGTAATTGACTAATGCCCCGTCATCTTATTCAAATTGCGCTTGACTGAGCTCTTGATTGCTGTCATTCACAGAGCACTAGTAGCCTGGCCAAGCTTTGCAACAAGGGATAACAATGGACGTGGACGGTGCAGGGTAATCTTTCAGTCTTCATTTAATTCGATTTTCTCTTCCTTTTTGAGCTAGATGAATTGTGCACAATGATTTACTGACAAACCCTCTCCTGTCATTCCTATCTTAGAAATTGGAGTACCATTGAATCTGATCCCGGGGTATTCTCGGAACTCATCGAGCAGTTTGGAGTCCACGGTGAGCTCCCAGTGCTGATCCCGATGTTGCTTCCATCAAACCAAATCCCATTCATCAACCAGCCTATCATTTCAATCATCATCACGTTCATTGGTCTCACAGATTCATCGTCGACCATTCCTAGGACTGGAATTTGAAGAAATATGGGATCTAGATACGCTAGCCCGTGAAGCGCCCTACGGCCTGATTTTCTTATTCAAGTACACACCGTCTGAACCTGCTGGCGTCGTGCAGCCTGAAGCTCCGGGCGTCTTCTTTGCCAAACAAGTCAGTGTTCAATTGCATTCAACCGTTCTGCCTTCTTTTTTTGGTCGTCGCTTGTAACTGACACTTCTTTCTCTCATCAGGTTATCAACAATGCCTGCGCCACACAAGCAATAATCTCAATCCTCCTAAACCGTAACGACGTGGATCCCGGCCCGTTGCTCACCGAATTCAAATCATTTGCCATGGAATTCCCATCGGACATGCGTGGCCTCGCACTCTCAAACTCGGACAACATTCGGACCATCCATAACTCGTTTGCCAAATCTGACCCCTTCGTGTCTGATAATGCTAAAGACGACGATGATGACAAGGAGGATGCGTTTCATTATGTTTCGTATTTGCCTATTAATGGGGCGCTGTATGAGCTTGATGGGTTGAGAGGTATGATAACGAGAGCAGTGGTTTATTCGTTGCAGAAGTGATTCTTCTTACAACTGGTCTGTTTGCTCTTTTTTCCCTAGAGGGTCCTATCAACCACGGGCAATGTAAAGAAGACGACTGGGTGAAAACTGTTAGGCCGGTAGTCGAAGCAAGAATGGCGCAATATGCTGGATCAGAGATTCGGTTCAACATGATTGCTGTAAGAGTCGTATGCAGCTCTCGAAATTCCAATTATATCCAAACGCTGACCAACGGCGTCTTTTTTGCCCCAGTTGGTAAAAAGCAAACTCGAAGTATGCAAGCAACGTGTTGTTCAACTCAAGGCCGAAATCGCTGCGTCTGGTGGTCCAAGGCAAGGAATGCTACAGTCTGAGCTGGAGTCTGTTAAAGAGCAAATGGTGTTTGAGGAGGAGAAGTGGACTAGATGGAGGAATGAGAATATGAGGTAGAGCAGAGATACCAAAGTTAGATTTTGCAGCCAAGGAAGAAATAATCCAATTCTCAATCAAACAATGCGTTCTTCTCGTAGGCGCAAACACAACTGGATCGGTTTCGCTATAGAAGTATTGAAACAAATGGCGACCAAAGGCAAGCTGAATGAAGGCATAACAAAGGGAAAAGACCTTGCCAAGAAGAGAGACGAATTAGTCAAGGCTCAAAATAAAACGGACGCTGCTTCCAAACAGTAAAAAATATGTAACAAGACGGACAATTCATTGTATACAGGTAAAGAATATAGTTTTTGGAGTGTAATTACATTGCGGGGGTGCGAAAAAAACCCATGATAGTGCAATCTCATTTGCTTTACGAAGGCAACGAAATATCAAACGCCTTCTTCATTTGTCGTGCAAAGTCCAACTGGCGTTCAGCATACACCTTCAAGTAAATCTCCATATCAGATTGGAACTGGCGGTCATACAGTTCATACTCGCCACGTATGGAATCAGTCAATCTCTTGAGTAATTCACGATGTGATGCTTCAACCTTCTTTGCCTATTAACAAAAATTTGGTCAGTTCTTTCTTAAGAAACAGCTGTCCGTGGAATCGTTAACAGAAAAAGGAGATAAACCGAAACGACACGAACCTCATTGAGCTCTTCAAGAGCAGCATCAACTTTATCTTGTCGAATCGATGATCCAGCCTTGAGTTTCTCCAAGGCTTGCACCTTCTTCGATGTTGATTTGCATGATTCGGTATATAGATTCAAGGCATTGATTCGGTTTTGTAGTGTTGACTAAAGGAACGATGGTGAGATTAGCAACCGCACAAACGCGGAATGCTCGAGTCAGGCAGCCCTACCTGAGCTGAGTCTGTTGAGCGTATACCATGAGTGATGGCATCATTGAATGTGTTTGCTGCGTATGTGGCCTGTAAAGAAGACGAGGAAGCTGTGAGCATCATTGGCCAACAAGTCACAACTACAAATGCCTTCGACGTGCCTGTTTAGTTCCAACGTCTTCAGATACTTGAAAGCACTTTGCCATCCTCCGCAGGACGCTAAAGAAACACCGTATCAAACGACGGATTATGCTTTTCAAAAACTCGTCATAATCCAAACATGTAGCTACCTTCCCAGTGGATCTCCACTTTCTCCAACGAGGCCAACCAATCGTTGACCAACTTCACCAGATGCTTTGGCTTGTTCTAGAATCCAACGGTTACCAAAAGAAGATCAATCAAGTTCCGGGCCAAAAAATCCTTGTCACAAGCATGTCGTACCTCTTTCAAATTTGACAATTTTGTCCCCGTTAGCCTTCAACATGTTGGTAATGTGTAATTCAACACCGGCAGTTTCAGATCTCGCGAATTCAAAGAATGGATCGTCTCTTGTAGTTGAAGTGATTGGTTTTCCAAAACGGAAGGTACTTGATGAACCCTTTTTCAGTGTGCTTGTTTGAGTAGGAACGTACTAACAGAGAGAGCATGTTAATCGTTGGTACCTGTATAGAATCTGACAATCTTCCATTACACGTACTTCAAACTGGGATTCAATAAACATCTGTAAACATTCTGCCGTTCGAAGTAGAGGATGTCTTGACACGCGGTCCAGGAATCTGTTTACGGTTTCAGCCATAAATGAACCATCTAGAGATCTTGGAGCGGGAGCGGGAACTATGACTTCTGGAAAGACGACTTGGAAGGCAGACGCCAAACGTTCGATTTCGGAATGTGATCGACTGAAATTGTAGCGATTTCTTTTGTAGGATGGTATGTTGGTCTATGGTAGAGATGGAAAGTGGAAAACATTAGGTACGATATGATTTAAATGGATGATTTAACCATCAAGGACACCAGCAAAGTACATACTGTTGCTGTGATCTGATACGTGACTTCCTTTGGCTGAACCGAGACGGTCGAGCAGTGCATAGACATTTCATAGGCAGGTGCCATGGCCAGTGAGGCCGTACTTGATGCTGCTGTGGCCATCTCTTACTGTTTTTGACAATATACACGTTTGTTGAGCACAACGATGAAGAATAAAGCATCACGCGTCAATCACGTCTAATTGAATTCGACTAATCATGAAATAGATAATAATAATAAATTAGTCCTGTCTAGGTAGACACTTCACTGCTTCACTCCTGGCTCATGCACCTCCTCTCTCCAAACATCCCACACAATCAATCATCTCACTGCGCTTGATGGAGAATATGGACGGCGAGGCTCAACAGCTACGAAAGCTGCAGCTGGAAGAATTCCGGCGCAAGAAACGAAAAGACGAAGAACAGTATACTTACATTGCCTTCCATCATTTGTTTACATTACGTGCTAATGCTGTCCCTTTCATACATTCAGATCAAAGCAGCTGGAAGCAGAGACATATGGTCCTCCATTCATAGTTGAAAGACCTAAAGATACTCCCAAAGCAATCCACATCATATTCGAAAAGGGTATGCAAACCCCCACAAACATCAACTGGGAATTTCCAAGATAGTTCCTGGCTGATCTGAACCTTGTGGTTTGAAACCCAGCTAACAGTTTCAATTCGCATACTCTAGATCTCGATCAAGAAGCCCCTCCTCCCACCAGAGAAGCAAGACAATCCATGTCCTCGACTCGTCGTCCTGCTTCACTCGCAAACACACAAAGATCCAAATCATTGGCTCCTTCAGATGCTGCAACCACCATCAAATCATTCAATGAACGAACAAGTGCTGCCTTATCTGCTTCCTCAGCAAAACCATCTACAGTCCCAAAGCCAAAACCTCAACTACAATCACAGGTCATATATGCTCCTTCAGCCAAAGCTGAGCAACATCAGTATATGAATGCAGAATCTATTGCTGCCAATCTACCTACTAAGGGACTGATTGGCGCTGCTATGCGTAACGCCATGATGCAGAGTAATGGTAGAGCTGTTGGTGGAATGGTTGGTGTAGCATCTGAACCACCTGCTATGATGGGTACGCCTGAGCGTCCCCCTATTATGGTTACCCCTGAACGATCAGTTATGATGCAGCAACAACAACGAGTCATGTCCAGTCCCGCTCGAGTATTGTCGAGTCCTGCACGAAGTCTAGGAAGTCCATTACGTGTGGCTGGTAGTGACAAACGTGGTGGCGTGTTTTCTTCTGGTACCGAGAGGTGAGTGATGAAGTCTCTAGGTCGAGTAGATCAGTTGATGCTGAATACCTTTTTTTTGTCTCTTGTAGATTGCCAATGACACCTTCACGACGTGCATTCGCCAAAACCTTTATTGGATCTCCAGCCATACGAACTCCCAAACAGCAGGCTATAGTTCCATCACCTGTCGCTCCTCCCAATATGTCCTCCCTCGATGATCATGTAGAGAAGAGAATGGATGTTGAGAAGAAGCTTGCTGATGAAGCTCAATTCTTGGCAGCACAAATTCGGTGAGTAGTTCCGCACATGCAGAGGAATGTTGGTATTCGGGAGCTGTGGTTGTTATTCATCACCGTGCATTTTATTGGTTTCTAGTGATTCACCTTGGGTCTTTTATATCAACCAACCTCTCTTGTTGCGCGTCGTCGACCCAGTTGGAGATGTTATAAAGGAAGAAATGGTTTCCTTTCCACCATTGGATTTGTTGTCTATGAAAGATGCTCAAGGTGTCGCAGAGGTGAAAGCCAGCATGAACCATTAATGTGTATGTCCTCCCCAATTCAACCTCACAAATACTTTGAATATGTTAGGCCGGAAATCATGACCTTGCTCGTGCAATATATAGAATAGTGGCTACAGTATGCAGTGTCCCAAGTGTGTACTATTCTCAAACTGGCCATGTATATATCAAAGACTCGACTGCATTGAAGGCTGGGTTGTGGTTGCGTTGGGCTAAAATGGAAGAAGACTTTGGCGATCATGCTGAGGCTCTGAAAGTCTATGAAGAAGCTGAGGCTGTGGGAGCCGAGGTAGGATTGGGATACTGCTGGACGCAAAACCTGCAAATGTCGGTTTACACCTTTGTTTTTCTTTTAGCCTGTTGACTTGATTAAGACAGAATTTAAACGCTTTTTGTCGAGGCTCTATGAAGATGTCACAGGTATGCGAGATGCTCCCTAGATTCTAATTAGACGGTATTATATCGGAATCGAATTTTTTGACACGCAATGCTCTAGGATCCAACCGAGAATCACGTCTTCCAACAGTCTCGTCGACTGCTTCGTCGCCATTGGTTGCACCTACATCGAGCATGCTCCTAGACCATGAAACCCCCACACCGACTTTCAATCGAACGTCAAATAATAGATGTGTAGCGCCATCACCAACAGATTCAGATACTACACCACCTCCTTCTTCTCGATACTTAACTAGTCATATGAACGATGAAGATGACGACGTCGCCATAATTCTAACACCGGCTCAAGGAAAAGGAAGAGTGACACCACATCCAGGTCGTCGTAGTAATGTAGTTAAAGAGATTGTTGGCATGTTGGGTGGCTTGAAGTTGGCATCCATGAACGATTCTCTCCAAGAAAGCAAGTCTCCTAGAACTCCCGGTGGTCGACGAATGTCTCTTGTTGAATTTGAGTTGGGATTGCGTGTTGCTAATCCTGTAGAACAGGTCGATAAAGATGATGGTGCGGCCGAGAATGGTGGTAGTAGTGAAATTGATGATAACATGGTGGAGGACAACATGATTGATGACAGGAGGGACGATGATGATGACAAGGTGGATAATTTCATGATGGAAAGCAACATAATGGAGGACGTAACAGCAAATGAGGACGGTGACGCTGAGGATGAAGATGACGATGCCATGGCCGATTCACCTACACCATTGCAAAAATTAAGACCAAAATCAACCGGTAAAGGCAAAGTAGTAGATAAACCACCACACGAAATAGTAATCAAAGAATCGGCAATCAAGATCGCATCACCACCAGCTCCTCCTACTGGCAAAAAAGCTAGTGCTATGCGACGTGAGAAACGTCAAACAGTACGATTCGAATCTCCAGCCCAAAAGGGTCAGCAATCTGCTTCTGCTCCCGATACACCAGGAGCTACTGTGACTGTTTTGACGCCAGTGAGGAGCAAACGCAAAGACCGTGAATGTGAGTAGTGGATTAAATCTCGCACTGTCCTAGTGTTTGGGATCGGCGTTTCGTTTTCTGATGCTGATTCTCCTTTGCAAAACATGTAGCACTTGGCCTTCCGCCACATGTCATCACACCAGTACGTAGGTCCATTAGGAATATGGAGGCTGATGAAGATTCTCCCATCATTGACGAAGATGGTGAGAATGAAGATCCAAATGCTGAAATCAAGAATCTGTTGGAACAGCATGGATTTGCGTTTGTGCCAAACAAGGTAACGTGCTTAGACACGACATAGCTTTGCATTTTTTTTTGAGCTGACATTTTCTTGTCAGGCTATTGATTTGTCGATTGTCAAGAATGAACGTTTCCCTGCTCACAAGGCACCAAAGAAAGAAGAAAGTAGTGCAGCTAGTACTCCTACCACTACTCTACACTCCTCACGCCGTAAAAGTACTGCAAGTGGACATTACTGACGAAATGATGTGTCGTGTTTTACGTGAAAGAAATGTAAAGAAATAATAAATCAAATGTATGATAGGTCTTTTGAGAACAAGAGATGTATATTAGCATTGAAGGAAATCAGTCGTTGCAAGTTTTGGTCGTTGGGAAGGCGGGTTTGAGAGAATCGCGTCGGATTCGAGGAACTGTGAAAGTCCTCTTTGCTTGTGGAAAATACTTGCTCTCCAGACTGAATACTATTCTTCACTGATTCCTTGTTTTGTCTTACTTTCTGAGGCTCGCGTCGTTGTTTACACCACCAATCGTCATACCACTCTGAGTTTAAACAACTTTGTACGGAAGGCGTTCATCACACTCAAACCAACGATGGCCAAAATATTCAAGCACACTTTGTATGGGACTTAATATGGGAGAGGGAGATTCTGGATGCTATGAAGTCAGCGAGACACTTTCTATCTCGGTATCAATACTCTTATGGCGAAAAGGGCAGGGCATTTGCAGAAAAGATACGAATTAAGATTGGGCGACTTCTGAGGATGTGCAGGCTACGCAAAGAATATGCAAGTGGTGGATTTATTAGTCTGAGAGATTTAGATGAAGAATTGGAATGCTCTGTGAAACAGGACTACATACATGGCGTCTATCGCCTGATACTCCCTGATTACGGTATAACATACGATCTTCATATACATGATGCTATGCTGTTGTTTGAAAGGGATTGGTTACTGCAGGATACACGATGTTGTACAGTAATTCGCAAGATCAAAACACTTGGTCTCCAATATCAGACAAGGCTGTCAGTAACGGCAAATGGCCTTATGTATCACGAGAATCTAACCGGGAACTACAACTAGCATCCGATACGATACTAGAAGTTACAAAGGATTATAAGGAGTTTTCAGAGTATTTGCCAAACCGAATCATTGAAGCTGAAATCAGACTCGAAGTGTCGCGACAGGTGTATGACCGAGAAGACGACATCATTTACATGCTGAATAAGGCAGACACCAGATATGGCCAAGGACTCATGAACACGTTGGTTCTAACAGGCGGAAGTGGTGCCATGATCACCGATATAACAGAAATTGCAGCAGCCGACCACGGCTCTTGGAGGAAAAAGGTCAGACACGTTAATAGAGTAGGCTCTGGTGACGTGCTTACGGCTATCTCGTATGGGATCGTGGAGGTTTACGTCAGGGGTCAAGTGGTTGAAGAAACGGTGCTTGCCCAGAGCTCAATAGCTAGAGTACAAATATCATCAGTCCTTTTGCAGATACTTGGATATCTTGTCCCAGCATTGGTTAAACAGGACGATGGCGGTGAGAGAATCGAAACCGTTACGTAGGCTGATGATCTGGCACGGTTACGGAACGTTTAAATTGACGCCAAACGACACCATAAAATATCTAGTCTAGTAGTCTGGTAATTTCGAGTAATCCCATAGCTGCCTTATTATCATACATAATTCACACATGTCGACAATGTTGATTATTGAAATGCTCAAGTACGTTCCGCTCGACATGAATTACGCGTTTTTCCACGTTTTCTTCAAGCTTTCAACGCATAGAACTACGTGAACCTGCGTAGTCAAGCCAAGAACCGAACGTCACTTGATGCTGGTTGTTCGATTTTCGGCCATTCTCCTCACCAGCCATTCCATTTGGGTGTGGATTTTCTTCATTGAGTAGACTGCCAAAGTGATTATGTATGGGACCAGCTATAGAGATGGTAAGTCTTGACCTTCCAATAGTGTTTCAAACCTCTTCATGCAATGCGAAATTGGAATGTGTTTTTTGTCGGAGTTGCTGAGTTGAAGAAGACCCATTACCCACGGAAAAGGGGATAGAAGATGATGGATTCATGCTATTCGATGCATCCCGCCTACTTCGATCTTATCCATTTTTAAGTGCATCTAATCACGAGCCATCAATTTTTCTTAGAATTGTTCACGATAGAGGAGGCAGATGCCCCTCATCTAGGAGGAATCAGTAGGCTCAGAGAAGACTCTTCCAGCTCTAATTCTTCGGCCCGACGCTCAAACACACCAAACAACTCTCATGTCTCCTTCTTTCCAAGTGAATCACCATATTCCTTCAGCTTCACTTCTCAGAGTGACGCCAAATCTGAGTCTAGAAGGGGCCTGCTATACAAGTCTCTGGACTTTGTAAAAAATAGGAATGTCGCGTCGAAAGTGGGCACGATAGTGACGAATGGATTGGATGAAGAGGAGGAGAGACTCTCAACACCCCCCTTAAGGTCAGCATCTTCACCTAATCTATCGAATCTGGGCAAGCAAATTGCTGCGGGTGGATTAGGATTAGTACCGCGATCATTAATGGGTGGATCTTCTCGGTCACCCTATAGTCCAGCTCAAGCGTCACCTCTCTCGGCAGCCTTTTCACCTATACCATTGATACCATCAATACCAGAAAACATACCACATCCAATAGCTGTACCATTAATAGCACCATTGTCCATCAGCACTGTACGTAAAAATGACTACTCGGCCATGCTTCCGCCCTCTCTACCCTCTGCACCTGTAATGAGAGCACGATCTCTCCATTCGCCAACTAGATTCCTACCGCCGAATAAAGCCATGATGACGACAAACGCTGATATGAAAGTCTTGACTGCCAACGATCAAGCGTTATTTATATTTGCAACGCCACAACGAGAATTGATTGGCGCCAGTATACTCAATTTATTGGTGCCGTCGTATCGAGAAAAGTATCAAAAATACTTTAGGCAAGATCCACAAAAGAAGGATGTTGTTCTTGTCTGTGGCAAAGTTGTGAGTCTTCAATGTCTGATGTTTCTAGTGCTTCAATCGTTGGCTTTGACACTATTGTTGCTTTGAAACAGATTCGAGTACTGAAAAAGGATGGTACTCAAGTCCCGACCTCACTATGGCTGAAGCGGACATTGGATGACAAGGGTGGATCCATCTTTATATGGGTGTTGGAAGCCATCAAGGAGACTACAGTCGCCGTCATCGTTTCTGCGATGGTAGGTGTGCTTCAACGTTTCCTTTCGGCCGTTGCTCATCTCCTTTTCCATTGGTAGACTTGTGAGCTTGTAGAAGTTCGAGGTCCTTTCGAAGAGTTATTTGGATGGGAACCACAAGAGGTCTATGATCTGAAAATCACGGATTTGATACCCGCCATTGACAATGGAAATTCCCATGTAAAGGACTTTGAAGTCATAAACGAACACAAATTCTTTGGAGCGAGGTCACGGCGCGGTGCAGTCGTACCCATTATTGCCAAATACTTTGGTAATGCCGAAGATAATCCATTATCTTTGGGTCGTCAACCTGGCCATGTGCATATCCAAATAACATCAATGCCCAATATTGCTGGAGTCTTGACCTGTGACTCAAAAGGAAATGTGCAGTCATGTAACAGTGTGTTTGCAAAGTATTTATTTGGACTGGGTTCCAAGCATTTAGAAGGGAAGGTCATCACTGAGGTAACGAGTCTTCTGAAATGGCGAAACCAGTTTACACGGTACAAATTCTCACCTTTCACTCCTCTCAAAAGGTCATTCCACAGTTCTGGCAACTAGTAGAAACCTTTGAAGATGGAAGGTCTGAAAAGATAATATCAGCACGGGAGGCTAGAAGAGTCGCTGCTGCCGGTGGATCACCATTACTCGGGGCCATCGAGTCTGAGCGTCCTGCCGAAGCTCACTTTACTGTAGGATCGCCTGTAGTCAACGTCTTTAGGGGCTCGCCACCCAGTAATGGAGGGATGTCAGGCCGAAATATACCGCCTAGTAATAGTAGTACGGGCATAGTAGCCATACATCGGGATGGATCCACGATTAACGTTGACGTTCAGGTCCGAGCAGTTAATTCTCATCTAGACACCGTGTATGCGTTATGGATCACATATGATCGATCCTTTGGTGTGCCTAAAAGTAAACAAAATCTGCATCCCTCAGCACCATCGAGTATATCTGCAAGCCCGAATCTCGCACCATCTGATGTTCCCTCCACTAGTAGTAGTGAGAAGGACCGTGATCGAGCTATTGATGAAGCTGCTCTTAGACTTGCTGGCCTTATGGATGAATCCGTCGCTGAAACGAGGACATCGCCTAAACAGGTCAAAATGCCTAGTCCCGTCTTCGCATCCGCCACCAGTACCAGTATTGATGATTATGAGATACTGGATTCATTAGGAGATGGGGCTTATGGCTACGTGCGGTTAGCTGTAAAAAAGAATGATCCTAAAAAGGTACGAGGATTTACTAAGAAGACGAGGAACTCCTCTACAATTCGTCTGTTTTGAACCGATATCTTACTTGCTTTATACATCACTAGACCAAAGTAGTGGTCAAATATATCGTCAAATCTCGTATCTTGGTCGATTGTTGGACGAGAGACAAGGAACTGGGACTAGTACCACTGGAAGTCCACATACTGCACTATCTCACATCTATCCGTCATCCAAACGTTGTACACATGATTGAACACTTTGAAGATCCAGACTTTTGTTATATCGTCATGTCTCTACATGGCTTCGGAATGGATTTGTTCGACTATATAGAACTAAACCAGACTCTACCAGAAGAGGAAATCCGATCCATATTTTATCAGACAGTGCTGGGTATACGGCATCTTCATCGGAATGGAATTGTGCATCGAGATATTAAAGATGAGAATCTCATTCTGGATGAAGAGTTGAGAGTGCAATTAATAGATTTTGGGTCGTCTGCTTATATCAAGGATGGCAAAAAGTTTGATACTTTTTGTGGGACATTGGATTATGCTGCACCTGAAGTCCTGACTGGGCACAAGTATACCGGCCCTCCACAGGTGAGTGCTTTGAGATTGGCACCTGGCTGTTTTCTCAGAACTGCCTGTTGACAGACCTGGTAAACTTAGGACTGCTGGGCTTTAGGAATTCTCCTCTACACTCTAACATACAAGGAAAACCCCTTTTATAACATTGATGAAATCATTAGTCGGGAATTGAGAGTGCCCTTTGTCATGTCAGAAGGTATGCGCATGGGCTTTGGTGCCAATTTGCGTTTCGTGATGGAGACTTTTTATCATCATTTTCACAAACATATCAACTGATTCTTCGCTTCGCTCATTAGACTCGATCGACCTCATACGGTTTATACTGGATCGAGACGTCAAGGCTCGGCCCACCATAGACGAAATTGAGCAGCATAGATGGTTTGACAACATCAGAGCAAAATACAACACCGAGGCATAGATCACACAACGAGAAGCCTCTTATGCACATTAAACATTTGCCTCTCTTTTTCTTTTCTACTGAAAGGACCTCACAGAACCCCATATAGCACTTCGAAGTCAATAATTCGTTACCATAACAAGTACAAATAAACACAGCATCCACCACCTGCCAAAACGAACGGCCGCCGCATCTTTGACGCTATATTCATGAACGTTTTCGTCGTCTTTGAACTTTGGTAGACGCGGCTTACGGAAGATGGTTTGCACGTGTCATTTTTCCTGTATTGACAATCGATGATGACGGTGAGCATAGATACCGCGACAAAACAATATATCTTTATAGAGAAAATGCCGTGAAAATCGTGCCGCATGTACGGTCTTTGACGAGTGCATATCCACGACGCTGCGCCGATTTAACACCTCAAATTAACAACAGACTGCATTTTACTCTCAAGTAGGCACCATCGACGTATCTGGCTATCGTTGCACCTTGCATTAACACCAGTATGGACTTGCGATGGTTGCTCAACCCAGAAGTAGAGCCAATCGATGATAAACTGCTGGTTAAAACGAAGTCTGGATCATCATCAGGACCGTTCGAACTTCCAAGAATACTCCACAATTCCTCGTTACCTTCTATGAAACTCGCACCACTACCGAGACTACTAGACTGTCAAGTCCGTATCCCACCATCACGTCCAATCGTCTTGTCCGAATATCACATCGATGTAGCGATGCATAATCCTCCAATCTCTTCGTCAGCAACTCCTCCAACGTATTTCTCACGATATGTCGACACATCCTTCCACCGCGGAGGGTCGCCCATGCGCCAGGGCAACACTATCGAGCCTCCAAAGGGCCCACAGCCGTGTACGCAGCAGGACATAGGTCATAGCAGTTTACCGCTCCACGAACGATATTTTAGAACCCATGCAAGCCTTTATGGTGATTTACTGCCACCGCTACATCCACAACCGTATTCGCAACCACCACCCAGCGTGTCGCGTCACACAAGTGTATTTCCGATGTCTGGCCACAGGGTATCTTATCAGACATCAGATACCAACAGCGCCTCAGATGATGATTATCAGTCAGCCAATCATCCTCCAAATAATGCGTACGCAGGACATTATCCTCCCACGTTTTCCAATCATGGTATACCGCTTGCGCTCCCACAGCACACGCCTCCAAACTCGATATTGTTGGAAGTGCCGAATTCTGAGAGGTACATTTTTGTGATTGCGGTGGACTGTCGATTGACCGGAATGCAAATCGGCTTGTTGGAGGAACTGACTTTGCGCGTTAATAGGAGGATACGAGTCGCAAAGGCTTGTATTCATTGTCGCATTAAGAAACTAAAGTATGTGGAGTTGGCGCAGTTGTTGTCTGGATTGTTTGGAATAATGTGGTTGTGAGAGATGACTGAACTGCTATTGCTTTGTTAGATGTAACGGAGAGCTGCCCTGCTTCGCGTGAGTTGCAGCATTGGTGAATTGGTGGAAAAGAAGCCAGCTGCTAGTATCAGTAACGCAGCAATGCATACTAGGCTTGTGATTTTGTTGACCACATCAAAACCTCACTTCGCTCTCTGGTTCTTAGATGTAGGCGGGCCACTGCCTCATGTGAATACTCTGCTGATCCGCATCGTAAACGTGGGAGAAAGCCAATAATGAGGGAGACACCAACAGAATAAGGCAAAGGGAGTTGGTTTGTCATTTACGTCTGGTTTGGCTAAATCGATGTCGCTCAAACGGCCACGTTGATGTATCTATCGATTGTATAAAATTTGCTGCAATAAAATTGGTAAAAAAAGTATAGCGTGAAGAAAGAGATGGATATGCTTTCAATTCGGCAGACAGATTATAACACCATTGAAAGGGTTGTTTGTGAGAAGACTTGGAATTTGACATGAGATGACCATTGCGAGCTGTTGAGGCGGAATCTTACGAGGAAATAGTGTCTCTGTTTCTCAATACCGCCACGAAGCAAAATTTTCGACACAATATCGAAATGATGTGTTTGCCGTTAGCCTGAATTTGATCCAAATCTTGGCGATTATCTTATGCTATTCGAGTGTTCTTCACTGGCGGAATTACTGACAGAAAGTCGAGAGAGTACTCCAAGCATGCATCTCCAAGCATGCATGAACTAAGTGATGTAGTGATTTTCCTATACTGCAAAGTCTGTGATAAGAGGTACAACATTTGGCACGTGGTTGTCTTTTCTTTGCCAATATTGAGTTCATGTAGATTTTGTAGATGGATTCAGATGAGTTTTGAATCGGACTATTAGTAAAACGCAAATCTGAAAAACAAACTGAGCCGGTTACGTTGTAGTGGCGAGTATTTACTAAACCTCCCAACTCATCCTACTCATGTCAGGTGTTAAGTGAGATTCATGCAAATTGATTGCATTCAGCTGTAAAGGTGTTATGACGGTGGTGCTATTTTGAATTGCGGCAATGAGCTTTCCGTCTGGGCAGTAAATTTCGTGGAATTGATGGGATTTGGGTGAGAAAGGCATATAAATGCACCTGTCAAATTGTTTTTTCGTTTGTAGAAGATTTGCAGTCTGACTTGTGCTGTTGTTTCTTGGCTGGGTTGCTGGGAAATGGAGAGTTGACTTTCAGAATAAGTTGGAGTTGGATTTAGACAATGAAAACGCAAATCAAGAGAACCACCATTTAAGAAGCTGTAACACCTGAATTAGCATAGTTGGACCTTGGAGCCGATGGCTGCTGAATTTTGGACTCCATTTAGTTGAGTTTCAGCTAATACACGCGTCCGCGGGACCACCAATTACAACGGTCCCAACAGGAATAATAAACCACCAGCATGTCAACATCCCCATCGTCTTTGTCAAAAATTAGTCACCAAAATGACGTGTGTTTTTCCTTCATCACGAATGTTCAAACGAAGTTCTCAGCCGATAATGATGTATGGACCCTCGTGGCTTTAACCATAGCATACGTTTTCGTCATCTCCTAGTCTTGTAGATCAAGGTGTGTTGGGGGAACGTGGACTACGATGAGTGTTTGTATTTGCAGTCAAACTAATCGAAATGCCAAAGGACAACACGATCCGCCGAGATGTCTCGTGAGGACCATTTATAAATTACCCTATGACGTTTGAGCATTGCTGGAGAACCTTGTGCTTGAATCCGGGAACTCGGAAACATTTGTAAAATGCAAAACTTTCGGATATGCAGTCAAAGTTTGGTTCTAAATTTGACGCTTGATTCCTTGCTGGTGATATTTAGTATGGATCTGTGCTGGCTGCTAAACCTACCCGAGGAAGGAACAAGCGATGAACATGCTCGGCCCCGTACAAGACACTCTGTACCACCACCAGAATCACTGGAACTCACTATAATAAACCACATTTCCTCACAGTCTGACTCTGTGATGCCTGCATCACTACCCTCGTTGCTAAGCTACCAGATCTATATCCCACCACTCGTGCAAGTTGACGAACACTTACTGCCGCGAGTATGTGAGCACATTCCACCAATACACCCCTTACGAGAGGCAGGCTCATGGGAGCCTGCTGGACGATCTCCAATGTATCAACTCGATAACAACCAGACACCACCACTCCCAGGTCCAGAACACTATGTGCATCACGGTATAAGCCCAACGACTCTGCCACAACACAGCCAGCATCTTAGAACCCATGCAACGGTATATTATGTAGATCCCATGGTAGTACTTCATCACACAAACGTACCCGGGACGTACCCTCAGAGGCCGTATTATCAGCTGACAGAGGCTCACAGCACCCTCGACAACCAGCATCAATATGTCAATTCTCCATCACCGAACAATGCATATACGAGGTACCTTAATCCAGCAGTGTCGCATCCTAGCAGGACGCCTAGGTCGTTGCACCAGTCATCTGCTAGTCAGTCCTCTTCAAGTCAGGAATATTCGCTTGAGCTGGAGGTTGAGAGGTACTACTATGTGGGAGTTTTTTGGATTCGTCAGTTCTATCTGGAGGGAGCATCTAGAGCTAATGATAATTGTGAGTTAGGAGGGCGCGAGTTACAAAAGCATGCAGTTATTGTCGTCTTAAAAAGCTGAGGTAGCTTGAGTCAGTATTCTTGACTATTGGATCTTTGGCAATCGTTTGCTCCTGCCTCTTTCAATACACTAACTCACTCTTTCCCACTGTAGATGCAATGGAGAACACCCCTGCTCGTCGTAAGTTTGAATATGAATTGGTCTATGCTCTAACGTAGCCAGAAAGCCTCAGTGGGGCAGTGTTTCGAAGAGAACTAAACTGAATTGCTGATTTTCGTAGATGTAAGAGGAGTCAAAAGTCCTGTGCATACTCTGCTGATGTGGATCGTAAACGTGGTCGGAAGTCGAAGGGCCATGAGTAATAGGCATTTGGCTTGACACTGTTCTAGATCGACTCTGCTCATACCGTCGCAATACAAATGCATGTATGTAGTGTAAATGAACTTGGGTTGCTGTTGAAAATAAGTTGCGCCTAGTCTTGTCACTTCAAATCACACCCCACAAGATGCGCTTCAGTAAAACACCGCCTCGCTGAATTCATATAGACTTTTTGTATGCGGAGGAGCAATTTACAAAACTTGGAAATCATTTTCGACACCTCATTCAGCGAACACCCAGAATCCACAAACCACCACACAGAAACGACAGACGATAAGGTTCATCAACAAGATGCCTTTGCCTAGAGATGAGGAATTTTTTTTGTTAGACGAGAAACATCAGTCGATCCAGCAAACATGAGAACGTGGAAAAATGAATCAATTCGACTTACAGCGTGCCCATTTGCCATGCTCTGTTTGAAAGCGGCAGCAAAGTCGCTAATCAATGTAACCAGAGCTGGTGCATCGGCAATGGTTCCTTGCAATCCTTGAGCCAACGCAAGCTGGGCAGCTGTTCCGGAAGTAAGCTATATTGAACGGAGTGATATTATAAAATGAAAAAAAATTCACACTTGCCCAAGCTACTTACGTTTGTGAGACCAGCAGTTGGCGTTAGCCAAAGAA